TACTTTTGACTAGAGCCCCAATAGGCCCTGGTCTAAAGTAGTGCACTAATTAGGGAATAGGGTGCCATTTGGGATGCAACCATTGTCTGTGTGTGTTTGATCTGCCACCAGCTGCATCGTTGATTTAGATTTTAATTCCACATTAAACACCACTGACACACCATTTCACAGACAGACTCACAGGCAGACAGACAGACAGTTACACAGAGAGAAAGAAGACACACTGGGTTTGTGAGGGGGAGGGAGGAGGGGTAGGGAGGGTTTGGAGGAGCAGGAGGCTGGTGGTATATTTGTCACAGTGTACTTGTGCTACTGTGTCAGTCTGACTGCACCTCACCCCCCTGTCAAGGCCACATGATTCAGAAAATACTAAATGGTGGTAAAAGACAGACTCTTCTGGGTATTTTAGGAATGTTTTAGACTAGTTAGAGAACTCCTCCATAGCATAAGGAAACTTGAGTGCATCCCAAATGGGACCATATTCCCTACATAGTGCACTACTTTTGATCAGAGCGCTATTGACTCTGGTCAAAATATATACACTATATAGGGAATAGGGTGCCATTGGGGACCTATGAGAACACATCCTATGAGTGAGTTCAAAACGTCTAAGCATTAAAAAGGTGGAGTCTGTAATTTAGTTTACCTTGGCTGACGTGTGTTCTTGTCACTGTAGGAGATGGAGTCACACTGCTGTGCTGTGGAGACAGTGAACCAGGTGAGGACTAGGGTTGCAAAATTCAGGTAACTTTCTTAAAATTGCAACCTTTTCCAAAAATCCTGGTTGGAAGATTCCCAGATTTCCTGCTTATTCCAGGCATCTTCCAACCGAGATTTCTGGAAAACCTATTTTGGGAAAGTTACCAGAATTTTGCAACCCTAGTGAGCGCTGTCTTTAAAGTAACATGGATGCTAGACCATGAGATGTGTCATTTGAAATAGGAGACATTCTGAACAATTTTTTTTTACAAGTTACAAAAAACTGCTGAGAAGCAAAAAAAAAGATTTTTTTGGAAAGACCGGCCGCATCAGTATACAAACAAGTGCAATACGTTACAGATTGCAGCTTTAACATGAACTTTTCTAGTGTTTTACTGTTGAAATAACAGACATTTCTTACACAACATTTTCACGAAAATAAAGAGACGGACACATTGTAATGGATAATTTCTCTCCAGCACGTGGGGCGCAGCTGTCCCAAGAGAAGACCCTGCTTCTGCGAGGCGCTGCCCGTTAGCGACTATTTATTTACAATTCAAAATAATACAGGAAGAAGTTTCTTTCAATACAGATCAGTCCTCCTCTTCTCTAGCTTTTCCTAATTTTCATCACACCAAATTTCCCCACGCCCCTTTCTTTCAGTCTTTGGTTTCCACTCCCAAAACATTGCATATGGCAAGAAACACTCCTACAATCAATTATCTTTTCTCTCACCAACTCCTTTAAAGGGGAAGTTCAGTATTTTAGGAGCTAGCGGTGGCTAAAGTTAGCTGACGTCTGTAGTGGCTGTTTAAAAAACCCTGAAGCATGATTAACAGTTTCTCCTGGCCCATAGACTACTTTCAGGATGAGGAACCATCTGACATAAAGTTGTAAAATAGTGAACTTCCCCTTTAAGTTAACTGGTAGTAGCATCATATTCAAGATGTTGTTCGCTACCTGTGTATTCAGTATGTTGTAGTAGGTTCTATAGGGTGTCGTTCTGGGTGGTAGTTTCTACCTAGAGGTTCTATAGGGTGCTGTTCTGGTGGCAGTTTCTACCTAGAGGTTCTATAGTGTGCTGTTCTGGGTGGCAGTTGGTTAGTCTGTGTGAGGGGGATATCATGCCAAGTAACCTATTACAAGGTTCCAAAAGTCCCGTAACTTTCCCAAAATTCCAATGTTTTCAATAATTCATTGTTGGGGGATTCAGGATTCCCTGCTTTTTCCACTCATGAAAAGTTCCCCAGAATTTTGCAACCCTAATATGAAGGAACCTATATATTAATATTCACTTATCAGGTTGGTTCCAGAACAGCTGGCTGAAACTCTATTCCTTTACACCTAGAATGAGGTAATCTAGGATAGAGTAGTCCTATACACACATTTTATTTTCTGTAATAATATGGCTTCAGAAATGTGGGTTAGGGTCTAGCAGGACTTTGTATTTGTGCGTTTGACTCATGGCGGCTGATTGGAAGGCCATGTGTAGGTAGTAAATGTTGCTGTAAGTTACTATAGGATAAGTAACTACATGTATTTAAGTTACTATTAGTTACCACACGTAACTGTAAATTACTATAAGTGCTAGAAAGCGGTGTGTGTTCAGAAGGTTCCGTCCCAAACGGCACCGTATTCCCTATATAGTGCACTACTTTTGACCAGATACTTATGAGCCGTGGTCAAAAGTAGTACACTATATTAGGGGCCAGGATGCCATTTGGGATGCTGCACGCACTCTCAAGGGAAAGGTATTCTGCTCCACTAAGGCATCATCCTCAATGCCTTCAGTGTGTCATCATAATGCGCCCCAAAAGGCACCCTTTTCCTTTTCTAGTGCACTACATTTGACCAGATCCCTGTGGGCCCTGGTCAAAAGTAGCACACTATTAAGGGAATAGGGTGCCTTTTGAAACAAAGCCCATAACTCTCAACAGTCTGGTTCACTGGAGGTGTACAAGGGAGAAGAGTAGTACATCCTCATACCATCCTCACAGAGGTTGTCCCAAATGGCACATTATTCCCTATATGGTGTCCTACTTTGCACTCAATGTTCTAGAGCTTTGCACTCAATGTTCTAGAGCTTTGCACTCAATGTTCTAGAGCTTTGCACTCAATGTTCTAGAGCTTTGCACTCAATGTTCTAGAGCTTTGCACTCAATGTTCTAGAGCTCTGCACTCAATGTTCTAGAGCTCTGCACTCAATGTTCTAGAGCTCTGCACTCAATGTTCTAGAGCTCTGCACTCAATGTTCTAGAGCTTTGCACTCAATGTTCTAGAGCTTTGCACTCCCATTTTCTTTCTCTCTTCCTCAGTCAGTCAGTCACATCCACACACAGTCAGCACCTTGATCAACTCCAATGTGTTAAGTTGAGTATTTCAAGTCAAAATACTTATAATCCTCAATGTATAAATACAGGTGGAGAAATAAGTTAACAAAAGCCATGCCACTATGTCAGAAATGGAAAAGGAAGCTATTGTTTTAAATAGCGTTGCATGAAACAATCTGTGGAATTTAATTCCTGTTTCAGAATGCCGAGATCTTAATATATAGTAAATAAATCTAGTCCAGTTGTAGTAGTGGCTATAGATCTCCTTAAAGCTGAATCCACTGACGCCAATCATCACCCAACACAGATGGCTTCACTTGGGCTACATCTCAATACTGACCCTTCCTCCCAAAGTGTGCCCTTGTTCACTTCCCTTCACTGATTTGAAAGGAAATGACTGGTATAAGAAATATGGTGGAAACTCTGACTAGCCCATGCCTCCACCAACCCAATGCTATCAGATTTGTGGGAAGTAGTGAACGATTGAACATTTGCAGGAGAAAGTAGATATTATTGGGACTCACCCTTGGTTTTAGATCTGTCCATAAAGTCAATGGAGGGAGGATGAGACTCAAAGCCCCCTAGTGGTTATAGTAGGGAAATGCAGAACTATAAAATATAATACTAACAATATATACAGTAACCGGCCAGTTTATTAGGTACACCAAAATGAATCGCTCCTACAGACAGTGAGTCACGTGGCTTGCTATATAAAGCAGGCAGACAGGCATCGAGGCATCCAGTTACTGTTCGATTGAACGTTAGAATGGCCAAAACAAGTGACCTAAGCAACTTTGAGCGTGGTATGATCGTCGGTGCCTGGTGCGCCGGATCCAGTATCTCAGAAACAGACGCCCTCCTGGGCTTTTCACGCACGACAGTGTCTCGGGTTTACCGAGAATAGTGCGACAAACAAAAAACATCCAGTCAGCGGCAGTCCTGTGGGCTAAAACAGCTCATTGACGAGAGAGGTCGAAGGAGAATGGCAAGAATCGTGCAAGCTAACAGGTGGCCCACAAACAGACAAATAACAGCGCAGTACAACAGTGGTGTGCAGAACGTCATCTCAGAACACACAACTTGTCGATCCTTGTCACAGATGGGCTATTGCAGCAGACGACCACATCTGGTTCCACTCCTATCAGTTAAAAACAAGAAGATGCAGCTCCAGTGGGCATCATCATCATCATCACCAACACTTGACAATTGAGGAGTGGAACAACGTCGCCTGGTCCGACAAATCCCAGTTCCTGTTGCGTCATGCTGATGGCATATTCAGGATTTGGCGTAAGTCCATTGACCCATCCTGCCTGGTGTCAACGGTACAGGCTGGTGGCAGTGGTGTACTGGTGTGTGGAATGTTTCCTGGCACACGTTAGGTCCCTTGATACCAAACGAGCCGAAGAATTCAGGCTGTTCTGGAGGCAAAGGGGGTCCGACCCGGTACTAGATGGGTATACCTAATAAACTGTCCGGTGAGAGTATATTTGAATTAAAGTGCCATGTATAGTATGTCTATAAACTAGGTGAAGGATGGGGGCTTTTTCTCCTATGTGAGGGGAGAAGGGGAGGTCAGGTCTAGATGGGATACAGCTTTTGGCAAATTTATGTCAATCTTTTTAATTTTTTTGAGTGCATTTTAGCTAGCCCTAACACTTTTCCTAACCTTAACCTCATTTTCCTAAACTGCTACGTCAATTCTCCTAACCTACTGCGTAGGTTCTAAACCTGCTCCGTAAGGTGAATTTTGACAAAAAGCTTTATCTCTTCTAGATGACAACCACGAGGAGGGGGCTTTTATTTCCTGGTTAGTTTAGGACAAAGGGTCAGAGGTGGGGTTACTGTGGGGTGGTCATAGAGTCGGATAGAGGGGGCACTTTGCCAAAAGATAGGCAATGAGCCCTCTAGTACATCTCTATGGGGGTGGGTTCCTTGGAGGACATTTTGAGTGAAGGCCGTCCCTCCCTCTCTCTACTTCTCTCCGTCTCGGTGGTGCAGCCTTCTCTCGTACTGGCGCTTGGTGATGACGTATTTGAAGAACTCGTAGACGGACCAGCTGATGGCGGTGGAGGGCATCTGATAGATGATCCTGGCCTGGACGCCCTTAAAGAACGCCGCACCGCCCCCCATCCTGTACACAGTCCGGAACGCCTCCCCTAACCCCGAGATGTGGCGCCCCGCAGTGGCCGACGCCGTCCCTACACCTGCTCCAACCCCCACCGCTCCTGGGACCTCGGCATGGACCGCTAGAGCCTCCTGGGTGTTGAGGAGGGTCTTACAGACGTCCAGAGGGGTGGTGGCTGCGGCGGCGATGGCCCCGGCAAGCGCCCCGGAGATGACGTGCGAGGAGGGGTTGTACTGTCTGTGGGGGTTGAGCAGCTCCTGGAGGTACTCATAGGTCATGAAGTGGAGCGCCTGGAAGGGGACGTTCATGGTCAGCTGGGTGGTGTAGGAACGGTAGAAGGCCCCAGGGCCCTCGCGCTTCCAGATGGAGCCTACGCAGTCAGACACGCCGTGGTACGGGGAATTGTACATCTGCATACGCTGCTTCACCACTAGGGAGGGGGATAGAGAGCGAGAAGAGAGGGAGAGAAAGGGAGAGACTGTTTAGAAAGAAAAAGGAACAGAGCAGATGATGAAAACACACTGGAGCTTTTAAAGTACACAACCAGACAGAGAGGAGGGTCAGCCTAGAGGAAAGGGAGAGGAGGGGAGGGTCAGCCTGGAGGAAAAGGAAGAGGAGGGGAGGGTCAGCCTGGAGGAAAAGGAAGAGGAGGGGAGGGTCAGCCTAGAGGAAAAAAGGGGGGGGGGGAGTAAGGAGAGGATGGGGAGGGGTCAGCCTGAGGAAAAGGGAAGGGAAGGTCAGCTAGGTAGTGAAAAGGAGAGGAGAGGAGGGTCAGCCTAGAGGCAAAAAGGGAGAGGAGGGGAGGGTCAGCCTGGAGGAAAAGGGAGAGGGGAAGGTCAGCCTAGAGGAAAAGGGAGAGGAGAGGAGGGTCAGCCTAGAGGAAAAGGAAGAGGAGGGGAGGGTCAGCCTGGAGGAAAAGGAGAGAGGAGGGGAGGTCAGCCCTGGAGGAAAAAGGGAGAGGAGGGGAGGGTCAGCCTAGAGGAAAAGGAAGAGGAAGGTCAGCCTGGAGGAAAAGGAAGAGGAGAGGAAGGTCAGCCTGGAGGAAAAGGAAGAGGAGAGGAAGGTCAGCCTGGAGGAAAAGGGAGAGGAGGGGAAGGTCAGCCTAGAGGAAAGGGAGAGGAGGGGAGGGTCAGCCTAGAGGAAAAGGAAGAGGAGGGGAGGGTCAGCCTGGAGGAAAAGGAAGAGGAGGGGAGGGTCAGCCTAGAGGAAAAGGGAGAGGAGGGGAGGGTCAGCCTGGAGGAAAAGGGAGAGGGGAAGGTCAGCCTAGAGGAAAAGGTAGAGGAGAGGAGGGTCAGCCTGGAGGAAAAGGGAGAGGAAGGGAGGTCGCCTGGAGGAAAAGGGGATGAGGAGGGTGGGGTCAGCCAGAGAAAAGGGAAGAGGAGGGGAGGGTCAGCCATGGAGGAAAAATGAAGAGGAGAGGAAGAAAGAACAGGTGATGACAGGACAGAGAATAAAATAATAGTTGAAAGGAAAAGAGAATCACATCTAGTCAAAACACAGATATTAGTGTGGTGGCTGAGAGAACACCTGGAAGGCTTTTAATGAGGGTTACAGTTGAGGGACAACACCATCTAGGGATCCCCACTGGAGCCAATAAGGAGGAGATGAAACCAGTCTCTAAAATGAAATGCTACTTAGGAAAGGAATTATGGAATTCAGAACACCAGAAAGTTCAAAGGGTCCAATACCGTCCCTAGTGACCCAGCCGGTGGACCAATGGTACAGCTGGCTGGCACACCTGGGCCCGGTCAGGTTGCTATGGAAACACCAATCACCATGGCCAGATGTATGTGAGCCAGCGGATGTTAACGCTATAGAGCTATACACTGAGGGAGCAGGATGTAAACACACAACGGTCCACTAATGACATTCACAGATGTGTGCTTCTGATGCCCCTTTAGTTAGATGATGCAAACCCTCGACACTGATCTAAGGCCAGTTTAGTTTTTCCTGCCCTAAAGGTCAAGGATAGGATATGACGAATGTAAGTTGATCCTAGATCTGTGCCTACAAGCAACTTCTACCCAGCTGTTGCTCCTTATGGAAACCCCCAGTCTCAGAGCTCCCCCTAGTGTCCTGTTTAGGGACTGTAGCAGTATATAAGAGTCATGGGGATTTGCTATAAATATCCAGACTGAGAAGGGATTACTGTTCTATTAATGTATCAGGGAGTCTGACGCTGCAGATATCTACAGTTTGCATCCCGGCTCAGGAGACATCACATTCCGGCTCAGGTGACATCACATCCCGGCTCAGGTGTATATATACAGTGGGGAAAAAAAGTATTTAGTCAGCCACCAATTGTGCAGGTTCTCCCACTTAAAAAGATGAGAGAGTCCTGTAATTTTCATCATAGGTACACAGCAACTATGACAGACAAATTGTGGAAAAAAAATCCAGAAAATCACATTGTAGGATTTTTTATGAATTTATTTGCTAATTATGGTGGAAAATAAGTATTTGGTCACCTACAAACAAGCAAGAATTCTGGCTCTCACAGACCTGTAACTTCTTCTTTAAGAGGCTCCTCTGTCCTCCACTCGTTACCTGTATTAATGGCACCTGTTTTAACTTGTTATCAGTATAAAAGACACCTGTCCACAACCTCAAACAGTCACACTCCAAACTCCACTATGGCCAAGACCAAAGAGCTGTCAAAGGACACCAGAAACAAAATTGTAGACCTGCACCAGGCTGGGAAGACTGAATCTGCAATAGGTAAGCAGCTTGGTTTGAAGAAATCAACTGTGGGAGCAATTATTAGGAAATGGAAGACATACAAGACCACTGATAATCTCCCTCGATCTGGGGCTCCACGCAAGATCTCACCCCGTGGGGTCAAAATGATCACAAGAACGGTGAGCAAAAATCCCAGAACCACACGGAGGGACCTAGTGAATGACCTGCAGAGAGCTGGGACCAAAGTAACAAAGCCTACAATCAGTAACACACTACGCCACCAGGGACTCAAATCGTGCAGTGCCAGACGTGTCCCCCTGCTTAAGCCAGTACATGTCCAGGCCCGTCTGAAGTTTGCTAGAGTGCATATGGATGATCCAGAAGAGGATTGGGAGAATGTCATATGGTCAGATGAAACCAAAATATAACTTTTTGGTAAAAACTCAACTCATCGTGTTTGGAGGACAAAGAATGCTGAGTTGCATCCAAAGAACACCATACCTACTGTGAAGCATGGGGTTGGAAACATCATGCTTTGGGGCTGTTTTTCTGCAAAGGGACCAGGACGACTGATCCGTGTAAAGGAAAGAATGAATGGGGCCATGTATCGTGAGATTTTGAGTGAAAACCTCCTTCCATCAGCAATGGCATTGAAGATTAAATGTGGCTGGGTCTTTCAGCATGACAATGATCCCAAACACACCGCCCGGGCAACGAAGGAGTGGCTTCGTAAGAAGCATTTCAAGGTCCTGGAGTGGCCTAGCCAGTCTCCAGATCTCAACCCCATGGAAAATCTTTGGAGGGAGTTGAAAGTCCGTGTTGCCCAGCGACAGCCTCAAAACATCACTGCTCTAGAGGTGATCTGCATGGAGGAATGGGCCAAAATACCAGCAACAGTGTGTGAAAACCTTGTGAAGACTTACAGAAAACGTTTGACCTGTGTCATTGCCAACAAAGGGTATATAACAAAGTATTGAGAAACTTTTGTTATTGACCAAATACTTATTTTCCACCATCATTTGCAAATAAATTCATAAAAAATACTACAATGTGATTTTCTGGATATTTTTTCCTCAATTTGTCTGTCATAGTTGACATGTACCTATGATGAAAATAACAGGCCTCTCTCATCTTTTTAAGTGGGAGAACTTGCACAATTGGTTGCTGACTAAATACTTTTTTTCCCCACTGTATATATATATATATGACAGACAGAAGTGCAACGCTATTTGGCTCACAGCCACACAAGTAAATTAGTTTACAATGAAACATTTGCTTTCATATATTTAATGTTTATCATAAACCAGGTTTCCTTCCAACCTTTTTATGTGAGTAAAGTCCATAAGTGGGATCTAGACAAGGTGGGATCTTTGTGTCTGTAAAATTAATTATGTGAGAAATGGTGGTGAAAATGCTTTTATGCACTAATATTGATATAATAACCATCATATCAAAGTCAACTTGGAGTCACGTGATGACATGTGTGGTCCGCTCACTAAGACTCGTTGGGAAAGCATGCAGTTTATTAGGCTACAGATGAAATAAGTTATGATGAACTTCACAGGGTGGTGAAAGTGCACAGTGATGAGCTTGCTGCTCTTATCCAATAATGTATTTTTATTATCTAACCTTAATATTATCAGGGAGTCCATACTGAGACCAAGGTCTCTTTTACAGATGAGTCCTGAATTACAGAAATACACACATCAATATAAATACTAAATGCAAGCAGAAAGAAAAACATCGAAAAACACATTGATCAGTAATAAGGTCCTCAATCAGCTTTATGAATTACCCTTGAGGCACTAAACATCAAATGTAAGAACATTTTGAAGATTGTTCCACAAATAAGGTGCAAGAAAACTAAAAGCTGATTTACCTAACTCAGTACAGACCAAAGGAATTTCCAGAATTAACCATCCCTGAGACCGGGTGTGGTAACTCGTATGTCTAAAGTTTAGTAAAGATGTTAGGTACAGTGGGACTTTTTAATGAATAAACATAGCAATGTATCAACCTACATGACATCAGAGGGCCAACCAACTTTCTGCTAGAGAATGCAGTGATTAGTACTTAAATTGTCACCCATAATAAAGTGCAGTGCGCTATGATAAACTGCATCTAACGGCTTTAATGAAGTGGCAACTGCGTTCATATAGATGATGTCACCATAGTGTAGGACCGATAGGAACGTTGACTGAATAATCTGATTTCTACTATTTAGCGAGAGGCAGGACTTATTTCTATGGAAGCAGACCATTTTTATTCTCAGCTTCTTAACTAACTCATCAATATGCTTTTTAAAAAAGACAGCTTTTCATCTATCCAGATGCCCAGATATTTGTAAGCAGGGACACGATCAATATGGACACCATCCAAAATACATATGCTTAAATCAGTTATTTCTATGCGCTCTAGAGAACAACACACTTAGTTTCACCTGCATTCAATACTAATTTCAGATCAATAAAGTTTCTGTAATAAAATGAAGGCAGACTGTAGTTCAGATAGAGCCTGGTCAACCGTGGGGGCAATAGCATACACAACAGTATGACTTGCATACAAATGCAGGTTACAGTTCTTTTACAGACAAGTCGATATTGTTCATGTAAACAGTAAAAAGTACAGGACCCAGAATCGACCCCTGCGGGACACCTTCGGTAATATCCAGGAACGCCGATTTAACACCATCAGTAGATACACATTGAGTTCTATCTGTCAAGTAATATTTAAACCAATTACATGCAGGCTGGTCTAGGCCAATTGAGGAAAGCCTCTGAATTAGCAGTGAGTGATCAACAGTATCGAAAGCCTTTGACAGGTCAATGAAGAGGGCAGCACAATGTTGCCTTTTATCCATACAGTTAACCACATCATTTATAACTAGGGATGCAGCAGAGATAGTGCTATGACCTGGTCTAAAACCGACTGATGTACATTTAGAACACATTTCAAAGATAAGAAAGATCTTAGCTGAGAATTAATCAAGGATTCTAATATTTTAGCTAGGCAAGAAAGTTTAGAAATAGGGTGATAATTATTTAGGTCACAAGGACATACTGGGGGTCATATTCTGGTGACATGATGATTAATGCTTGGCTGCCGTTTGACAAATTAAAATAATCTTGCTCTTTTGTCCATAATAGTCTCATAATCTAGGCTAGAGCCCTACACAGGCAGGATTATTAAACCCGAGCCCAACCTGCGACTTTCAGGCCCTACCCTACCCAGGCCCGCTTGCTTCTGCCAAATTTAAGGCCTGGCCCTGCCCGAAATCAGAAATAACTCTGTTAGTAAATCCATAAGCTGCTCCTCTCGGTCTGTCATTCGCTCCCTGCGCACAGCTCGCTCTGCATGCACTCTGCTCATGGAGGCTCTGAGTATCCATAGCAACGGCTCCGCTTGGGCTGCTCTGCTCAATGAAGAGACATGAGAGAGAAGTTAGCTGTTATCTACCTTTTCGTAACTCTAAACTCCGATAAAACTCAAGGATTATTATTATTTTCTGTAAAGTAATCTCTCCTGTTGAGGATGAAACACTTCTGACACCATGTTATGATCTTAGTCAGATATGACTGTACTGCGCAGCAGAGCACGAGCAAATGGTTCAGCTTCAAAATGTTAGAGATCAATTTAGTGATACCGAGCCCTGCCCGTCCCATTTTTTACATTTTTAGTCATTTAGCAGACGCTCTTATCCAGAGCGACTTACAGGAGCAATTAGGGTTAAGTGCCTTGCTCAAGGGCACGTCGACAGATTTTTCACCTAGTCAGCTCGGGGATTAGAACCAGCGACCTTTCGGTTACTGGCACAACGCTCTTAACCACTAAGCTACCTGCCGCCCTATCCCCCTAGTTATTGATGAAGAAACAGGCCCTACTCAGCCCTAACCAGAATGTCGGGACCCGTCGGGCTCTGGTCTGGTAGCAGAGCTCTAATGTAGGCTCTACCTGCACTGTATCTACGAGCTGTTGGCTAGAGCGCACGGGACAAGACCAGAGTGGGCACATTCGCAATGTAACGCAACAACTGTTTTTTACAAAACCATCAGTAGAGTTGAAAATGTGATGGAAACCCATTTAACTTGTATTCTTTATTCGGTACATGGGAATTTAATGGTAAAGGTATTTTTATATGCACTATGTCTTCACACACAGCCTTTTATCCACAACAAGTCAATTTGATGGAAACATCTCTGTTGGGAAAATGCACATGTTGTTTTTATGCAGATTTTAGAATATTCGCATGAAAATCTGTCGCCAGTTGGATGGAAACCTAGCTAGTGAAAGAATGTAGCCAGCTACATTTCCTAATGTTTTGCTTAAAGTTAATCTTGCATTTTAACTTTCTACTGGAGAAAAATGACACCAGAGGAAAAGTATCCTACACATCAGTCATGGCTGTCTGGTGATCCAATGACAAAAGCAAAGATATTTCATCCGAGTGGAGAAGTGCAACTGAAGCACGAAATTCCTCCTTTTACATTCATGATTTGGAGCGAACCCTGACGGAAGCCGAGCAATAAGCTATTTAGATCTGCGTTTACAAAACGCGGCAAGATATTTATTCTGCGTTTTATCTTTCCTTTTCTGCATGAAAAACGCAGAATCCTGTGTTAACGCGACCCCCTGCACACACACAGTTTTACCTTCTGCTGGGTTCATGATTGCATCATGGAGCACAGTGGCCATGCAGCCTGCCATTCCTGTTAGAAGAGAGAGAACAGAGAGAGAACGAGAGAGAATAGATAGACAGAGAGGAGAGAGATGGTTGGTTACCAGTGACAAGTTTAATAAGCCAAAAACACACAGCAGAGGATGCTGCAACTTTCCTTCATACTTTTCCTTAATCTGTCTGTCTGTCTCTCAGTGACTGCTGGTCAAATTAGCAACATTGCTAATACCTCTAAGGTACAGTATGTACTTGTCAATGTCTCTGTGTGTGTGTGTCTCTAACACCGTACCATTAGCAAAGTGGCTATTAGCTCCCGGGTGGACCATGTTGCTTAGTGAGAACTTTAGTTTCTCGTAACAGGCGAAGTAGAGAGCATGGGCTGGCCCTGCCCCTATCGCCATGACGTTCAGCCCCCTCACAGGCCGCCACACCCCCTCTGTACGCACGATCTGACGCAGCGCGTCCATTACATTACGGTAACGTGCCCCCGGCTCGGGCTGCAGGCTCTGCATCCGCGTCTAGGGGGAGAGAGGGAGGGAGGGGGGGAGGGAGGGGGGAGAGGGGGGAGAGAGGGGGAGATCAGAGGGAGAGGAAGAATGTAGAAGAGGAGGAGGAGAGAGACGAGGGAAAAGGGCATCATGGTCAATCAACTCTTTCAATTTCACCTAAATAGTCTGATTGGTGGGTCAACTGATCAGTGAAAACTAAGAGTGCAGTCACAGTGCAGCTGACCAGGTTCAATACACTAGACGTTTCTCTGTACAGCCTAACAGTATGTTCCTGTTTACTGCAGGCCAGGCATTCACGCGATCGTCCTCACAAACCATTGGATAAATCCAAAGTCAACTAACTTGATTCACACACACACACACTATCCAGAGTAACTTCCGGACACAAACCAACAACTATTAAAATCTGGACCATAACTATGGCTCAAAGTCAGATAGGTAGGTAGGTAGACATCACAACGCCACACATCACAATGCCAAGCCATAATAACTAGGCCTAAGGCTATTGGGTCGCTCCCCTCTGTCAACAGGGCACCATTCACTGTGTCACAACAGAACAATGCTATGTACGGGAAGGATGGAGCAATAACCAAACTTTGGAGATTGCGTCATGAGTAGAATATCCTCCTTTGTCCACAGTCACAGAGGCCACCAAGACAGAAGGATGGGGAAATTACTTCTGGAGGGGAGGGATGGAAATTTCCACTCATGACGGCACACACTTCAGGGAAATGGAAAGTCAGAATGAATGTGCAGAAACAGTGTTTTGTTGTCTTTTTTTCCTTTTTTACACGAGGACCTAAAAGACTGCCCCAACTATTATGGTTTCTAAAGTTGTTTCAAATGTGTTTCTTTGCAATGACAGATTGCATAGGCCTACCATTTTAAAGGCCATTTCTGCGACTCCCCATGTAGGCCTAGCACGTAAGTCTCAGAACCAATACAACAGTGTTAGATAGACCTCAGCACCAGTCTGTCCTTGGCTTCCCACTCCAACCCATGTTACTAGAAACACTAAGCTAACAGTTTACCACTATCTCTACAGAATCAGAAGTACTATGATGTTTATTTCCATTTTACTGCCGTGTTTGTTGTCATGAGGCGTTATCTACGACCTGTGGAAGTTGCAGTGCTCACGCACAAACACGCAATGTTTGCATTGTGTCTACAGCAAGATCAAGGTATCAGGGACAACGTTCCACTTTCAGCCCCCACTCCACTCCATGAAATGGAAACAGCAGAACGCACACGGTTGCATAATGTTCATTTGACTAGACTTAGCATTACCACGGTATAGCTCGATAGCTGAGAGTCCAGCTTTAGGGTTGAGGGTGAAATTAAAGGGATAGGGGTTAACTTTAAAACAGCCGAATCTCCTGGGAAAGTCCCCCTTTTCTGAATTAGTTATTGCCCTCTCCCTCTTTCCCCTCGTCCTTCTCATCTCTCCATTATCTTGAGAAGCCCTAGATCTGCAGCCCAGTTAGACCACAGCCCATGCAACAACAGTGTGACACCAGATTACAGTATAGAGGATTGGGAAACCAACTAAACATATTAGTAGTCTTTCTCTCCTGTATGAAAAGGGTTGCATTCCAAATGTCACCCTGTTGCATAGCCTATATTTCACTACCTTTGACTGGATACCTACTGTAAGGGCCTTGGTCAAGTAGTGCACTATAGAGGGAATATGATGCTATTTGGGATGCACAAAAAACAGTGTTTGGCTTTGTCTTGAGGAAAGTTATGGTTGTCTTGGCTGCCATTGACCCTCCATGTTGGTTTATACTCAACTCAAGCGCTCATGGTTGTTATAACACTCGTTATCATGGTTTGCCGTCAAGTGTTTTGGGGCTTTGATCATCATGGCTTGCCAACTGCCATTCCTCGTCGCTGTCACAGTGACCTCAATATAAAACTGTCTCATCAGATCCGATACCACATTTATAAGTTACTACCATTGTTCATTCATTTATACCAGGACTGATTCTTATTGTTAATCATTTAGGTCTAGCCTAATCATGCTCTACTGTATCTCTCCAGCTTTCTGTGGTGGTCCTCTGTAGCTCAGCTGGTAGAGCACGGCGCTGGTAACGCCAGGGTAGTGGGTTCGATCCCCGGGACCACCCATACACAAAAATGTATGCACGCATGACTGTAAGTCGCTTTGGATAAAAGCGTCTGCTAAGTGGCATATTATTATTATTATTATTATTATTATTCTGAAATTGGCCCATTCAGCTACAGTACAGAACCTAACTGGAAATCATGCAACTACACCGACGATGCCAGGCCCAAGTCAACCAGTGTTACAGCACCTATAGCCCAGTGTTACAGCACCTATAGCCCAGTGTTACAGCACCTACAGCCCAGTGTTACAGCACCTACAGCCCAGTGTTACAGCACCTACAGCCCAGTGTTACAGCACCTACAGCCCAGTGTTACAGCACCTATAGCCCAGTGTTACAGCACCTATAGCCCAGTGTTACTGCACCTATAGCCCAGTGTTACAAGCACCTATAGCCCAGTGTTACCAGCACCTATAGCCCAGTGTTACAGCACCTATAGCCCAGTGTTACAGCACCTACAGCCCAGTGTTACAGCACCTACAGCCCAGTGTTACAGCACCTACAGCCCAGTGTTACAGCACCTACAGCCCAGTGTTACAGCACCTATAGCCCAGTGTTACAGCACCTATAGCCCAGTGTTACAGCACCTATAGCCCAGTGTTACAGCACCTATAGCCCAGTGTTACAGCACCTATAGCCCAGTGTTACAGCACCTACAGCCCAGTGTTACAGCACCTACAGCCCAGTGTTACAGCACCTACAGCCCAGTGTTACAGCACCTACAGCCCAGTGTTACTGCACCTACAGCCCAGTGTTACAGCACCTATAGCCCAGTGTTACAGCACCTACAGCCCAGTGTTACTGCACCTACAGCCTAACTGATACAGTGCCAAGCTAGATAACAGGCCAGACATGTCTTCTAGCTAATGGGAAGGACCTTTAGAAGTCATGGGTCGTATTCAACAGGAACCAGTGACGAGAAACTGCTCCTCGGCTCAGAACAACAGGGTGTGTGCGTCCCAAATGGCACCCTATGCCCTGCATAGTGCACTACGTTTGCCCAGAGCCCTATGCACTACAAAAGGAATATGATGTCATTTGGAACACAGCCAGACAGTGACACACCTCATAAGAGGTCTCAGCAGCAATGAGGAAATGGTTATTTTGAAATCTATGAGGAAACAGAGAGAAATAGGAAGGAATGAGCGCCAACGCAAGTTCCTTTATTTAACCATGAGTGACGTCTGTCAGAGTACTGTTTCAACAAGGCAGGAATCTGGGTTAAGAAAACAAACCAGATCAATGAGGAAGTAGTCTCCTAACTAGTCCATTACCATCATTATCATCCTTACAACAACCCACCGACTTCCTTGAGACACGGCCCTAGTAAATGAGTGACAGGTCAGAGAACAGTGAAAATACAGTGCCTTAATAATAATAATAATAATATGCCATTTAGCAGACGCTTTTATCCAAAGCGACTTACAGTCATGCGTGCATACATTTTTTTTGTGTATGGGTGGTCCCGGGGATCGAACCCACTACCTTGGCGTTACAAGCGCCGTGCTCTACCAGTTGAGCTACAGAGGACCACTTGCCTTCAGCAAGTATTCACACCCCTTGACCTTTTCCACATTTTGTTGTACTACAGTCTCAATTTAAATTGGATTACAATTGAGATTTTGTGTCCCTGGCCTACACACAATATCCCATAATGTCAAAGTGGAATTATTTTATAATTTTTTACAAATTACTTCAAAATGAAACCCTGAAATGTCTTGAGTAAATAAGTATTCAAACTGTTTGTTATGGTAAGCCTAAATACATTAAGGTGTAAAAATGTGCTTAAGTCACATAATAAGTTACATGGACTTAAACACTGTGCAATAGTGTTTAACATCATTTCTGAACGACTACCTCATCTCTGTACCCCACACATACAATTATCTGTAAGGTCCCTCAGTCAAGTAGTGACTGTAGCTCAGCTGGTAGAGCATGGCGCTTGTAACGCCAAGGTAGTGGGTTCGATCCCCGGGACCACCCATACACACACAAAAAAAAATGTATGCACGCATGACTGTAAGTCGCTTTGGATAAAAGTGTCTGCTAAATGACATATTATTATTATTATTATTATAAACACCGATTCAACTATAAAGAACCAGGAGGGTTTCCAATGCCTCGCAAAGGAGGGCACCTATTGGTAGATGGGTAAAAATGAAAAAAAGCAGACATTGAATATCCCTTTGAGCATGGTGAAGTTATTAATTACATTTTGGATAGTGTATCAATACATCCAGTCACTACAAAGATACATCCTTCCTAAGTCAGTTGGCGGAGAGGAATGAAACCGCTCAGGGATTTCACCATGAGGCTGAGGATGGATCAACGATATTGTAGTGACTCCACAATACTAACCTAAATGACAGAGTGAAAAGGAAGCCTGTGCAGAATAACACATATTCCAAAACATGCATCTGTTACAATAAGGCACTAAAGTAAAATTTCAAATAATGTGACAAATAAATTCACTTTATGTTCATAATATAAAGCGTTAAGTTTGTGGCAAATCCAACACAACACTCACTGAGTACCACTCTTCATATTTTCAAACTCAGGGGTGTGAATACCTATGTAAATGAGATATTTCTGTATTTCATTTGCAAACATATCTAAGAACATGTCTCACTTTGTCAATATGGGTTATTGTGTGTAGACGGGTGAGAAAAAATAATCAATTTAATCAATTTTGAATTCAGGCTGTAACACAACAAAATGTGGAATAAGTCAAGAGGTATTAATACTTTCTGAAGGCACTGTACATGATGGTTGGCCAGGGCTCCAACGCTTTCAACCATTAATAACTGATTTAAGGCAGACTGCCCAGGGCCAAAAGCAGAGACCATGGGACAGAGGTATTCTAGACCAAAGGGTATGGGTGTACGTACCATGGCTGTATAGGACAGGGCTGGAAGCTTCAAGTCTGCACACTCTTATAGGTCTCTTTATTAAAAGGCCCAGTGCAGTCAGAATTAAGCTTTTCCTGTGTTTTATATATACACTACCAGTCAAAAGTTTTAGAACACCTACTCATTCAAGGATGTTTCTTTATTTTTACTATTTTCTACATTGTAGAATAATAGTGAAGACATCAAAACTATGAAATAACACATATGGAATCATGTAGTAACCAAACAAGTGTTAAACATATCAAAGTATATTTTATATTTGCGATTCTTCAAATAGCCACCCTTTGCCTTGATGATAGCTTTGCACACTCTTGGCATTCTCTCAACCAGCTTCTTGAGGTAGTCACCTGGAATGCATTTCAATTAACAGGTGTGCCTTCTTAAAAGTTAATTTGTGGAATTTCTTTCCTTCTTAATGCGTTTGAGCCAATCAGTTGTGTTGTGACAAGGTAGGGGGGGGGGTATACAGAAGATAGCCCTATTTGGTAAAAGACCAAGTCCATATTATGGCAAGAACAGCTCAAATAAGCAAAGAGAAACGACAGCCCATCATTACTTTAAGACATGAAGGTCAGTCAATACAGAACATTTCAAGAACTTTCTTCAAGTGCAGTTGTAAAAACCATCAAACACTATGATGAAACTGGCTCTCATGAGGGCCGCCACAGGAAAGGAAGACCCAGAGTTACCTCTGCTGCAGAGTATAAGTTCATTAGAGTTACCAGCCTCAGAAATTGCAGCCCAAATAAATGCTTCACAGAGTTCAAGTAACAGACACATCTCAACTTCAACTGTTCAGAGGGGACCGTGTGAATCAGGCCTTCATGGTCGAATTGCTGCAAAGAAACCAATACTAAAGGACACCAATAAGAAGAAGAGACTTGCTTGGGCCAAGAAACACGAGCAATGGACATTAGACCGGTGGAAATGTGTCCTTTGGTCTGGAGTCCAAATTGGTGATTTTTGGTTCCAACTGCAGTGTCTTTGTGAGACGCGGTGTGGGTGAACGGATGATCTCCGCATGTGTATTTCCCACCGTAAAGCATGGAGGAGGTGTTGTTATGGTGTGGGGGTGCTTTGCTGGTGACACTGTCAGTGATTTATTTAGAATTCAAGGCACACTTAACCAGCATGGCTACCACAGCGATACACCATCCCATCTGGTTTGGGCTTAGTAGGACTATCATTTGTTTTTCAACAGGACAATGACCCAACACACCTCCAGGCTGTGTAAGGGCTATTTTACCAAGAAGAAGAGTGATGGAGTGCTGCATCAGAAGACCTGGCCTCCACAATCCCCCGACCTCAACCAATTTGAGATGGTTTGGGATGAGTCGGACCGCAGAGTGAAGGAAAAGCAACCAACAAGTGCTCAGCATATGTGGGAACTCCTTCAAGACTATTGGAAAAGCATTCCAGGTGAAGCTGGTTGAGAGAATGCCAAGAGTGTGCAAAGCTGTCATCAAGGCAAAGGGTGGCTATTTGAAGAATCTCAAATATAACATATTTTGATTTGTTGAACACTTTTTTGGTTACTACATGATTCCATGTGTTATTTAATTGTTTTGATGTCTTCACTATTATTCTACAATGTAAAAAATAGTAAAAATAAAGAAAAACACTTGAATGAGTAGGTGTTCTAAAACTTTTGACTGGTTTTTAAGTGTTATTTCCTGATAGTTGCTGGTTGAAAATACAATCTAGCATTAGAATGTACAGTCCCAAAGGCTACCAAAGTAGGCAAAGAAAACAATCTTACCACCCCCCAGCCCAGGGGAGCTTGGCTGGCTACTTTTTCTATTTGGCTGGCTACTCCATGTGCTTGTGGAAAACAATAGGTATTCTAGACCAAAGGGTATGGGTGTATCATGGTAGTATGGGGCAGGGTTATAAGGTAACAGAGGATATAGGTGTTCAGTGGAGGTTCTAATTCTACAACCTATTAATCTGTCCAGGTGGTTAGCGGTCAGGGGTGAGGCCAGCCAACAGGTGCCAAACCCTGTTTAGACTAGAACTAGTTGGTTTAGTCAGTGGCTGGACAAAGTTCAGATACACAACCTAGCAAATGGGGCTATGCAAATATGCATAGGATGAACTGAAAACTCCATGTTGAGTTGAGAATCAATGGTATCCATTCTATAAAATAGCAATATTTCTAATCGGCAATTCTGTTTCAGTGAACACTCAACAGGTAATAACAAGTAAAAGCTTCTAATCATGTGCAACAGCAAAAACAACAGTAGCCTAACTGACATCAGTGAGTAGACAGAGGAGTCTATTGACTATCTCCAATCCAGTGCCTTGTGACCAACACTAACCAAATACTTTCACTTCTCCACCGAGGAGGATTATGAAACAAAGTGACTAGGGATGTATACAGTGTTTGAGGCAAGTGTACAACTAACTAGGCCCTACATAGGTACCAGTGGAGGCTGCTTAGGGGAGGACAGCTCATAATAATGGCTGGAATGGAGTGGTATCAAACACATGAAAACCCATGTGTTTGATACCATTCCATTCACTCCATTCCGTCCATTATTATGAGCCATCCTCCCCTCAGCAGCCTCCAATGATAGGTACATAAGTGCACTTCGTGGGATACTTGGTTAGCTAGCTACATTACACACACTTCTCAATTTACATATTTGTGACGTAACCTGGCTGGCTGCTCTCCACTCTTGTGCTAGCGCACGAGCTAATGCTGTCGGCCAGCTATCATTAGGATGTTAGCTAACGAGGTTAATGATTAACCTTGGTTTAAAAGTACGATTACATTGAATAATAAGATAAACAAGCAGCCAAAATCCTTATTTTGCTACATATGTCACTTTCACCTTCGCTAGTTCGCAACCTACTCGAGCTCAGGCTTGGGCCTACCTACGGAATTTATGTCAACAACGGCTGAGATTCTGAATAACACGATTTGTTAACAAACATAACTAGTTAGCAAGTTAAACAACTGATGGTGGCTCTTCTGACAACGTAAAGTTCTCTGGGGAATGTGTATATGTGTTATTTTAGCTACATTTGTGTGCAGACGTGATGTATCTATAGAATTAACGGTAGTTAGCTAACTATTCATCCCCCCTTTCCATTCTGAAATAACTGGGAACAGAGAGCTAGCCTCTGAGACACCGTTAACCTACACACTAACAAACAAGGGCCTGGCTAAAGGCTATTTTGCATGTTGACCAGTTAGCCAACTTGTTGTCATTGAGTAATTAGTGACATTATCATCTTCCTTTACCTTAACACAGTCGATGGGATACATTAGGCAGTGTTCCATGATGCCAGCCACGGCACCGGCTAACATGTGTGTACTGGTGGCGACACCCTGGGGGAGCCCTTCATAGTCTATTTCGGTCTCGATAGCAGCCACCGTGGGCTCCGGGGCTGCTCGAAGTTGCAACACCGCAGCAAAGTCCGGTTCCGCTGTTATCCGTGGCGGTGACAGACCACCAACAAACCCCTCCGTAGCGTCCAAAATCCTCCCGCCGAGCCATCGAATGTCTGCCCCTGCAGCTCCAGCAGTAACCCCGGCATCGACGCTTGGTGTGTCCACGGACATTCTCCGCCTGGACACGAAACCATTCGCTTCCATGCAGAGACGATATAGTTAAGTCCAAGTTGCGCGGTTATTCCTCCGTGTCTCCTCTTCTCAAAGTCGACACTTTCGCCACCCGTCTCTGAGGGTAGCTCCAGCCGAGGACGGGCCGCACAACAGACAGACACTGCGGATCAAGCAAGGGGAGGCTAAAGTCGGCGTGGCGAATGCATTGGGCGGACTAGGTAGGGAAGAGGAGAGGGCTTGTCAGTAAGTCACGCCGGAAACGGTTACATGATTGGGTATTTCCCCGGTCAATCCTTATGAAATATGGGATGAATCCCAGCGATTGGCTGTTTTGCCGTGTAATTATTCATAAAATAAGGCGGGAATAGACGAAAGGGGCGGGACATGGAAGGCTGACAATTTTATAAGCTCCCTTTTCGCAACCACAGCAGTCACGTTTTACTGTAGTTGTTGCCGAATGTGGGTATATGTAATCACTACGAAGGTCAATAACTTGACTCCAACGACATGCATCAGCGCTTCTTGCTCTTAGGGTTTAGCTATATTAAAATGTGTCCCCAACACTGGCTTCGAAGGTCATCACTGTTCTGTCTACTGTGAAATTACTTGGTGAAATGATGCATGACAGGCTCACTGTGCATGCAATGGAAGCGATGCAAGAATGTAATTGCATGCAGATAAATAATATACATCAAAAGATACATAACATAACAGCTATAGATTTTAAACTGACCAATGTCAATGTGCATTGGTCAAACTTGATTGTACAAGTCGCACGCACCACACGGGGGCATCATTCAGCACATTGGACAGCGACGTGTTCAGTTACTTGGCCACGTCGGGCACCGGAAGCTACATCATCTGACGGATTTAAATGTTCTTTTTATTTTCCTGGATGAAGATTAATCTCGTTCGAAGAAAATAGATGTTGTTGTTAATCTGTGATTCAAGAGTAGGATCCACCCGTGATTAAACCGGCTGGGATGACGTGACGGCCAGCGTTAATTTGTATCAAAGTAAGTTTGGAACAGTGACAATGTTACAATGTATGGAAATATTGTAGCTAGTCCACCTGGCTACAGCTGTAACATTCACCGGAAGCCGGTTAGTTATCGGTATTGTTCCAGTTTTAGTCGATCCAAATCGCTATATCAATACAAATTCTGTGCACAGGCCACGTATTCATTCTTTGTTAAATTGCGATCACAGTGGATGAATTGAGATTAGTTTAGCTTGTAGAGATAACAGTTTACTGGCAAGTAAGAAATCTTACATAACACACTGTTTTAAATAATATATAAAGTAACTAGTTGGCAGAGCAACCTAGACTCAGGGGTTGACGTAACATAGGGAGGGGCATTCATAGGGTGCGTTTCTATTGCACATGCATGTACTGTATCTATTCCTATTGACACTGCTTTAATTTAACACATGTAGCTAGTTCGCTGTTCCTTGGTTACTCTGTGATTTACCGAATTGTAGGCCTAGCTACCTATGTTTCAGGTCCACAACTAACTTGAAGGGATACGTGGTGAATTACTTTTCTGTCGACGTGACTCTATATTCCTTCTCTCCAGATCACCACGGGAAAGCAACACCTGGGTCCACGTAGTACGTTCCCAACCATGAGGAGGTGACAGGCAGCCAGCTAACTCTGCTGCTAGGTCTTGCTGCTTGGACATATGGCAAGGTAACACACACTTTCTTTTTGCGGGGTGCTATTGTTAGCCAATCTAGCTCGAATCTCCAACAGCATAACCAGCTATCACAATACAGGGATATGTCTAGAGTTAGAACAGGGATATGTCTAGAGTTAGAACAGGGATACAGTGGCTTGCGAAAGTATTCACCCCCCTTGGCAGTTTTCCTATTTTGTTGCCTTACAACCTGGAATTAAATTGTTTTTTTTGGGTGTTTGTATCATTTGATTTACACAACATGCCTACCACTTTGAAGATGCAAAATATTTGTTATTGTGAAACAAACAAGAAATAAGACAAAAAAACAGAACTTGAGCTTGCATAACTATTCACCCCCCCCAAAGTCAATACTTTGTAGAGCCACCTTTTGCAGCAATTACAGCTGTCTCTTGGGGTATGTCTCTATAAGCTTGACACATCTAGCCACTTGGATTTTTGCCCATTCTTCAAGGCAAAACTGCTCCAGCTCCTTCAAGTTAGATGGGTTCCGCTGGTGTACAGCAATCTTTAAGTCATACCACAGATTCTCAATTGGATTGAGGTCTGGGCTTTGACTAGGCCATTCCAAGACATTTAAATGTTTCCCCTTAAACCACTCAAGTGTTGCTTTAGCAGTATGCTTAGGGTCATTGTCCTGCTGGAAGGTGAACCTCCGTCCCAGTCTCAAATCTCTGGAAGACTGAAACAGGTTTCCCTCAAGAATTTCCCTTTATTTAGCGCCATCCATCATTCCTTCAATTCTGACCAGTTTCACAGTCCCTGCCGATGAAAAACATCCCCACAAGCATGGTGGTGGCAGCATCATGCTCACTGTGGGGATGGTGTTCTCGGGTGATGAGAGGTGTTGGGTTTGCGCCAGACATAGCGTTTTCCTTGATGGCCAAAAAGCTCAATTTTAGTCTCATCTGACCGGAGTACCTTCTTCCATATATTTGGGGAGTCTCACACATACCTTTTGGCGAACACCAAATGTGTTTGCTTATTATTTTATTTAAGCAATGGCTTTTTTTCTGGCCACTCTTCCGTAAAGCCCAGCTCTGTGGAGTGTACGGCTTAAAGTGGTCCAATGGACAGATACTCCAATCTCCGCTGTGCAGCTCCTTCAGGGTTATCTTTGGTCTCTTTGTTGCCTCTGATTAATGCCCTCCTTGCCTGGTCCGTGAGTTTTGGTGGGCGGCCCTCTCTTGGCAGGTTTGTTGTGGTGCCATATTCTTTCAATTTTTTAAATAATGGATTTAATGGTGCTCCGTGGGATGTTCAAAGTTTTGGATATTTTTTTATAACCCAACCCTGATCTGTACTTCTCCACAACTTTGTCCCTGACCTGTTTGGAGAGCTCCTTGGTCTTCATGGTGCCGCTTTCTTGGTGGTGCCCCTTGCTTAGTGGTGTTGCAGACTCTGGGGCCTTTCAGAACAGGTGTATATATACTGAGATCATGTGACACTTAGATTGCACAAAGGTGGACTTTATTTAACTATTTCTTATTTAGGGGCTTCATAGCAAAGGGGGTGAATATATATGCAGACACCACTTTTCCGTTATTTATTTTTTAGAATTCTTTGAAACAAGTAATTTTTTTCATTTCACTTCACCAATTTGGACTATTTTGTGTATGTCCATTACATGAAATCCAAATAAAAATCAATTTCAATTACAGGTTGTAATGCAACAAAATAGGAAAAACGCCAAGGGGGATGAATACTTTTGCAAGGCACTGTATGCCTATAGCTAGAACAGGGATATGTCTAGAGTTAGAACAGGGATATGTCTAGAGTTAGAACAGGGATATGTCTAGAGTTAGAACAGGGATATGTCTAGAGTTAGAACAGGGATATGTCTAGAGTTAGAACAGGGATATGTCTAGAGTTAGAACAGGGATATGTCTAGAGTTAGAACAGGGATATGTCTAGAGTTAGAACAGGGATATGTCTAGAGTTAGAACAGGGATATGTCTAGAGTTAGAACAGGGATATGTCTAGAGTTAGAACAGGGATATGTCTAGAGCTAGAACAGGGATATGTCTAAAGTTAGAACAGGAGTGACGTCCATAAACACTCTTCCCAGGTAGTGGATCAGAGAGAATAAAAAAATAGAACGAAAAGTATATGGGCCTACTGGTATAATAATGGTCCCAAAGGACAACGTCTGGACCACAAACTGGTGCTTCTTCAGAAGGACCGTGAGGTAACACACACTAACCGGACTGCTGTATTGACTTGATGGCAGGATTTGAACTTCAGCATGGGTTTAGGTGAAGAGGTCTATGTTTATGGTTGTTTGAAATGTTACTACGGTGTTCTGTTATACAGAACGAGTAATGCAATAACTGTGAGCATGTGCCCATGCGTTATGTTGTAGTAGGCTATATCTATGACAATAACGAAAACTCCCCCCCCTCCCCTCCTCCCCTCCAGGATAAGTTTCTCATGCCTGCCAGCCTCCTGGTACTGCAGTGTGTCCCTGCTGTCTCTGGGCTGTGTGCCCAGGCAAAGGGCCTTCTTCCTAGTGTTCCTCACCTGCTCTGCCCTGGTCTTCCTGGGGGTCTACCAGACTGAGCTCTGGGGGCCCCAGCGCCACAGGGGACACGTCAACAAGTGAGTGGGACGTCAGATGAACAGACAGACAGAGAGCGAGAGAAAAACAGACACACACACACCAGGCCAAGTGGTTGCACTGTACTGCTACTGAGTCAACACTCTTAATTATTCTGCATTCAAAGTGTAATTGTATGGTGTCTAACATGTTTTTCCTGTCTCTCTCTCTCTCTTCCTCCCTCTATCCTACCCACCTTTCTCTCTCTCTCCTAGATACCTCTCCTCTGTGGAGACCATGGAGGCTACTGACGTCACCAACGTAGCTCTGAACTATGGGATTGTGGTGGACTGTGGCAGCAGCGGCTCCAGGGTGTATGTGTACTACTGGCCCCCCCACCATGGAAACCCCCACACCCTGCTGGACATCAGGCAGATGAGGGACCATGACCGCCACCCTGTGGTCAAGAAGATCAAACCTGGTGAGGAGGGTTAGGTGGGGAAGGAGTGGGGGTGGGAGGGGGCTACAACAACAGCAGAGAACAACCTTACTGTTGAATGACCAGGAAAAAAAGGATGTTATCCTCACATATGCCGTTGCCACATCATAGTAGGAACATGTTGTCTTTACTCTGTCAGATGCCTTTTTACCTCTTTACCTTTGGTACAGAGAGAGCTAAGATACAGTAGCTAGGTAACGGGAACTGCCAACATAAAGTGTCTTAGTGGGGCGTTGAGCCATTAGAACTGCCAGAACAGCTTCAATGTGCCTTGGCATAGATTCTACAATCTGTGTCTGGAGCTCTACTGGAGGGATCTTCCATGAGAAATTCCTTCATTTGATTTTTTTGTTGATGGTGGTGGAAAACGCTGTCTCAGGCGCAGCCAAATAAGTGTTTGATTGGGTTGAGATCTGGAGACACACACACACACACACACACACACACACACACACACACACACACTTTAAACCCCTAAGCTCCTTTGGGACCCCTCTTTCAAAGTCACTGAGATCTCTTGTTCTAGGGATGGTAGCCAAAATAATGAGCAACTGGGTGTTGTTATACATGACCCTAAGCATGATGGGATGTTTTAATTTCTTAATGAACTCAGGAACCACACCTGTGTGGAAGCACCTGCTTTCAGTATACTTTGTATCCCTCATTTACCCAAGTGTTTCCATTGTTTTGGCAGTTACCTACATGTTCACCATGTAGGGGCGTGGCACCCCAGAATAAGTTGTTATACAGCATGTGGAGGGTTTTCCCCTGTGTTTTCCCATGTTTTCAGGCCAGACCTACACGTCCTCAACCTGCTGTTGTTATCTACGTTTTTTCCCCATTACCTCCTATTTGCCTGGTACATGAAAACACTGGGACTGAGGATGACCGCAATTGCTAAGCAGTTAGCAGCTGCTATGTTCCCAATAAATTAACAGTAGAATTTAGAGAGAAATAGTAAATCTGCCCTGTTACACCCCAGCCAATGCCACTACCTCATCGCCAACTCAACTATCGCTAACTTTTCTTTCTTTCTTTCTCCCCTCCTCTCCAGGTATTTCCACCATGGCTCTGACCCCAGCCAAGGCCAGTGACTACCTCCACCCCCTCCTCTCCTTCGCTGCTACCCATGTCCCCAGGAAGAAACACAAGGAGACTCCTCTCTATATCCTCTGTACTGCTGGCATGAGACTGCTGCCTGAGAGGTAGGCCTCAAGCCTCCGCCCTGTCAGGGTTCAAGGGTCAGCTGGGGGTGAAGCACAGGATCTACCCCTAGAGATCTGTGGAAGGTTTAGGGCATTGATTTTTACATCGCTAACAGCGGTTTAAAACGTGTGTTTATTTATCCCCATTTCACTCCCCTTCCCAGTCAGCAGACTGCTATCCTGGAGGACCTGGTAAGAGATGTTCCTGTGGAGTTTGACTTCCTGTTCTCCAGCTCCCATGCAGAGGTGATCTCTGGGAAACAGGAAGGTGAGACAGAGAGCTGTGAGCATGATGGGAATATGGTGCAGTTATACCTAGACACTGATCGATTCCTGGGACCACCCATACGTAAACTGTATGCATGCATGACTAAGTCGCTTTGGATAAAAGTGTCTTCTAAATCTGTATACATTGGTGTGAAAAAAGGCCAGATGGTCTAATTGTACTAATACACTGCACCTGTCCTCTGTGTGTGTGTTTATGTGGTGTTAATGGTAACACTGCCTCTCTGCTCTCAGGTGTGTATGCATGGATTGGTATTAACTTTGTGTTGGGACGCTTTGACCATGCAGAGTACGGTGAGTGTGAGGTTATGGCTTCTTTGATGATGTCGCTTGTATGTTCACTGCAAAGGATGAGGCTGGATTTTGTATAGAGTTATGGCTTGGCTGTAGGCCTGAAACATACCGGTCGGTAGCCACCATTTTTCTAGGGCGTTAGATGCCATATATGGCGGCTATAGCCATGTCTCAAGGTTAGGTTAAGGCCTTTGCAGACTGATTTTTGCCGTCTTATGCCACGGTTTTGCCGCCCCCATCTACATTTCCACGTCGCGGGCAAATTCTTAGGTGGTAAACGATTGTCGGCCGTCTTGGCTCATTCCGTGTGAGCGGGTCTAGGTCTGCCGATTCTTAAGCACCGCCACGTGCGGTCGTAGGCTCGGACAAAGTTCTATCAGTGTCAGAATGTTTTTGCCTTTATCGTGTCGTGTGGCAGGTGTTACAAGCTGATCCCGATGACTGACCAATAGGAACACGGCCGGCACTGAGTATGCACACAATACGATTATTGTGAATGGTCAGATTAATATAATAGTTTCATTTAAACGTTTAGCCTACATGCTGTGCAAGAAGAACGATTTCCCTAATAATGTTGTTAACATTACACATCTGAAATCAGGCTACCTGATGGGATTTTGATAAATGCACAAAATCGCCAATCAAAATAAACGTTCTACCACAGCGACCATGTTATTTTGGGGAAGCCTATTTGATTCTGAGTTTGGACATATAACGTTTATATGTGAAAACTACTTCTAAGATGCATAGGGGAGAGCCGGGGCGAAAGTAACACGCCCATTTTCTCAGATAACACAGAAGCTAGAATGACGTAGTGAAGTCAGCACGTTCTTAATGCGGAGGATGAGCTCCCTGCAAAAAAACAGCCCAGTCTGAACATGGTTCGCTGTGTTATTAACATTAAGTGGTTTTGAATAATGAAAAAAATAAAAACTGGCCCAGAAGTGTTTTTCGGTTGTTTAGTGGTTTAAGGTTCCAAACATATTTCATTTTCTTAACCCGTCTAGTAACTAAATGAAAAGCATAGGTTTCAACTGTCATGCTAGCTAGTCTTGGGTGTTAGCCTGGGAGAAGTTACAGGAGACGGATGGGACGAAAGTAACACAATGTAAACTGATGACCTGGAATAAAATCAAAAAAACGTTTAAGCACAGGCCGTTCTCTCCTTTAGTTCATATTGCTTTTATAATGTTAGCAAAATATTAACAAGTGACAATGTTTGAAAATTATATGACATCTTTACAATTACGCCTTAATCAATTGACTTGATGGATCAGCTTTTCACGTAAGCTTTTATCGACTGGTTAGTGGTTGAAAATATGTATCTGATATATATTCTGGTGGTCAATTACCTTGTGTCAAGCCATGGAAATGTGACAAACAAGATGAGTTTGCTGTTTGTGAAGAGAATAAAGCCGTTTGTTCTATCAAGCCACGAGGAGCGCATGACAAGGACAGCTGATTGGTAGGGCTAATCATGAATAGTCACTGATTATTGCGAAAAACATCTCCTACATTCCCATTCAAGTGAGATGAGAAAATGATGGTTAATATAGCTATTATGTGATCCATTTTCGTCCGATTTAATATTGTAAGCAAAATATTGTGGTTGCGCAACGCATGGTTCATTTTCATAAATGACGAACCTATAGCATTAATTATTCAAATCGACACAAACATGAAATTATGGCTGATGGTACTTTTGTTGAAAGTAAGACCATTACAAACCAGAAACATGGGAGAAAATTCCGATATTGTGCACTTCTCGCCAGCTGTTACTACCGTCCCAAAGCTGTTTTACTCCTTCCCTGCCAGCAGGTACAAAGGAAACGTTGTGGTAGTTCTGTTCTCATCTATTTCATTGAAACTAATTACCCTAGAAATGCTATTACAGTTGCTAATGGTAGAGGACATATATAAGTTGTGTGTCATAACGTATGGTGTCTCTAGCTCTATCGATCTCTGAGTAATTAGAGAGAATAAATAGTGTTACTTTCCTCCTGGTTCTCCCCTACTTTAAGTTTTTACTAACTCTCTTCTTCAATGAGGTTTAACAGCGGTTGGCATCCAATTTGTTGCATTACGGCCACCTACTAGACTGGAGTACAACTCCCTTTTCTTTTCCTTGAAAAATAAAATAAAACAAAGCAAAGAAATACCCTACCATCTAACACTACACTCACAAATTCAAAACTATTACTAATAATTAACCCCACCCTTCTCCACTATTTAAATATATTAATTCCTACCTCATGCCCTCAACCTGAAATGATAGGACATCACCACTTAACACTCCCTGTAACTCTTCTGATGTCTAGTCTCGCACACCCAAATATCTCTCTGCAGCTGCCACTACACCCTCAATTTTCTTCGACTTACGTTCCATCCCTGCAGTACAATTAATAACCATTACTATAAATGCTAAAAATCCAATCTTACTGAAACATATATCACTTGTTGACCTATCCCTCTGTACTGGTACAGATCTACTACTCTCACCACTCCTCCCCCTTGACCCATCTTCCTCTACTTTCTTCACTGCCTCAGCATATGAAAAACTCTGCCACTACTCTTACCCTGGGAACCTCAACCGCCTCTCTCGCACAGGACATTTCTGATCCCAGCCCCTTGGCCACCCCTACAATTAGCACATACCACTACTTTCCCTAATGCTACACATTCCTTTGTCTCATGTCCTTTTGCACACTTCTCACACCTTGGAACCTCCCTCCTACACACTGCTGCCACATGCCCATAAATTTGACACCTGTAACATCGTAATGTACTCGGCACATAAGCTCGCACAGGATAACTTATATATACTAATTTCACTTTATCAGGCAAAGACTCAACTTCAAAACTCAAAAGAACAGACAATGACTCTTCTGTTTCCCCACTCTCGCCACCCTGTTTGCGTCGCTCTAACTCACTTCACTCACATGCGCAGATCAACAGTTGACGTAGCTTACGCCAGCTGACCTATCCTCGCAAGCCAATCGCAGAATGCGACGAACAGAACTGAAGCAAGTCGTACAATCTGGCCAGGATGATATCAAGATTTTTATTTGGTAACGGTGTGGTAATCGCACAGTGTGACATGATAATCGTAAAAGACTGAATCCGACTAGCTAATTATGATGATGAACCAGATTTGATGGCATCTGATTGCTTGTTTGTCAAAGGATGATGCCGGGGTTTGTATATATGGACATGCATTTTCCTTTTGAACAGACTGAGAAAAACATGAAAGTTGATCATTGATGCCTTTACATACGTACCTACATTTGACCGGTTACCCACCATTGACATGACTGACACTCAATTCTCAATTTTCCTAGAAGATGATGCAATGGTGGAGGTCACTACAGGGTCACAGAACAATCACCCAATCAGCCGACGGCGCACAGTGGGCATCATGGACATGGGCGGAGCCTCGCTGCAGATAGCCTATGAGGTGCCTAGCGCAGTCCACTTCAGTTCACCTGAACAGGTAAGGAAGGAGCCACCTGAGAGCTAGCATTCTCTAGCATTCTCATTCTATTTGTTTGGTATGACTGGCTGTTGTAGACTGGTAAGCCTAATGTTAGAGTTTAGTAAACCACACCATGTATTTGGAGATAATGTCTGCGTCCAGATTCTCCACACCAGGGTCGTATTCATTAGGGCACACCATAGCAAAACGTTTTGCAACGTAAAAAGAAAATGAGCATTTCTTATTGGACAAATTCAGGTAGTCCTTCCCTGTTTCCGTGTGATTTCTTCAACTTGGTGCCTTTATGAATCTCCCGTGTATTGGAAATAATTGAACAACAAGATTGTTACAAATCTATGATTCAAGGAGTAGGGTGAAGTTGCCGGTAAACACTTATCTTGGGCCAGTTTAGAATTGGGGGAGGGGAAGCTGATCCCCAGAGCATGATTTTATGGTTTAAGTAACGTATGTGGTTCTCTGTCTCCCTCTACAGGAGGAGTCTGGTAAGAGCCTGCTGGCAGAGTTTAACCTGGGCTGTGATTCAGAGCATACGCAGCACGTCTACCGTGTATATGTCACCACGTTCCTGGGCTTCGGGGGGAACATGGCCCGACAACGCTACGAAGACCAGCTGATCAACTCCACCATCACCAAGAACAGGTAGGACCGGTGGGGTGACACGTACACGGACGCAGAGAGAGCGAGACACACACACACACACAGAGGCACAGACATATAGAGACAGACAGACAGACACTTGCATAAACATAGACGCAGACATTCTCCAATTCATCAACTTCCTCCAATTTGATCTCGACACCTTGAGTGTGAGAACTCTTTGATTGACCGACTGACTGTCACTTCCTGGTTGTCCTCCAGGCTGACAGGCGATCAGACGGGCATGATGGAAGCCACGCCCCTCGCGGACCCGTGCCTCCCCGTCGGCCTATCAGACGTGGTGCGTCGTGACGGCCGTGCGGTCCACCTGAGAGGGCAGGGGGACTGGGCGCGTTGCCAGGGGGCAGTCAGGCCCTTCCTGGGTCTCCACAACGGCACCATGGGGTCCCCCAGGGGGGTGTACCAGGCTCCCATCGACTACAGCAACTCAGAGTTCTACGGCTTCTCTGAGTTCTTCTACTGCACTGAGGATGTACTGAGGATGGGGGGACCGTACGACAGCGCCAAGTACTCCAAGGCTGCCACGGTAACCACATCTCATCATTCTAGAACTTATCATGATCAGAAATTCTAGAACAGGGTTTCCTCTGTCATTACCTAGGCAGGTTAAGTTTCTCCCCACCTAGCTCTCTTGGTCCCGATTTATAAGTCTAGTTTCAACAACAACAAAAAATCCTTGGGAGATGCCTTTCTTTGCACTGCCGAAGAAATCTGAGGGAAAACATTGGTTTTGTGAAAGGCAAGAAAATGACTTGTTTGTCATTGTCTCTTGGAATGATAGCCTGGTACCAGTCTGTTTGTGCCGTCACGCCACTCCTAGTCATGTTTGGCATGATGAGGAGTTGGAATGATAGCCTGGTACCAGTCTGTTTGTGCTGTCACGCCACTCATGTTTGGCATGATGAGGAGTTGGCATGATAGCACAAACATATCTGGGACCAGGCTGTCTTTAAGTTCTTAAATCGCTGAGAGATCTTTCCAGGAAGTAACTCCGTTGTCTCCTGTCTGTCTGCAGGACTATTGTGCCACCAAATGGTCGACCCTGACAAAGCGTCTGGACAGCAAGCTGTTCTCTAAACAAGCAGACGCCTCCAGACTGAAGTACGAAACCCTTCAACCCAGTTACTCACTATGCCGTTTATAGTGTATATGTGTAATAGATATTAATCTACGTCGATCTGTCTGGAGATGTAAATGCCTATCTAATAAAAATGGAATGGCATATTGTGTATATTCCAGTCAGATGTAAATCTCAACTTGCTTTACAGTGTACCTGACCTCATCAACCACCTCCCTCCCTGTCCAGGTACCAGTGTTTTAAGTCAGCCTGGATGTTCCAGGTGCTCCACTCAGGCTTCAGGTTCCCTAAGGACTACCCCAGCCTGAAGACTGCTCAGCTGGTCTATGACAAGGAGGTTCAGTGGACCCTGGGAGCCATCCTGTTCAAGACACGCTTCCTGCCTCTCAGGTCTGTGGGCACTTCCTGTGTCTGTCTGTCTGTCTGTCCGTCTGTCTGTCTGTCTGTCTCTGTTATTAATCCATCTCTCTCTCTCCTCTCTAACAGGGACCTCCAGGCAGAGTCATTTAAACAGGGCCACTCCAACTGGCTGCGTTCCTCCTTCGTCTACAACCACTACTTGTTCTTTGCCTGTATCCTGGTGGTCCTGCTGGCCATCCTACTGTACATCCTCCGCCTCCGCAGGATCCACCAGAGAGAACAGAGGCAGGCTGAGGCCCTGGACCTGCTCTGGGTGGAGGAGGGGGAGGCTCTGCTGGCCTGATCCAGGATCACTTTAGACTCTGAATCCTTCTTGACCTGAGGCCCTGGGTGTGGGGTGGGGTGGGGGGAGTTACTGATCTAAGATCAGTTGAGATTCTCTAAGTAACTGTAACTGGTGTTAATAGCCTGTTATGCACAGATCTAGGATCAACCTTTCACCCGCTGAGTTGTAGGCTTGACTGGGGCTCCATTTGTTAAGAGGCACTGATCTAGGATCAAATTATCATCCGAAAATCGTAACCTTGACTGTGACCAATGGCCTGTTGGGACAATGATCTAGGACCAGCATGGACACGCTGAATCGTAACGTTGACTATTGGGTAGAAAGGCACAACAATGCAATAGCAACTTCATCCTACAACGAAGGTTCGAATTATGGGGGTGCTGGACACTCCTGTTTGACAAATCTTTACACCCCAGATACAGATATCAACGTTGACCTGACTGTGAGCACCCTCCTGAAACAGAAAATATCAACCAAGGGGCAAACCACTATTTGTAGTTACCTCTGGACCTAGAGTGTTGATGTAAATAGAACCCTAAGTAGGAGGGGCCATGGAACTGGAACCTTCAAAAGGGGGAGGAGAATTGCAGGATGTGGGTGTGGTCTTGTGGGCGGAACTTCGTAAAGGGAAAACTGTGAATCGTTAAAATGATGAAACAGGAAAATCCCAATAGGTGAAAGACTGTGAGGACTGAGCCATTCCATTTCTATTGTAGATAATTCACTGTTGCAGAGATGGACCACTGTGTTGGCCATTTTGTTTGAAGGAAGGTGAAGCTTGACGTGTGAGGTAGAAGTTGCCCTTAATCACAGATCTAGGATCAGATACCCTAATCCTAACCTTAACTATTGATGCAAATAAAATCTGACCCTGTATCTGTGGTTAGGGGTAACTTCTAGCTACTCTTTGATGAAAAGGGTGCCTCTATGATTGTCTGTTTGGACAGTATTGTAACCATGACGATACACACTGTGTGTCTGACCAGTATACTTCCTGTAAAACTCACAAACAGGAAGTGCATTCATTCCTTAATAATCCCACCATGGGAATGTTTTTGATTTGAAGCTTTCAAATAGAAAAAGGCTTTATTGATTTGTATTGAAAAACAACAATGAGGAATCAAACAATTTATTACAGGGGTTCATTAAATCTCAAATGTTTGAGACGATGTCTCTTTTTAACGTTTAACGTTTTTTAAACAGTTTGCTTTGGTGCTTGGAGCAGTTTGTTCTGAGCCAGTTATGTTGATGACAAGCTAAGAGAGTGAAACGGGTTGTCAGTGTTTAATGGATTGAAGTCGATGCCTTCTGACTGCATTGTGTTGAACTGTGGTACACACACACACACACACATACACACCTGTGTGACAGAGATGTGTTATGACAGGTCTATGTCAGACTGTCAGTGTTAGTTACCCACCAGCTCCTCACCTGCCCTGTACTGTAAATATCCAATCAGTGATCACTATCAGTCTGCTCCACAATCTCTTGATAATGTTTGGAGGTATTGCTGTTGTTAAATGAGATGCATTTAATTGCTAATCAAAGAAGCCATCTTGTTATTTTGAAGCTGTATAATTTGAGTGGTCACAATGCAACTGGAAATGTAGCGTCAGTGATTTTAATGTAAATTCAACACACTTCCTTTTAGGTTTTGACTGTTTCTACAGCTGAAATCTTCAGAGCAGCATTTGAATGTGGTCTAATACCAACCCTCTGTTTGACCTCTTGTCAGTTTTTGACCAATTTGTTTTGTTTTAGATTTTAACACGAGGAAGGGGCCTAAATGTTGCAGCTCCATTTTGACTCTTCCTAAAGAAGGACCAACGATCAACTGGACCAAGGCTGTGTCCCAAATGGCTCCCTATACAATGACCCTGATGGGACCTGGTCAAAAGTAGTGCACTATATAGGGAATAGGGTGCCATATGGGACACATACCAACCGGGCCGTTGCTAGCCTCAGAACTGGGCATTGTGCGATATGGGACTTTCATGCCAGGCATCCCAAATGGCACCCTATTCCCTATATAGTGCACTACTTTTAAGCAGGGCCCATAGGGCTTGGGTAAAGGTATTGCACAATGTAGGAAATAGGGTGCCATTTGGGACGTAATCCTAACTGTCTTGTCGGTCTCTTATTGAGGAAAAATAACTCAACATGGATGTGGAAAACAAACAAACACAAATCTGTTTTAAATAAATCAATGTTTTAAAACATTTCCCAATGGGTTGCTTCTCTTTGGGTACTTTCTCTTGGTATATGTTTAGGTCCAGGGTCGTATTCATTAGTGCACATGGTCGCAAAAATGTTTTGCAACGGAAAATAAAAATGTTTTCTTATTGGACAAGTTCAGGTAGTCCCTCCCGGTTTCATTTATTCCGTTTGGTTCCTAGTGTATACGACCCAAGCTGGTTTAGCAGGTCTTGGTAACGTGTGTGAATGTGCCCTAACATGAACCGAGGTCGGCAGTTGTCACTTTCCAGGGAATTCTGGGTGTTTGTAACATCCTGGTACGAGAGAGGGTGCAGGTCGACATGTGTGCCAACGTACCAAGGCTGACTCTCCCCGTTTATTTTCTCGAATTAAGCTCTTCTGTTGCGCTTTCTCTCAGATCACTAACGACGTAGGAAAGGAAACAAGGAGAGGAAACAAGGAGGGGAAAATCAAGGAGAGGAAACAAGGAGGGGAAACAAGGATGGGAAACCAGGAGAGGAAACAAGGAGGGGAAACAAGGAGAGGAAACAAGGAGAGGAAACAAGGAGGGGAAACAAGGAGGAGAAAAACAAGAAGAGGAAACAAGGATAGGAAACAAGGATGGGAAACCAGGAGAGGAAACAAGGAGGGGAAACAAGGAGAGGAAACAAGGAGGGGAAACAAGGAGGGGAAACAAGGAGGGGAAACCAGGAGAGGAAACCAGGAGGGGAAACAAGGAGGGGAAACAAGGAGGGGAAACAAGGAGAGGAAACAAGGAGAGGAAACGAGGAAAAACAAGGAGAGGAAACAAGGAGAGAAAACAAGGATGGGAAACCAGGAGAGGAAACAAGGAGGGGAAACAAGGAGGGGAAACGAGGAGAGGAAACAAGGAGGGGAAACAAGGAGGGGAAACAAGGAGGGGAAGCTTCTAAGAATATTCGGACACTGTCCAAACCAAAATTCTTATCTAGGGAAACAAAAAGAGCACCCTTACCAACGTGTTTTCTTAAAAATATACTTTAATACAACAGCTGCATATAAATATTAAAATATACATTATAATGGTGTACAGTACGCTCACACAAAACACAAAACAAAAATATTAGGCTTCTATTTGTACGGCACTTTGTATTTTTTTTCTTGCTGCTTTTTAACGTTTTTTTCTTTCATTTCATGATGTATTTTGCCAATCCAAAGCGTTTATTGTACTATTGTGATAATTCTTGTAGGTTATTGAAAACAGAGGGTGGGGGTTAGAGGAGTTGTGGAGGGATATGGGGGGTGCTGTACATGACATGATGACACGGCGTTCTGGAATGTATCCCGTTTGTAATCCAAAAGAGCTCCTCGTGTTCTAGAATCTGTGTTCTAGATAGAAAGTCCATTCCTCTTCTTACTTCGCTGTTAGAAAATCATTGGTTTGGGTATCATTTGTCTTCCTATGTCTGTCTGTCTGTCTGTCTGTGACAGTCCTGACGAGGTTTTAGGGTAACAAACCCAGGAGTCTCAGAGCTCTCTGTCTCTTCTGTCTCGGCAGCGCATCGCGTCTCCTTTGAAACAGGAGAGGGCCTCCAGTCTCTGGGAGGGAAATGTGTGAGTCTGCAGTGTGTGTTTGTGAGAGTCTGCAGTGTGTGTGTGAGAGTCTGCAGTTCATGAACAGTCACAGAGGGGTCACTGTAGCCCCACTAGGGTCGTCTTACATCCGAGCCCATTCAGGCTTTAAACACAAAGCACACACAGGCCTTCTTCATCTCACACACACACACACACACACACAGATTAAGCTGAGGGGGAATTCACCTCCTTCCTCAGTTTCAACCATTTCAGACAATGAATCCAGAGAATAGTGTTCTCCAACTACAAAAGACCAGCTAGATTAGAACACCAGGTAGTGTCCGTTCTTCCTGGTATGAACATGGAAAAAGTAGCAACAATACCTCGTTATAACATACTACAGTATAGGCCTAGAAATATGGCCGGAAAAATGCATCCTACAAATGTGTAATAAGTAATACAGTGCTCAAACTCGTTGTTGAACCGTTTGTTTGACCGTTCAAACTGGATTCAGCCCTTGTTGTCGAGTGCTCAAAGGCATTCTAGAACTCTGGATTTCAAAAGGCTGTATTATCAGGAAGGATCTGTCTCTGGGATCGGCTAGCTCTCCCTTTCTGTGGCAACGATGATTCCCAATCTGAAAAGTATGTCAGAGAGCCGACTTGTTTAGTTTCCCCTTACAGTGTGAAGCTGTGTTAGACCAGGGAGCTGGGTAAATGCCTGCGTCTGAAATGGCACCCTATTCCCTATATAGTGGACTACTTTTAACCAGAGCCCTATGGGCCGAGTCCTGGTGAAAAGTAGTGCACTATATATTGAACATGGAGTCAGTTCGGATGCACCCAATCTGTGATCGGCCAGATGGCTTGCTTCTTGTTTCCCCCATCTACTGTATGCCAGGTGGCCAATCGGGCTGAAGGTGGAGATCTGACTCGACTAATTTCCCCTGGCGCCTCCTCTCTATTCAAGGTAAAACATAAACATCAGTGTTCTGAGAAGCAGAGTGAGTGGGAGGAATGCTAGCCGAGCGTAGAGAGAGAGAGAGAGAGAGGGAGACAGTGAGAGAGATACATCGTCCATGCCAAGACCTCGACGCCACTCCCGTTCCATCAGTTAACCCTAAACACAACCAAAACACAACCCATGAAACGGGTACATGAACAGAAAGAAAAAAACGAATACATTTAGTGTAGGCCTAAGTAGGGAAAAAACAACCGTTTGTGGGTTTGTTACAGTTGACGGTTATTTCTACAGTTGTTGTTGTTGTTGCAGAAAGCAGCAGGAGGGCATGTGAAGTGAAGTAGGCTAGTGCTCCTGCCAGAGAAGAGATCGTGTGACTGTTCTGGCACGGTGTGTGTGTGTGTGTGTGTGTGTCGAAGAGAAGCCTCAGCCTGAGAGAGAAATGTATAACCACAGTACAGTACAGTACCACTCGCTCTCCACCATTTTACCAACATAGAGAGAGAGAGGTAATCAACCAAGGCTTGCATTCCAATGTCAATACTACCCAGCTCAAAGGACATGATAGAAATGACTTTATCAGGACCAGATTACAACTAGTTCTGGTAATAAACTAGTTGTAATGATGTTATTATTTCAACCAGGTTTTGCCCTCTTGGTACACAACACAATATCCGCCCACTACATTGCTCCATAGCACATGGTACAGTACTATGCTAGTATGGACATTTGGAACACAGCCTAAGTCCTAACTTCTTAACTTTCACTCAAATCAATGGGAAAGTGTAATTTATGTGGAAGTTACTATTTACCCCTAAAAGAGATGATTATTATCATACTAGCCGTTCTGAGCCCAAATCCCAACGTGTGTTTGTGAGTTATCATCATGATATACAATATGAGTAACAAAACAAAAAAACCCATTCAGAGAGCATCGTGTGTTGTGTTGTGTTGTTTTGGGCGGTTTGGAAGAGGTCTGTCCCCTAGTAAAAGGACAGTGTCCCAACGTAATGTCAGACCTGACTGCCCATTTGTTTGTCCTCGCCAGTCAGTGTATCTTCCATCTGTCTTTGGCATCGTGTTCTCTTACAGTGCTCAGGGCTGCATTCAGGAGTACCAACGGTACACGAAAACGTTCCACAGTGAAGCCTGATAGGAGTTTTTCGTTTTTTAAATGTACAATCTTTTGTATTATATTTTGCATATGGTAAAGGTATGTACTGTGTAATAACCATCCTCTGTCCTCTTGCTGTTTGAACTTTTAAAATGCTTCATTCCTTCCTTCCTCTCCTCCTTGAAAATCATGTTAGTGATAACGTCAAGGAAAAGAAGAAGGATGCCTTTTAAAAGTATTGAAACAGCACCTTGGGGTTTCTAAGTATCTTCACACCTCAGCTTTGAGGACCATCACCACAGCAGCAGCCGGTGCACCTGAGCACCAAATCGTTGAAGGTTAAATGACTCTTTAACACGCTGGTGGGGCGTTCTACAGGATGGAATTTCCATAGGTGAGAATGGAACATTTTTATGGAACATTGGCTCTGGAACGCAGCCCGGGTTTCTCAAGGTTGGTTCTCTTTGAAAAAACAGAACAGTATTGCTTAACATCGCCATGGTGATCTATCCGTCAATACCGCCTCTGAAATGGGCCTGCCTTTAATTCATTTAATGCATGTTTACATTTCTTTATTGTCTTGTTTGGTTGCTTTGACTGTGTACCTCGATAGGTAAATACCCACTGTGCACAGACGTCAATTCAACATTTATTCCATGTTGGTTCAACCATGCTTAATTGAAATGAAGTGGAAACAACATTGAACCAACCAGTGTGTGCCCAGTGGGTATGCTCATTGCTTGGTTGTTCTGTTCAGGCATACTGTACTGTACTGTAGGTCATCGTGGCTTATAGCTCTAGTAGGCACATCAAACACAACATTGCCCTTTCAACGTTAAAGGCCCAGTGCAGTCAAAAATGTGATTTTCTTGTGTTTTATATATATTTCCACTGAATAATATGTCGAAATTGTGAAAATTATGATAATGGCGTTTTAGTGTAAGAGCTGTTTGAAAAGACCACCTGAAATTTCAGCCTGTTTTGGTGGGATGGAGTTTTGGCTTGCCTGGTGACATCACCATGCGGCAAATTAGTTAACAGACCAATAATAAAGAGAGTTCCAAACCTCTCTGCCAATGACAGCTAGTTTTCAGTTTTCCCCTCCCCACTCAGACCCCTCCCAGACAGTCCGTAAATTGCTCTTTGTTAAGAAGCTATAATTTTTGACAATTTTAACTGAAAACAATCATATTAAGGTACTTAATTTTTACCCTGAAATTATTTAATATTAAGATAAAAACATCTGCATTGGACCTTTAACACAATGTTTCAACTTTAGCACAATATTGCTCTTAAAAAGGTTAACACAACGTTACTCTTTCAAGGTTAATACAACATTGCTCTTTCTACATTAGCACAACATTGCTCTTTCAATATTAACACAAAGTTGCTCTTTCTACTTTAAAACAACATTGCTCTTTCTAGGTTAACACAACATTGCCCTTTTAACGTTAGCAGAATGTTCTGCCATGCTGTTGCTCAGGTGAGAAGTTGCATTTCACCAGAGCACCGTATACTATAGTATACTGAACCAGAAACCATATTCACCCTATACAGACCCAGACAACAACAGTTTCTGTTGCTGAAAACCCATGACCAAATACAACAAATAGGCTCTCAATCAATAATCATTTAAAAAAGGTACAGATATATTACTCTTTAGAAGGTGTTTGGTTGTACCCACCGCAGTGAAAATAGGTTGTGTGACTGGCGTGACCAACGACACTCACTGGCCTTTAAAACACGACGTACTCTGGTCTGCATCGCGTCAGACTTCTGCCACAAGACCACCTTTGGCTTGGCCAACAAAGGCAGCACCATAGAATTAAAAAGAGGGCTCTAGAAAAAAAAGATGGGCCCTCTTTCTAACTCTATGGGCAGAACAGAGCAGAACTCAGACACTCGCTAGTCGCTAAAAGACCATCCCCACTTTGTGGGAACATGGCTTTGTGAATAAACAAAACACAAATAACTTTATCGACAAACTTAACAAAAAACGCTCCACCACAATAGCTGTTGACTCTTGTTGCCTTTCAGAAAGGAAGGTGCGCTACAGGTTCACATTAGGAGTCAGACGAAGCAGAAGGCGTGGAGAAGGCATCGAGGACAGACACGTCCCTTTTTGTTTTCTGTTAACATTGAACACAAACACCCAGACAGCGTTATGCTGTAGAGCTAAAGGCAGACCGATAGGAGCTTTCAGTCACTTCCATAGAGATGGGAAAGAGAGAACACCTAACTTTATAGGAAGTGCGCCCTCTATTCATCTCTATGGGCATGTCCTGTATACGCTAGCCTTACCCAACAATCCTCTCAGATTGAATATTAACAGTGATTTAATGAATGTCTGATTGATGTATCAAATCGACCTTTCAGGCAATAATACAGGTAACAAAAGGCATCCTTTTCATAAAGAATGTGTGAGGGTAAACATTAAAACGATCAACGTGTTTTTGTTAATCAATTCAACTTCATCTTCAGATTGATGATACAATGATTGGATAATGGCAGTAGTAGTAGGAGAGAGGGTTGGGTAAGAGCTGATCACTTCAGCTTTCATTTCAGCTTTCATTCCAGTTCTTTGAAATTTCAGCTTTTCATGTCATCTTTGGTCGGTTGGATTTAAGGTGCATTTAATAGCTACTTTTTTTCAAGTTTATTTTTCTTCCTTCTAATTCTGTGACGAAAGCTCTGCAAGTCTTAGCTGCTACAGTTGCTCTGGTGTTTGGTGTTATCACAGTTCATCCTCTGTTCTCTGGTCTTTCTGAGAGAAGGAACTTGCATTTCAGGGTCATGTTCATTAGGCCACGTAACAGAAAACGTTTTAAGACGTTTTGCAATGGAAAGACAAACATTTGCGTTTCTTATTGGAGAAGTCCAGGTAATCCTCCCTGTTTCTGTCTTTTTTTCCTTTTGGTGCCTGATGAACAGGACCCAGGTGTTTGTCAAAGGGAAATAGACAGGATACAGCTACGAATCAAAGTGCTCATTTATGCCCTGTGGCAAGCACCAATTACGTCGCTCGCTGGTCACAAGAGTCTCCTCCCACTGATCTTTACTAGCAGGGTCGATTCCAGGAGGGTGCAAACAAGCCTGCTAAACGTTGCAGATAGCAATGCCATGAATAGAGCAGACATGACTCCTTACTCTAGATGTCAGAGATGCATGTCTGTTCCATTACAGTCTATTTCTATCTGAACCTTCCAGGAACGTTGTGGCCTACTGAACATGACCCCCCCCCTTCTCTTCCTATCCTCAAATACCCCTTACCCTACCCTACCCTACCCTCATGCCAACCCCCTGCCAACTACTCTATCATCTACAAACAGTGCAATGTCTATTCATATAGGCACAATGGGATACTAATACAGTACACTGAAGAACGGAGAGATTAAACCAACCACACACACATTCATACTACACACACACACACACACACACACACACACACACACACAGCCATAGATCAGCTGACTCACACATGTCGTCAGCAGCTAGCCTGTGTTGGTGATTAGCCGAAGGTAAGAAGAGAGTGTGTTACAGATCGCTGCTGAAGAGACAGAACGAAACAGAGCTCAAACAGAGGGGAGGGTTGAACTCAAACCTCAGTCTCTGTTGAGCTGTAACCCCCACCTCCTCCATCTCCTCTCCCTCTCTTTCTCCATCCCTCTCCATCCCTTTCTCCAGCCACCTGTTCTCCAGGTGACAGAGTGTAGTGGGGGACGGTAGGAGTGGGTGGCTGTGTCCGAGGGGTGTCGGAGGCGAGGTGGTGGTGGAGGGGGGGTCAGGGGTGTGTTAGGCAGCCGTCTCCTCTCCTGGTCCAGGGGGGGTCAGGGGTGATGGGCGGTCCATTAGGCAGCCGTCTCCTCTCCTGGTCCAGGGGGGGTCAGGGGTGATGGGCGGTCCATTAGGCAGCCGTCTCCTCTCCTGGTCCAGGGGGGGTCAGGGGTGATGGGCGGTCCATTAGGCAGCCGTCTCCTCTCCCGGTCCAGGGGGGGTCAGGGGTGATGGGCGGTCCATTAGGCAGCCGTCTCCTCTCCCGGTCCAGGGGGGGTCTGTGTGTCTTTGCCCCCGGCCCCAGCCTTGGTCAGTCCCCCTCCACTCACCTCCAGGATCCTCTGGACAAACTCTTTGGTCCGTCCAGCCACTAGAGGACCTGAGAACACACAGATGGAGATATTAGAATAGAGAGACACTGTAGATACAGAAGAAGAGAAAGAAAAGCGATAGAGAGAGAGACGTCTTTTCCCCCTGTTGAACTCTCTGTGTCTTTATGCTTCTAATCTGTGTTGGTTTCTTCCTCTCTCCCTTCTTTTCCCCTCCGTCCCCTCCCTCCGTCCCCTCCCTCCGTCTCCTCCCTCCGTCTCCTCCCTCCGTCTCCTCCATCCGTCTCCTCCCTCCGTCTCCTCGCTCCGTCCCCTCCCTCTGTCCCCTCCCTCCGTCTCCTCCATCCGTCTCCTCCCTCCGTCTCCTCCATCCGTCTCCTCCCTCCGTCTCCTCGCTCCGTCCCCTCCCTCTGTCCCCTCCCTCCGTCTCCTCCATCCGTCTCCTCCATCCGTCTCCTCGCTCCGTCCCCTCCCTCCGTCCCCTCCCTCCGTCCCCTCCCTCTGTCCCCTCCCTCCGTCTCCTCCCTCCGTCCCCTCCCTCTGTCCCCTCCCTCCATCTCTAACGCTGGATCCTTTAGTACAGGGATCATCAACTAGATTCAGCCGCGGGCCTATTTTTCTTGGGCGGATGGTCAGGGGGCCAGAACATAATTACAAATAATTAGTAGACTGCAAATTGACCACAAGAAGCCCAAACATATATTTACATTTACATTTTAGTCATTTAGCAGACGCTCTTATCCAGAGTGACTTACAGGAGCAATTAGGGTTAAGTGCCTTGCTCAAGGGCACATCGACAGATTTGTCACCTAGTCGGCTCGGGGATTAGAACCAGCGACCTTACTGGCACAACACTCTTAACCACTAAACTACCTGACGCCCCAGTATAACCATTTCACAAGCCTTGCTTACATTTCACATATATCTCTCTATTATGTGTGGGAATACTTTGGAACAGATTTCCAAAATTAAAATCATTTGGAGCTGATTTGCTAGTGTTTTTACAGTCTTTTATGTCCAATTATAAAACATTTTTAATATGTAAATTATTATTCTTAGAAACAAATTTGGAGGGACATTCCCCCCCACTCTCTCACACTGCTGGACTCTTTCAGTATATCCTCCAGTCTCTGGGTCATCCCCCTCTCTCCCTCCCTCTCTCACCGCTGGACTCTTTCAGTATATCCTCCAGTCTCTGGGTCATCCCCCTCTCTCCCTCCCTCTCTCACCGCTGGACTCTTTCAGTATATCCTCCAGTCTCTGGGTCATCCCCCTCTCTCCCTCCCTCTCTCACCGCTGGACTCTTTCAGTATATCCTCCAGTCTCTGGTCATCCCCCTCTCTCCCTCCCTCTCTCACCGCTGGACTCTTTCAGTATATCCTCCAGTCTCTGGGTCATCCCCCTCTCTCCCTCCCTCTCTCACCGCTGGACTCTTTCAGTATATCCTCCAGTCTCTGGATCATCCCCCTCTCTCCCTCCCTCTCTCACCGCTGGACTCTTTCAGTATATCCTCCAGTCTCTGGATCATCCCCCTCTCTCCCTCCCTCTCTCACCGCTGGACTCTTTCAGTATATCCTCCAGTCTCTGGGTCATCCCCCTCTCTCCCTCCCTCCCTCACCGCTGGACTCGTTCAGTATATCCTCCAGTCTCTGTCATCCCCCTCTCTCCCTCCCTCTCTCACCGCTGGACTCTTTCAGTATATCCTCCAGTCTCTGGGTCATCCCCCTCTCTCCCTCCCTCTCTCACCGCTGGACTCTTTCAGTATATCCTCCAGTCTCTGGATCATCCCTCGTTCATCTTTGTCCACCTCCTCTCCGCTTCGCTCCACCCGCTGACCAATCACCTCCTTGATCCTCAGCAACGCCCCCAACAGGTTCTCTATACACACACACACACACACACACACACACACACACACACACGGGATAAACAACATCAAAATCTGTTGAAGTAGCAGTATACTATTCAGTTCATAGTATAATGAAATCAAAGTGCTCTATATTGAATGGGCTTCAGTTGGCAGGCAGCGAGAAAATGGATAATGTGGAATGATGTACTACAGTTCCCATAATGCTCTGTGTCTCCTTCCCTGTAGGGGACACAGCCCCTCCCCTCCTCTCTTTCTTTTCCCACACATCCTTCATCCTTCGCTCCAGATTTCCTTCTAATGCCTCCGAAGGACAGGCTCTCTGGGGGAGACTAAACACCGACACACACCGACACACACACATAAACACACACACCCATTACTTTGTAGAGTAATCGAGGTCAGGCTTTCCACAGTTGGCAGGTGTCCCAGCTCCAGTCATTTTGAAGTGAACTCCCCAGTCCACCGCTCATACACATGGAAGCATGAGGCTTGTATACACAGAGAGAATGGGAGGAAGAGAGAGGGGCGTGTGTGGGGAGGGGGGGTGGGGGGTGAGAGAGAAGGAAAGTAAAGTGTGAGTGAGGGAGGAAGTGAAGAGAGAGGTAGAGAGGAAGAGAAGGGAGTGAATGAGGTGAAACTCCTGGCTAGCCTCCAGCTCCTAGACCTCTGTTAGTCCCCCTCCATCCCTCCATCCGTTACTAAGGCCCAATCACAAGCCCCCGCCCGTTCAGGCAGCTGAATACTGGCCCGCCTTCTGGAATGTTTGGAATTCCAGCAACAAAAGGGCTGTCCGGAAGATTCCAACAGATTTGACTAGGGGAGAGGATGGAGAAGGTTGCCAGGTTTGGATGGGACTGGGGGAGGGAGGTGGGGATGTTGCCAGGTTTGGATGGGACTGGGGGAGTGAGGTGGGGAGGTTGCCAGGTTTGGATGGGACTGGGGGAGGGAGGTGGGGAGGTTGCCAGGTTTGGATTGGGGGAGGGTAGGGTTGCTAGGTTTATCTGGGGAGGGAAAGGAGGGTTAGAGTTGCCAGGTTTGGATTGGGGGAGGGTAGGGTTGCTAGGTTTATCTGGGGAGGGAAAGGAGGGTGAGGTCCAACTAGGGAAAGCGGAGGGAGGGGAGGGGAGAGAATGAGGGGAGGGGAGGGTTACACTTCAGCTCCACTATAAGCGTTCTGTTGTGTTGCCATCAGCGTCACTTCAATGTGACGTTCTACCTGATACACAGAGCGTGTTGTTTGGAGAGAGGAGAGGAGCAGAGCGGAAGAGCATCTTTCTTCTATTTCCCCCAACTGTGCTGTCCCATAGTACTCCATTATGCACAGGAGGAAATGCAAACTTGTAGCGTATTCAAGGTTTAAAAAGGCTTCTAAAGCTTGTAATTTCCACTTTAAAATATCAGACTTCATTTGCCGTAAACCATTTTTGATCAACCCCTACAAAGAAATGTCCGTTAATTATAATCCACATAATAATTCACATTTCCTGTTGATGCAGGATTATTTTCCCACTGTAGCAAACTGGCTCAAATTAAGATCCTACATCTGTAGCTTCCCACTGGGCACACCACTCGTCAACATTTCAAATGTGGGTAATATTTGGTTGAGACCAGGGGTGAAAGTAAGGCGGTCCGGTACGGCGTCCTGGCAAAATAAATAGTGGGGGTGTGCCGTACCGGTAAAACATGAGCCTATCACAATCATTCAAACTAAATGTCTAGAAAACTGTAGGATATTACGCCATTATTTATCATTACCGCATGTAAAATGCATGAAAAATGAGTGAATGGACTTAAAAACAGGTGGTATAGCCTACACTCCAAAATGCGATGTGGTTCCACGAGAACACTGACATTTTGCCAAGGCAGAGATGAGTGGCAGAAACGTGTGCGGACAGCAGTGGACGCATACATTCTGGCATAATGACAATTAGCAAATGTCCTTACACTTTGTGGTGTTTTGTGTAACAGATGTCTCTTTCCATTCACCACTGTTTGGAGGCTGGAAATATGTTGCGAGTGGATGAAGGTGCATGGGAAGCCAAGTAAAGGATCCCTTTGAAGGGATTGTTTTACGAGCGCTTGAACACATAGGAGGTCCCGTACCAGGATGACATTCATTCTACTTTCACCCCTGGTTGAGACGTTGATTAATGAGATTTCAACCTTTATTTACCCACTCAAAAAGACAGCCAGAAGTTGTTGAAATCCCAGTGTTATCACTCTGCTTTCAGCCATCTAAAAGCCACATTCCAATGGAAAAACAATGTCTGATTTTTGGTTTAGATGTGTTATCACTGCACTTTCAACCATTTAAAAGCACAACAAAGTTCAAATGGGAATACAATGTCAGATATTTTGTATTTATACAACAACTTAATGTGTTATCACTGTGCTTCATCTAATAGCACAACCAAATGACCTGGATTGCAGTTGAGATTACATTACAAGTACATGGTGCAAGTGATCAATGCTGTTTGAGATTCTGTGCTGATTATTATAGCAATTGTGAAGATCTCCACAGACCTGCACGCTTTCTATGATTACATAAGAAGACAATTATAGGTACAGTAGGCTAACCTCAAAATGTGACCATGGATGTGTTAGTCATTTTAAGGTAGAATAAATACTGTTACATTAGTTTGTAAGATAGCCTTAACATTAGGCTATTTACTATATTACATTACATTTAAGTAATTTAGCAGACGCTCTTATCCAGAGCGACTTACAGTTAGTGAGTGCATACATCATTTGTTTATACTGGCCCCCTGTGGGAATCGAACCCACAACCCTGGCGTTGCAAACGCCATGCTCTACCAACTGAGCTACATCCCTGCCGGCCATTCCCTCCCCTACCCTGGACGACGCTGGGCCAATTGTGCGCCGCCCCATGGGTCTCCCGGTCGTGGCCAGCTACGACAGAGCCTGGATTCGAACCAGGATCTCTAGTGGCACAGCTAGCACTGCGATGCAGTGCCTTAGACCACTGCGCCACTCGGGAGGATAAAAGTAATATTGAATTGTAATAACACAACCAAATATCAACATTTAAAGGATATCAAATGCTTGGATAGTTTAACCCGAGCAACTGGCTTAATCCTATTCTTTAACTTTTATTTTTAGTTTAGTTGGAGACGTGAATTCAAAATATAATTTGTTAACTTGTCGACAAGTTAATAGGCTGTTGCAAAAGTGATATTGAATTGTGTTTGGTTGTCATCGCAACCAAATATCAACATTTGAATGAGATGTATATCTTTTGCCACTGACTGAGTCTGGCTTTAATTCCAGTTTGTCTACACATGAATCATTTATATGTTGAATCAAAGTTTAAGAATATGACTAAATCAAACTTTATGTGCATTTAAAGTTTGATTTGATTTAGTCCTATTCTTAAATTTAGGTTTTTGGTTGAGATGGAGACGTGAATCCAAAATATTAATGATTAACTTGAAGATTACATTTGAAATCAATCAAAGCTTGAATTGTCTATTTTTAGTTTAACCCTAGGCTGAATTGAAACAATAGCTCATTCTCATGATAGCACATTGGTAGTAGTCAGTGACAAATATCAAAGCTGGGCTTGGTTAAAACCCTGGATGGAGACCAAATGAATAGATGTAGAGGAGGTGCTGCCCAGCATATTGTTATGTTTCCCTGATAGTGGATATAACGTAGAAGATCTGACATTCTACAAATTCAAAATATTTTATACAAGGTTTGTCTATGTTGAAAAGGAAAGGGAGAGGAGGGCTTGGTTCCCAGGTTTGGCCAGGGGAAGGAAACGGAGAGGAGGGCTTGGTTGCCAGGTTTGGTAAGGAAAGGAAAGGAAAGGTAGAGGAGGGCTTGGTTGCCAGGTTTGGATAGGGGAAGGAAAGGGAGAGGAGGGTTGCCAGGTCTGACGAGGGTTAGGGTTGCCATGTTGGTACTAACCGTACTCCTGGTTGAGTCCCCACAGCTTGATCTTGTTGGCTTCGTGCTGCGCTTTCTTCTTCAACCGACAGGCCCTGAGAACACACACAAGTACTGTCAGGAAACTCTCCCCTACACTCCATCATGTTTAGAGAGGACCCCCTTTTCCCTTCAATACTAGAGAGAGAGCGAGAGAGAGAGAGAGAGAGAGAGAGAGAGAGAGAGAGAGAGAGGAGGAGAGAGGAGAGAGAGAGAGAGAGAGAGAGAGAGAGAGAGAGAGAGAGAGAGAGAGAGAGAGAGAGCGAGAGAGACGTATTGACACAGGAAATACCAAAGATATTGTCTTCATCCCAAATGGCAGCCTACTCCCTATATAATGCACAACATAGGAACTAGGGTGCCATTTGGGACACATCCATTGTGTTTCCTGTATGGAAGTTAAAACACTAAACACTTGTGTTACTTCAGTTTCAGTCAGAGATACAGCCATACAGAGATACAGAGACACAGCCATACAGAGATACAGCCATACAGAGATCCCCGGGACCACCCATACACAAAAAAAAAAGTCGCTTTGGATAAAAGTGTCTGCTAAATGGCATATTATTTATACAGAGACACAGCCATCCAGAGATACAGCCATCCAGAGATACAGCCATACAGAGATACAGCCATAACAGAGATACAGCCATAACAGAGATACAGCCACAACAGAGATACAGCCATAACAGAGATACAGCCATAACAGAGATACAGCCATAACAGAGATACAGCCATACAGAGATACAGCCATAACAGAGATACAGCCATAACAGAGATACAGCCATAACAGAGATACAGCCATAACAGAGATACAGCCATAACAGAGATACAGCCATAACAGAGATACAGCCATAACAGAGATACAGCCATAACAGAGATAACAGCCATAACAGAGATACAACCATAAACAGAGATACAGCCATAACAGAGATACAGCCATAACAGAGATACAGCCATAACAGAGATACAGCCATAACAGAGATACAGCCATAAAAGAGATACAGCCATACAGAGATACAGCCATAACAGAGATACAGCCATAACAGAGATACAGCCATAACAGAGATACAGCCATACAGAGATACAGCCATACAGAGATACAGCCATAACAGAGATACAGCCATAACAGAGATACAGCCATAACAGAGATACAGCCATAACAGAGATACAGCCATAACAGAGATACAGCCATAACAGAGATACAGCCATAACAGAGATACAGCCATACAGAGATACAGCCATAACAGAGATACAGCCATAACAGAGATACAGCCGTAACAGAGATACAGCCGTAACAGAGATACAGCCATAACAGAGATACAGCCATAACAGAGATACAGCCATAACAGAGATACAGCCATAACAGAGATACAGCCATAACAGAGATACAGCCATAACAGAGATACAGCCATAACAGAGATACAGCCATAAAAGAGATACAGCCATAACAGAGATACAGCCATAACAGAGATACAGCCATAACAGAGATACAGCCATAACAGAGATACAGCCATAACAGAGATACAGCCATAACAGAGATACAGCCATAACAGAGATACAGCCATAACAGAGATACAGCCATAACAGAGATACAGCCATAACAGAGATACAGCCATAACAGAGATACAGCCATAACAGAGATACAGCCATACAGAGATACAGCCATAACAGAGATACAGCCATAACAGAGATACAGCCATAACAGAGATACAGCCATAACAGAGATACAGCCATAACAGAGATACAGCCATAACAGAGATACAGCCATAACAGAGATACAGCCATAACAGAGATACAGCCATAACAGAGATACAGCCATAACAGAGATACAGCCATAACAGAGATACAGCCATAACAGAGATACAGCCATAACAGAGATACAGCCATAACAGAGATACAGCCATAACAGAGTTCTCTTCCTCCCCCCTCTTCCTCTCTGTCTCCCTCCCTCCATCCCTCTGTACCTGGAAGCTAGTTTATTCTTCTCTTTGCGTGAGCGTGCCCTGGCCACAACAGGCAGGTCGTTAACAGGGCCCATCCCATCTATGGTGGCGTTGAGTTTCTGCAGCTGCTCTCCGATGTTGGTGAGCTTCACGGGGTTAGGGGTCAGGTCGCTGGCGTCCGTCTTCCGTGCTTTACGCCTTCCCTTCTTTCCTGGGGAGAGAGGTATGAGTTAGAAATCAGCCGTGCAGCACTAGGCACTCAGAATAAGTTCATTATAATGACCACAGAGGAAGAAGTCACTAGGTAGGGTGCTTACTCTCTCTAGGTATTGTACTAGGTAGTTTACAAGGAGTGTGCTAAGTAGTTCTAGTGTGCTTTCCCTCTCTGTGGTATAGGGTACTAGGTGCTAGTGTGCTTACCCTCTCTGTGGTATAGGGTACTAGGTGCTAGTGTGCTTACCCTCTCTGTGGTATAGGGTACTAGGTGCTAGTGTGCTTACTCTCTCTGCGGTATAGGGTACTAGGTGCTAGTGTGCTTACCCTCTCTGTGGTATAGGGTACTAGGTGCTAGTGTGCTTACCCTCTCTGTGGTATAGGGTACTAGGTGCTAGTGTGCTTACTCTCTCTGCGGTATAGGGTACTAGGTGCTAGTGTGCTTACCCTCTCTGCGGTATAGGGTACTAGGTGCTAGTGTGTTTACCCTCTCTGCGGTATAGGGTACTCGGTAGGGTGCTTACCCTCTCTGCGGTATAGGGTACTAGGTAGGGTGCTTACCCTCTCTGCGGTATAGGGTACTAGGTAGGGTGCTTACCCTCTCTGCGGTATAGGGTACTAGGTAGGGTGTTTACCCTCTCTGCGGTATAGGGTACTAGGTAGGGTGCTTACCCTCTCTGCGGTATAGGGTACTAGGTAGGGTGCTTACCCTCTCTGCGGTATAGGGTACTAGGTAGGGTGCTTACCCTCTCTGCGGTATAGGGTACTAGGTAGGGTGCTTACCCTCTCTGCGGTATAGGGTACTAGGTAGGGTGCTAGAGCTCCAAGAGAGGGACCATCGGACCTCCCCTCCCGTCTTCTTCTGTCTCCCAGAGTCCCGTGCGTGAGCCTGGCGGTACTCCCAGAAACACCTTCTCTTCTGGGGCCGTTCCCCTGGACCACACCCACGCTCTGGTTCCACCTCTGGAGAGGGACAGGGACGTCAGAGTTGATACACACAGACACACACACACACACGTAGACACACACACTCACCCCCCGCCGCACCGAATAGAAAAATACGTTAACATATGCGCACACAACTAAATGCCCCTCTATAAAAAATCACACGCACACACACACACACGCACACGCGCGCGCACACACACACACACACACGCACACATGCACACACGCACAAACACACACACACACACACACACACGCACACATGCACACACGCACAAACACACACACGCACACATGCACACACACACACACACACACACACACACACACGCACATACACACACACACACACACGCACACAAACAAATAAGAAGATCTGCATATGCAGCAGGTTCTTTCCCAACACATAATCCACTCCAGTGCTCTCAACATTCCTCCAGTCAGCACTTGTCCCTGTTCCCTGTAAACTGGGCTTCAACTAGAGGCTGTCTGACTCTCACTGCTTGGTTATGTAGCTACTGGATGTAACAGTGGTGTGTGTGTATGGGGGGGGGGGGGGGGGGACCAGGGCCATCCAGTCTGTCTCAACCACCTTGAGTTATAGAGGAAATATCACAGCCACACACACACACATACACCACCGAACATAGACACACACACCAGAGAGCACGCACACATACCGCTCACTCTCGCTCTCACATACACAGCCAGACCAGTGGAGGCTGCTGAGGGGAGAACGGCTCATAATAATGGCTGGAACAGAGCAAATGGAAAGACATCAAACACCAGGAAACCATTTATTTGATGCATTTGATACCATTCCACCGATTCCACTCCAGCCTTTACCTCCAGCCCGTCCTCCCCAATTAAGGTGCCAACAACCTCCTGTGAGCCAGACACAGACACTCCACCACACACACACACTCCACCAGACACACACTCCACCAGACACACACTCCACCACACACATACTCCGCCAGACACACACACACACACTCCACCACACACACACACACACTCTGCCAGACACACACACACACACTCCGCCAGACACACACACACTCCGCCAGACACACACACACACTCCACCGACACACACACTCTGCCAGACACACACACACACACAACACACACTCCGCCAGACACACACACACACACACACACACTCCGCCAGACACACACACTCTGCCAGACAGAAACACACACACCACCACACACACACTCCGCCAGACACACACACACACACACTCCACAACACACACACTCTGCCAGACACACACACACACACTCCGCCAGACACACACACTCTGCCAGACACACATACACACACTCCACCACACACACACTCTGCCAGACACACACACACATACACACACTCCACCACACACACACTCTGCCAGACACACACACACACACACACACACTCCACCAGACACACACACTCTGCCAGACACACACACACACACTCCGCCAGACACACACACTCTGCCAGACACACACACACACACACACACACACTCCACCACACACACACTCTTCCAGACACACACACTCCACCAGACACACACACACCAGTCAACAAGGCAGAGTGATGTTTCATGGAGAGTGTGCCAGACATATCAGTTAGTCTGCCTTGTCTGATATCAAATGGCTGAGATTGGCTCAACCAAAACGTTTGACATTTGCAGGAATGACTGGAAATATGCAGAAGAAAATAGAGTAGAAAATGTGACAGCTATGACTGAATAGGTCATATCAAAGACATTCCAGATAACATCATAAACTCCAGAACTACAAAATCCAGAACTACAGAATCCAGAACTACAGAATCCAGAACTACAGAATCCAGAACTCACCAAATTCTGTTTCTGACGAGCTGGACAGTTCTGCTTCCACTGTAGTCTCATCCCCTGCTCCATCCTCCCCTTCCTCCTCCTCTTCCTCCTCTTCTTCCTCCTCCTCCTCTTCCTCCTCCTCCTCCACCAATACCTCCTCTTGCTCTTCCCTCTCCTCCTCCTCCTCCTCCTCTGTCTCTGTCTCAGAGCCGGGGCTGGAGGGCGAGGGTCTATCCCCCCCCTGGGTCAGAGAGTAGTTGTGTTCCAACACCGACCCCCCCGGAAGAATCCCAGACGTCTCCGTCACCGCGGCAATGACCTCCGCCCTCGCCGCCGCCAACGCAGCTGCGGCGACCTCCTCCTCCTCTGCCACCTGGTACACCTCCACCGTAGGAACCCTCACCCCCCCATCCTGTCCTCCTCCTTTTCCTGTCACCCTTTCCATCGCCATGGTAACATCCAGCCCCGCCTCCTCTCTGACCACCCTGCCTCTCTGGGCGTGGCCTAGACAGGGGTCGGGGGTCATCGTGATTCCGTTTCCGTGGAGATGCGTTACCATCATCGTGGTTACATGTGATGTCTGCTGCTGAGCCTTCCTCTTCCTCCCCTCCTCCTCCTCCTCTTCCTCCCGGGTCCCGCTCCAACGGCCCATCAGCACGGCGTCCTCGGTGCTCGCCAGCTCCCCCCCGAGGCCCAGTTTGGTGTACCGCGTGATGTCATCCAGCGCCGACACATCCCAGCGCTCCACGTGCAGCTCCTCGCCGAAGCCCCCGTCGTCCACCAGGTCGCTTAGCAACTCGAAGGGCCGTTTCCGCGGCGTCGCTGGAGAGCCCAGCATCAGCAGCACGCTCTGAGGGAGAGGTAGGAGGTAAGGAGAGGGGAGGGGTGGGGACGAGGAGAGGGGAGGAGGGGAGAGAGGGGTGGGGAGGGAGGGAGGGAGGGAGGGAGGGAGGGAGAAGAAAGAGGAGATGCAGGAGAGTGATAAAAGCGAGAGAGAAGAGCATTGTTCATTGTTGACATGGTTAGAATGTGCCTTTACTTTACATTGATCTATGTTATAGCCATAGAAATAGATTCTAGTTCATTACAGCTCTGTGGTGACATCACCATATAATAAGCAACAGGTATGTCTGTTAATACTGTTATTACCATGTTATTACTATGTTCTATCAGTGTAATAGACAGTGTAATAAACATGTAGTCCAGGTAGTGTGGTAGTAGAACAGATGACAAGAACAAGACAAGACAGACACATAATAAAGACATGTTAATATGTCAGACACCTGTACCTTAGAAGCAATAAAAGGGAGTTAGTTACCTGGTCATACTCGGTCCTGCCCCCTAGGGGGGAAACAGCCAGGGGGTAGGGGCTGAGGAGACAGCCACGGCTCCCATACGCCTCGCCAAACGCAGGCTCCATCCCATTCATGCCCGGCTATAGGACACACACACATTATTTACTCTGCTGAGCTACCATCATTAGCTAGCATCAATAGCTAGCATCAATAGCTAGCATCATTAGCTACCATCATTAGCTAGCATCATTAGCTACCATCATTAGCTAGCATCATTACAAACAGAATAGAAATTCTGTCTAAATATCTTGTCTGTAATCAGTATCAAAATCACAATCTCTGTTGTACATGTATTATTACCAGACAAGGTATTTAGACAGTCAATTAATATCAATATTCAAGTTGGAAAGCAATTTTATCACATTCATTCAAATAAAACAGCTAAAAAACGACTCTTAGTACCGCACAGAATATACAGAGATCAGTGGTGTACCTGAGGCATGCCCAAGGTGGTGGGTGGTGTTAGGAGGTGGTCAGGGTGCCGCTGGAGCGTTCAGCCGCAACACAACACACTGCTCACTGACTGCTGTTGAGGTTCAGGATGGAGGGAGGAGGAGGAGGAGGAGGAGGAAGACGGCGTCTCCTGGGTCGGGTCGGGCCAGATATGGACCATCTGTGACCTCACGGGGTCAGGGGCGAGAGGTCAAAGCTTTAGGGTCGACAGACACACTTCACATCACATGACGCGGTGCTCGCTGCTTACTGTTGGGACCGCTAAAGGGGGAGAGGAGACAGGTATAGGGGGGATGGGTGGGTTTCAATAGTCTAAACAAGATATGTGAGAGAAGTCACCTAAGGACACATAAGCCAGACATAGATTCATTAAGACTAGTTCTGGACTAAAAAGCATTCTCTATGGAGCCTCTGTGTCTGGGAAACTGGCCCTATGGGTGGATCTCAATAGTCTAAAGAGGCTTCCTCTCCTCGTCTCCTTTCCTGCAAACAATCAAACAACCTGGGGTGTATTCGTTAGTCCACACCGTAGGAAGACATTTTGCAACGGAAAAGGTTTTGCGACCAAAAATTGAGTTTCTATTGGACAAATTAAGTCCCTCCCTGTTTGCTTCTGTTTGCTTCTGTTTTCTTCAGTTTGGTTCCTAGTGAATACACCCCTGGGGAATGCAGCAGACACCTGATTGGATTTTACACATTTTACATTGATTTACTTCACTTTGACAAATGCTGTGTTTTCAGATCAGACCAGAAGAAGGAGAGGAGACAGGGTGAAGACTATGGAGACCCACCCATAGAGCGTATGGCTTATGTCCTTAGGTGACTCCTTTTAACGCTCACACAGCACTCCAAATATAGATAGATACGATGCAATGTCAAGAGCACAGCCATTAATATATATCTATATGCCAATATATGGCCCTGGTATAGAGGAGAGGGAGGCATTTAGATATGTTATGGCTACTGAGATCCGCCTCTAGAGTGTGGCTATGTCCTTATAGGTGGCCCATATAGTTTTATAAAGCGTTCCTGATATAGATAAGATTTATAGGGAGCCATTTTAGACTATTGGGCTCCACCCATAAGGCTTAGGTGACTCCTGTCCCACAGCGCTCCACTAAGAACAGATACCATGGAATGTATAAAACAACAGAATGGAATGTATAGAATGAATGAACATACACACCAGGGTTTCCGTTAGCCGATAATAGCCGGCTTTTGGATGATAAAAAAAACGGAAAACCTGATATATATATATTTTTATTCCGCCTATTCATTAATGGAAATACCAGTCGTTGGAAATACATTTGACCGGTCATGCTTATCGGTCTATAGGTTAATTTGCATAATTTAGTGGAATTAAATTGTCACTATTTTATCACACGCGCACAGCAAACAGATACAGAAACAGATACAGAACCTGGAGCTGAAAACCTGTCAGACAGCGAGAGAGCTGCTGCTACAGCATCTCAAACAGCTCGTTGCTGCTGGAGTGAAACATGCGTTTATAAGCCCAATCATTGCGCAACTATTCTAAATACAAGTGTGTGTTAAAAACAGTTTTGATTACCACGATTAAAAAGAGCTACTATTTTTATTTCTCAACTGGTAATTGAAGCCCGCTTCCCATTCACCATTCAAGTGCATAGGCAACGATAGGCAGGCTTCAGCGCGTCACACCACTTTGCAATGAGCTGGAGGTAGAATGCATTTTGAAAACATATTCTTATTTGTTTGAAACCTGAAAGTTTTACTTCATATTATGAGGCATGTCTTACCTTGCTTCAAAGTAGCCTGATCAAAATCTGACCATACAAATGTGGAGGCAATTATTTTATAAAGACTTCCATATTGCCCTTTATCAACAAGCTAAACGTGTTGATCTGTTGCATCAGCCTCATTGCTTTTTGAAGTTTATTTTGATGTAGCCTAGGCCTACTGGTTGTATGAATTTGGGATCTATCTTCCCACAACTGTCCCAGAGTCTGTTTGGAATAGGCTATTTCTTTCTCGACAAGCTGACCAATGGAATAGTTTCACTTTTCTACTATGGGGGATAGTAGATTGACATAGGCTAGTGATTTTGCTGTTCGTTACTCGTCTTGTGGGCTGAGGAAAAGTAAATGTGGACAGTTATTCTAACATCTTCAAAGTGTGCATCAGAATTTGGTAAGAAGGATGAGCGCCATTGCATCCTCGAGTTGCATGCTCTGTTCAAATTAATTACCATAATCTAAATGTGATTTCTGTCATGCTGAGCACCGTGGGTAGACGCCCTGACCCAATACATATGGGCCCGGTACATTTCTCAAATGTTCGGTAAATTAAAATGCTACCGGTCAAATGTCCGGCGCCACATTTTCCTGAAGTGGCACAGACAGACAGGATAATAATCTGAGGTGTTAGTGATATAGCAGCTATAAGAACAGATCAAGGATCAGTCCACCCTGACCGCAACACAGGTCACCGCTGACCTTAGAGCTGTTCTTAAGGAACAACAACAACAACAACATCATGCTACACTGCTGCTAAACTGACCTAAGTTTCCACACACACACACACACACACACATGAAGGAATGAGGAAACAAAGTGTGTGTGTGTGTGTGTGTGTGTGTGTGTGTGTGTGTGTGTGTGTGTGTGTGTGTGTGTGTGTGTGTGTGTGTGTGGAAACTAAGACAGGCTACAGCTGTGGAAGATTCTGATGTGTTGACATCATATATGTTCTGTAGCCATTAGCCAATCCAGAGTCACCGAGGCCGTTTCACCTCCCCCATGACCCCTGTACTATTGACACGATGTGGTTCATGCAGTGTCTCCATTTAACCTACTGTCGCTGTACCTCAAATGTGTTGTGGTGACTGCCGATGCCGCGTACTGTTAGTCTGCATCCCAAATGTGTTGTGGTTACTGCCGATGCCGCGTACTGTTAGTCTGCATCCCAAATGTGTTGTGGTGACTGCCGATGCCGCGTACTGTTAGTCTGCATCCCAAATGTGTTGTGGTTACTGCCGATGCCGCGTACTGTTAGTCTGCGTCCCAAATGTGTTGTGGTTACTGCCGATGCCGCGTACTGTTAGTCTGCATCCCAAATGTGTTGTGGTTACTGCCGATGCTGCGTACTGTTAGTCTGCGTCCCAAATGTGTTGTGGTTACTGCCGATGCCGCGTACTGTTAGTCTGCATCCCAAATGTGTTGTAGTTACTGCCGATGCCGCGTACTGTTAGTCTGCATCCCAAATGTGTTGTGGTTACTGCCGATGCCGCGTACTGTTAGTCTGCATCCCAAATGTGTTGTGGTTACTGCCGATGCCGCGTACTGTTAGTCTGCATCCCAAATGTGTTGTGGTTACTGCCGATGCCGCGTACTGTTAGTCTGCATCCCAAATGTGTTGTAGTTACTGCCGATGCCGCGTACTGTTAGTCTGCATCCCAAATGTGTTGTGGTTACTGCCGATGCCGCGTACTGTTAGTCTGCATCCCAAATGTGTTGTGGTTACTGCCGATGCCGCGTACTGTTAGTCTGCATCCCAAATGTGTTGTGGTGACTGCCGATGCCGCGTACTGTTAGTCTGCGTCCCAAATGTGTTGTGGTTACTGCCGATGCCGCGTACTGTTAGTCTGCATCCCAAATGTGTTGTGGTTACTGCCGATGCCGCGTACTGTTAGTCTGCATCCCAAATGTGTTGTGGTGACTGCCGATGCTGTGTACTGTTAGTCTGCATCCCAAATGTGTTGTGGTGACTGCCGATGCCGCGTACTGTCAGTCTGCATCCCAAATGTGTTGTGGTTACTGCCGATGCCGCGTACTGTTAGTCTGCATCCCAAATGTGTTGTGGTTACTGCCGATGCCGCGTACTGTTAGTCTGCGTCCCAAATACACCCTATTCCCTATTTAGTGGCTGATCACTATGGAGCGATTTCAGTTCCAAAAGAAACTGTATTTGAATTCAATAGATATTGTAGTTGAATTAGATATTATTTCATTTGTAATGCTCAAATTGAATAATTGAATGAATGCATTTAACTTGTATTTAATTATTTGAAACTGAAATGAATGAATATTGCATTCAATTTTAAAATTCAATTTCTAGGTATTTGAATATTCAAATGCAATATTTATATATTCAGTTTCAATATGGTAGATATTGCATTGGTTGTCTGTGTATCAGGTTTACAAACTATAAATTCAGAATTACCATTCAACTTCTTAGACGCATTCAGATTACGTTTTCAAATTCAGTTCTCTAAATTCAGATTCAAAACCAGAGACACCATCCCGGTACTTTGCCAGCCAGGAAAGGTAGAGGAGAACAGATAGAATCAAACGCTCTCTGTGGTAAACAGAAGGTAGTGGTATGAACGGAGGGGTTTCTGGCTGTTTTCTGAAGCCAATGTGACATGTTGAATGTATTTTCTTCCTATGAACTTGGCTCTAGCGTTTGAACGGTTTGGGCTATAAGCTATTATGACCCCATTTCTGAAAGCTAAGACTCTCTGGAACATGGACTTCTGTTCACTTCTATGGTGATCACAGGCCGCGCAGGACACGTTAGCAGGGAGTGTGACAACAACTGAAATTTGGCCCCATAAGAATAGAATTGAATAGCCTTGTCATAGTTCTTCTAAGGATAGCTTTCCCACTCCCTATTTCATCTTGCTCTTGTGACTGACTGGGTGCGAACCGGGTCTACTGCATGTCACAAGACTGGGTTATCCCACTTAGCTAAAGCCCATAGGGATGAGTTCAATTCGTGAATTCAATGGTTCAATTTGTGCATTACAAATTCAAGAATATTCCATTCAAATTCAATATACTGATACAAATTCTAAATGATGGAATTCAAATAGAATTTCTGTTGCCACTGAAATCGCTCCATATATGGGCCCTGGTCAAAAGTATTGCACTATATAGGGAATAGGGCGCCATTGCTATAGTAGCCTGGATATTAAAACAACGCATGTGTTTTGGCTAGCTACCTACTAGGCTTCATGGGGTAATTAACTGCCTGTACTGTAGCCTAGAAACGTTATACAGTACCATAGATTAGTGGATCTCAAAAGATCTCCTCAGGGACCTCCAAGCCGTTCCAAGTATTTGATCTATTTCAGAGCTAGCACACCTGATTCAACTTGTCAACTAACCATCAAACCCTTGACTACTTGAATCAGGTGATCTAGTTCAGGGCTACAATGGAATTGTAAAACGTATGAGGTTCCCCGGGGAGAGGTTTGAGAACCACTGCCCTAGATATAAAAGTATAGTGTGGTTCCTGCCTAATACTAATCCTAATCCTAACTGTAAACTGCTCTGGATATGAACGTCTGCTAAATGACTAAAATTACTCAAATGTCAAATCGAATGCCTACGCTGCAATGCATAAGCACCTATAGCCTACCACAGTAGTCTGGATATAAAAACAACAATCTATTAATCATTTATGGAGTGTTGATATAACTTAGACTGAGTCCAAAGGCCACTGGTGCGAGCCAACCAGGTCATAAGCACAGCCTTACTGAGACATTCCAGCCTGGACACTGGGACCCTATTACCTATACAAAGCACTACTTTCGACCAGGGCCCATAGGGCATGTTCAAAAGTGGTGTACTACATAGGGAATAGGGTGCCATTTGGGACGCAACCTGAGGCTCCCATAGGTTCCCATAGGGATAGATCTAGGATCAGTTCAGCATCTAACTTAAAACCCAAACCGGGTAGGTGTGTCCCTAAGGGGTCAGTTTAAATTTCCCCTAAATGCCGATCTTGGGTCAGTTTTGCATCCCCCCCCCCCCCCCCCCCCACTAATGGTTAAGATTGGGGGAGAGGAAGCTGATCCTAGATCGGTACCTAGGGGAAAACTTCACCCCAGAGCCCTAATGAGGGTTGATGAGAGAGGGGAAACTTAAAACTGACCTTAGATCAGTGTCAAGGGGACAATTTATCCTATTTCTGAAACAACGCTCCAGGTAGACTTTGCCCCTTAGGGACAGATATAGGATCAGTTTACCTTCCCCAAGACCCTAACCTTCAACATGAAGAGGTGGGAATAAAAAACTGACATTAGATCCGTGTCTAGTGCCTAGAGGCTACTTAAACCTATATCCGTAAAACAACAGCAGTACATGAAACGACCAGAAGGACACTCTAATGACCCAGTCAAATGTGACCCGTTTCAGGAAGCTAGCCGTATGTCGCATGACACTACTTCACAGGAGAGGCATTTGAACTTATTTTTTAAATGATGATTAAAATACATTTTTGGGGCAGAAATGCGTTCTGGAACATGTGAACTTTCATGTGCCTTAATAACAATGTGCCTGTATTCCAATGTGCCTGTATTCCATCGGTAAATACAAGTAAAATTGTTAAATTACGATCCTAGTTGGTTTAGCCACGGAAAAAGACAGGAACCTTCCCGCTAGCCATGATTGGCTGAGATAATGGATGGGCTGGACATGCCGGGAGATGAGTTTGGATTGGTCTGCCATGTAGCATGCTTCTGTTTATAACGTGAGCTGCTCACTATGTGTTGATAATCCTTTGTACCGCAGATTTTTTGAAAGATATAACGTTACCTATCGAGAACTACAAAAGTTTTGCTACTTTTCTCAACAACATTGATGCCCTGGATTTAGCAGGCGCTATCTGCAGATCAGTTGGAAAAAGTTGTGATGGGCTACTTTCTGCACACGCCACGGTCAGTGTGAACTGAGTGACTTGACACAACGCTGGCCAAACAAGATGTAGCTACAAACAAAACGGTGTTAAAAGGTTCCAGTCTGCCGTGAAGCATTCATCCATGTATACGTACAGGTAAGAGTCTAGCTACATTTTCAGATATTATACGTTTCTAATATGGTCAGAAAGTAATTTTCATTGCAAGTTAAAGCGTAATGTTAGCTAGCTAGCGAGCGTTAGTTTGCTGGCTCGCTAGCTAACGTTACGTGTATGATCTATGAAGTAATATTATTAGAATCAGAAATCCATTTGCATTGCTAGTTATAGCCTAACGTTAGCTAGCTAACATTGAACCTAGTTGGTTAGCTTTAGCTACCTGCAGATTCATACTACAGCTATGACAATCAGTTTGTATTGGTGGTAGTAGTATGAGTTGGGATTATGCCGGTTCATTGTTTAGCTAGCTAGCTACATGTCTAAACAAAAGACTCCACGCCAGATGATTACATGACCCATCAAGTTAACCAGGTGTATCTGGGGGTCATTACGGCCATCCATTGTATTTCATGAACATGTGTACATGTCTAGACAATAGTGACCCATCCACTTAGCTAGATATGGCTGGGGGGTGGGTATAGCATTTATTTCACATGACCCATCAATTTAGACAAGTGTGTCTGGGGGATAATTATAAAAAACGTTCTGTTTTTGATATTGCTACTATGCAAATATGCAAGTAACCATTTCACTGTACCGTATTACACATTCTGTATCCTGTGCATGTGACAAATAAACTTTGATTTGATTTGATATAGTGTGTGTTTACCAGAGATGGTAATGTGGAGAACAACATGACCTGCACCAAAGTCTGATTAGGATATAGGTCAAGGACTAGATATAGTCTATTTTTACCTGGAGTTTTTCCTTATTGTAGGCTGCTACTTTTTCCACATTCAGTCTTGAAATCTTTGGTTGTTTACTACACTACTCACTCTGTTTAGCACATGGCCTCACATGTGAATCCTTAAAGAGATGGGTGGGGCTAAGGCTTTAGAGGGTGTGAACGATGCTGAATGGGTGTAGACAAAGAAGAGCTCTCCAGTAGGTGTACCAAAATATTCAAGAGCCATTTTCTCAAAAGTGGGATTAGAAAAAGCTTCCAAAGCAGAATTACTTTCCCATTGTTCCTCAACTGCAGTGTATAATATAAAATGTTCTAACTCTGAGTCTCTACTTTTATCCAATGTAAAAAAAAATATATATACATATATATATATATATATCCAAATTTGCTACATAAGATTTGTCCCGGTGGTGGGTCACAAATGAAGACAACACCAGGGCCTGTATTCATAAAGCGTCTCACAGTAGGAGTGCTGACTTAGGATCAGTTTAGGCTTTTAGACCATACTGAATAAGATACCCCAGTAGGCTACTATAAATAAATAACACTGTATAGGGATCAGGTAAGGTTATTATCAAGGTTCCCATCTCCTTGAAGCTATTAAAAGGTTATGGGCCCTATTGGCCCTGGTCAAAAGTGCACTACATAGGGAATAGGATACCATGTGGGACACAACCCCAAGAGGACAAGACCAGTAGGCTATAGGCTACAAAATAACACTACAGCTTAGGGCAGTGGTTTTCAAACCTATCCTCTGGAATCCACGACATTTCACGATTTTTGTTGTAGCCCTGAAGTAGCTCACCTAATTAAGGGCTTGATGATAAGTTATTATTATTATCAAGGTTCCCAGCCATTCCCTTGAAGTTATTAATAGGTTATGTATTAGGCCTAATATAGCCTATATAACTGTCTATGAGACAATGCCGCAACGTAAACAACATATTGTATTGTGTGCGTGGAAATACCCGATCAGGGTGGTTACTGAATGGTGGACTAGTCTACACCCGACCTTGGCCGACCCTGAACAGAATATAGGCTACACCATATCACTAGAGCAACAACATATACGACCTTGGTGTGATTTTACACGTATTTAATGTCTCGGAGGCCTGGAGAATAATATAGGTCAAAAGGCAGAGTGACATATTGGAACAAGCCACATAGCCTGTACTCTATAGGCCTACAATAACTGGACCACACACATATGCTATGCACTTTAGACAAAAGCTCTCTATAGCCTACCATTAGTAGGCCTACTAATAACATAATACTCTCTACATGCCACTCTATAGGTTGCATAACACGTTATATAGACTAAACAAAAAGCGTGAATAATAAGTAGGTTAGACATTTACGCATTTAATAAAAGTGTCAAAAAAGTGCACCTTCTAGTCCAGACAGCTCGTGATGTCAGCGTGGAACCGACCGACTCGCGTGCACCGAGTAGCCTACAGTGCCACGAGAGGAGACGGTTGGCCAGCCGGATCAGTGAGACTGTCTGGAAAGCCAATTTGCCAAATTATGTCCGACGCACGCAGTCTATTTGTCTGGGGAAATCATTTAATTTATAATGTTCAATTCCCATCTTAACGGATATTACTGGAATACTTTTGATGATAAGGTGGTTTGTTTTAGGACTAACTGATGCCCCAGCTTTCGCCCCATCTCTCTCTCTTTCTTTCTCTTCCCTTGTTTATTTACCCCTGAATTAAAGATAAACAAACGAACCTATTTCGTTCTCATCACCTCATCCCAACGATAAACCCCCTCATAATAACCCCCAACATGTGAACTTGGGGCAGCGTCTTGGTCTCACGGTGGTCTGGTCTGACTGCACCGCTGGATAATCACCGCACAACAACAAAGATAAAGAACCGTCTAGAGAGAGGAGGGTGCTATGGCAGACAGCAGTGTCCCGCATGGCATGAGAGCGAGTGAGGGAGAGCACACGATCACACGACCCTCAAAACCCGATGGCTGCGCTCAAGCAAGGCATCTCACATCGCCAACAATGTTTAAAATGTTTATAAAATCTCCAACATACCGGGTCAATCTGATAAAACTCGATTTTACAGACAATGATAATCCCAATATTCTCGCGCACCGCACACCATCCACAAAAATAAATTTGGGGCGCAGCTGGCACCATGCAACGCCGGATGTCCATTATTAATTTTTAATACCGCACAAAAAGCCAGATTTAGATAGCGTGTGGAGTGGCTTCGCACGCAACAATGTAGCCTAAATTACAGTCTACATACTTTATAGCAATGACCAAAAAAAACGAATATGTTGCGAGTAAAATATTTCGATATAAAAGAAGTTACCTCGTTTCCCCTCTTGTCATTTCCTCCACCTGACTGTGCAGGCTACAGTAGCCTAACCGACTCGAATATGACAGATAGTGACATTAGCCTACAGCCAAAGTTGAAAGGGTTTTCAGGAGATCGAATAGCATGCACCGCTCTCAAGATGCAGTTGAACCCTCCTCCCCAAATATACTCTGTATCGGTTCTCCTAAAAATCATTTAACAAAATAATAGCGCAAATACTTAGCCGAACTACGATGTAAGGCCAAGAGGGGATAACTACCAACTTCAGTAAATTACAAAGCTAAAGTGAGGTGACTAGCTACATAGCTATACCTTATTAGGTTTCGGTCTTGTCCCCTTGAAAGAATCCTCTCCAGACAAGTAGGCTACAAGGTTACCAACCCACACCAGTGTAAAATTTCTGCCTTGAGCCTTAACCGCTCCAAAGATTATTACGCAAATCCAAGTGTGATAATACGGCGACAGTGATAATACAGCAAACTCATTATTTATCCTCACATAAAGGAAGTTAGTTTCAAACAGCTGGTGTCGAGCTAGTCCATAGTTGATCAAACGGGGACATCAAGGCTGTACAGGATAATGTCTGATCCAAAACAGAACAGATTTCGAAATGAGACCAGACACAATGAAAATATCTTGAATTATTGCCTCCATCATGCCTGGATAAACCTAATTCTATTTTCTAGAAGCTCATAAATAACTTACACATCTCCACGGAGCTGTCTAACCCCCTTACGCATCACATGGTGTCGCCCGTATGACTCACAATTAAAAAAGAGCACACTGGTAGCCTACTTTCAATTTTTCGGTGGAATGATAACACTTTAGTTTTCTCATCCGCTTTTTGGCGGGGAGAGGGGGCGTGGGCATTGTTCCGAGGACGTTATATGTTTTGTTATTGTGTATACATGTTAATGGATAGGATAGAATACACACTCGGTTACATTTGACATGGCCTCCCCTTAAAAGCGAAATGACCGACACACGCGCGCTCCGCTCGCGGAGCAATGGAGAAAAACTCCTGATGCAAAATGGAAACTGTGTCGACGGGTAAACACAGGCTCTCGGTGCACGAGGGCATACGAGTTCACCGCAGCGCTCAATTCTAGTGGGCGAGTTCGTTTTGGAAGGCCCGGTGTCCCGGTTGCAGGAGTTTGTTCATTGTAGACTACTCCATTGGTCCTTAAGTGACATCTTCACGCACCCGAGGCACCGGGCCATGCAAAACGAACTTGCCTAGTGAAAACGGATATGGCTGGCTGGGGGATCGACGAAACGCAACGTCAGAGCTGGGGCGGGTTCATGTGACCCATCTTTAGGACACGGTGAAGAATGAGGGCCTGAACCGGGTGAACCGCACGACTACTTACTGTACCGGGGGCTCTAGCCTGCTTCCTGCCGCGCCGCTCTATAGGCAGATAATTACATGAAATCCGAGAATATAGGTCAGATTCCTATTAAAATGTAATGGAAAAAGAGTGGCTAGCCTAGCTATCCTACTCTGCTACATGCAGGCCTATATCACACTTATAAGGAGCCTAGGCCTACAGAAAGTAAACATATGTTAATTTTCTATTCTTAAATCTTAATGTTACACAAAAGTAGGTTGGCACTTGCCTGTGTGTGCGCAGGACGTCAAGTTACATTACCATGAATAATACAACAGCTTAGTGTAGCTCAGTTGGTAGAGCATGGCGCTTGCAACGCCAGGATTGTGGGTTCGTTTCCCACGGGGGGCAGTATGAAAAAATGTATGCACTCACCAACTGTAAGTCACTCTGGATAAGAGCGTCTGCTAAATGACTAAAATGAAAATGTGGCGAGAGAGAGAGACAGAAAATGCGAGTGTGCGTTTGTTTGTGAGCGAGAGGGTGTGTACGTCCGTGTGTGTGTCCATGCGTACGTGCGTGTGTGTGTATGTGAGAGACACATTGAGAGAAAGCGAGAGCGAGTGTGTACACGTTCTTGTGTGTACGGTATGTCCTCTCCCAGTACTCTCCCAGATATAGGCCACAGTATATGACACATTCCATATGCAACGGAGAGAGCAACGCAGCTGACAGAGAATGATCACAGACATTTTAATCCAATCACTGAACGAGCCTGTCTGAACCATATATATTCTAGAGTGTATAGGTCTGTGTTCTGATTCCATCTCTGTGGCCAGAACTGTGGAACACGGTAACTATGGGACACCAAGGCCATTTATTCTGTTGATAACAATAGTCATAGTCCAGGTGGGTAGTTGTTAAAAATGAGACAGAGAGGTTTAGACTATTGAAAGTGTGTGTGTGTGTGTGTGTGTGTGTGTGTGTGCCTGTGTTTGTGTGTGTCTATGTGTGAGGTTGTTGAAGGCCAAAAAGGAATTTCAAACTAAAAGCTTTCCTCCGCTGTAGCCTATCTACTGATCGTCTACAGTTCATCACATTTGGTCCTGTATCTTCTTCAGTCTTCATTATCTGTAGGGTGCCGTTTGGGATATGGGGATTTTCTGTCAGCTTCACAGCAGCAGGCCTATGATGTTGTGTAATCAGAATTGTCTGATCCTAGATGATGAATGATATCTGTAATTTTATGTAACCCTGTAATCCCTCATCCACCTGTTGCACAAATGGCTCAATTGTTTCCCCCCCCCCCTCTCTATAGCCTATAGGCTAGTCGTTTTCTATAGCTATAGCCTTAACTCCATTTTAACTATCTAAACGTCCATTGTAACTCCATTCTAACTGTGTAAATGTCAACTTTAACTGTACAAATATGGTAAGACACTCACAGACACAGACACAATGACATCTGTGTTTGTCAGTGTGTGTGTGTGTCCTTTTTACAAAGGTAACTAATACAGAGGGCCTATTATCTAAAGGTCAAGACCTCTACACATTCTCTCTCTCTCTCTCTCTCTCTCTCACACACACACACACACTAACACATACACACACTCAAAGGTGGCGTTCATCCCGCATAAACTCCTTTAACTGGTTCCTCCAGGTTATGTTACACATTAGTCCGAGTAGGAAGTCGTATGTTCGCAATGAATGGTAAAGAACAGTCCTCATAATATCAGGTGTATGCATGCATACCTGTGTGTGTGTGTGTGTGTGTGTGTGTGTAACAGAGACAAGTGTCAGGTGCAGGCTGAGGAGGATTCAGAAGGAGACAAGACACAGTGTACCAGACACTGAAACAGGGATTTTACTAAGGGATTCACATGGACAATGTCACTGTATACACCTACACATTAGATCACACTTCCACAACGCCTGAGTCAGACAAGTCTTTTTCCAGTGTCACAAACACACACATCTTTACGTGCAATACGTTTCCATGGTGACCACAATGAACGAGCTGTTGTGCAAGTTGCAACCTAGGTCTAGTGTTCCTAATAATGGACCTAGGCTTCCACATATCCACATATCTACACAGCTGGATTATATAGAACAGTTTTCTCTCATGTAAACCATGCAAACTGATCTATTCATGTTAGCCCTGGGCTGAATCATGTCTACCTCAGTTAGCGTCCTAAATGACACCCTATTCCCTACATAGTGCACTACTTTTGACCAGAGCCCAATGGGCCCTGATCAAAAGTAGTGTGCCATACAGTATAGGCAATAGGGTGTCATTTGGGACGTAGCCTTGATCTATCACTGTTGATCCCTCTGTAAACCGCCCCGCCACCACAACTATCAAGAAGGCTTAAAGGAAAATAGAACATAATTTGGTCTTTCTCAAAAGTAGCTGTATATTGATGTATCTTTCTTGACTTTTTGGCTGAGCTGAGGAACAAGCTGTCTCAGAGATAGGTGGCCCTAACCTGGTCCCAGATGTGTTTGTGCCATTTTGCCAACTCCATTGGTGTCATTTTCAAGCCAAACATGTTTAGTATGACAGTGAATGACAAGGAGTTGGCATGATGGCACAAACAAGACTGGCACTCAGGCTAAGATGGCTTCTCTCTGGGTGGGGGGGGGGGGGGGGGGTTGTTGTGGCTGGCTGGAGCTGAGGTGCCTTCCTACAGAAAGCACCACACATCGTTTACACAAGAGGGGGTAGAGTTTGATAGCAAGCACCTGCAGGGTTTGGGCTCAATTCAAGTTTAACTCAAGTTTATTTAGGAATGGAAATGTTTCAGTTTTGAATTAGGATTTTTCAGTTAATTTTATAGGGACATTTCCATTCAATTCCTGAATTGATAGGAGTTAGTTGTTGAAATGGAATTGACTCCTCCAACCCTGTCCCTGCTGCAAGACTAGTTGTCCTGTGGTCGACAACAAACACTGGCTGTTATTGTGATCATGATCACCATGATAACCAAACCAGGAGGACCTAGGGTTGAACAATTCTAGGACATTTTCCCAAATTCCCAAGTTTTCTAGAAATCCCAGTAGGGAGATTCTTGGAATCAAAAGGGAATACGTAGGAAATCTGGGTATCCTCCAACCAGGATTTCTGACCAGGGAATTTGGGAAAAGTTACTGGAATTTTGCAACCCTAGGAGGACCATAACGATCCCGGAGAGCGACGATGGGAAAGGAGAGAGGATAGCGTAAGGAGTTGTACTGGTGGTTGACGCGCTTAAAATGGAGTGGGGCTCTTCAGTGTAGTTTCTCATGGCCGTCGGCCAGCCAACCACTCCTGGTAATGTACTAGTATTTACACACAGAATGACTCAACAATAATCATCATAGTAACATAATACAGACACTGCCTCCACATAACATAACAGTCAACTTATGTAAGAGCCAGGATGTCAGTAAAAAATCAATACTAAACTTAAATGAAGACTTTCTGATAATAATAATAATAATAATAACAACACAATGTACAGGAAATGTAAACAATAACAATAACAGGTCAACTTAAACCTCAAAGATGCCACGTTTTAACTGTAGCTAGAGATGCGAGAGTGACATCTATGTGCTACCTGATAATATCAAGTTTGTCAGTGTGAGCTATGCCTTCCAGTGCATTATCAAAACAAATACATTGTTATTCTCAAATATAATAACATATCTCGCATGTAAGGATTATATGTAACATATAAAATGATATTATATCATTTGATATTCCATATTACTTTCATACCTGCTATCCAATAAATATAATTATGCATGCATTCTACAACACGTTGGAACATCAGCAGCATGATGACATACATATATGTTTCGTATAATCCTTACATTTATAGTGTCATATACTTTTCTATCTACGAAGTATTATACATTACTTATCTATATTCTCACAGATTTGATCCCAACATTAGAACATGATTGTTTAAGATTCTCTCCCATCTGACTTGACTGCTGCAGGTTCCGATGGCGATGCACAACATTCTGACAACGTTGCAGTGACGTAAGAAAGACATTGGGATGGAGGGATGTAGGAATGTAGCCGGGGAGGTAAAGAGGAGGGAACAGGGGGGTTCAGGAGTCAAGTTGTAGAGGAATCCAGTCCAGGATGGATGAAGTGAATGAAGATATGTGGCCAAAGGAGCATCAAAGAGAACCCAACCCTGGAGAGAGAGAGAGAGAGAGTTACATCATGCCAATAAAGCAAATTGAATTGAATTGAGAGAGGGGAGGGGAGGGAGAGATAGAGAGAGAGAGAAAGAGAGGAGCCATTATAAACGCTATATACCTAGTTTATTCATTATATATATTTTTACAAATATTTTTGTGGGGTTTTACGTGTTTTATTGAGCTAGGACAGTGAAGAGAAGACAGGAAAGGTAGGAGAGACTGCTAGTCAGAAGGACAGTAGGTCAGAAGGACAGTAGGTCAGAAGGACAGTGGGTCAGATTCCAACCCATGCCATCTCTGGTATCCTAGGAGATGTGTGCCGTGGGCCCTGACACATTAATGCTTATTCTTGAAAGCTAGTATACTGTGCTATGTCAGGTGTTATAATGAGACAGTAGGACTGACCTGGTGTTACTCCCAGAAGTAGCGGAGGTACCAGATGGTCTCGTTCTTCAGCTGAGGTCCAAACAGAGGGTTGGCCTGGGCTAGGATCGCTATCAGCCAGCTGCACACACACACACACACACACACGGAGATACACACACACATACGCAGTAAGTAGACAACCTGACATTAACTTATACAGTAAGTATAGAACCTGCCATTAACTTATACAGTAAGTAGAGAACCTGACATTAACTTATACAGTAAGTAGAGAACCTGACATTAACTTATACAGTAAGTAGAGAACCTGACATTAACTTATACAGTAAGTAGAGAACCTGACATTAACTTATACAGTAAGTAGAACTAGGGCTAACATAGAGCATAGAACCTGACAGGACTTCCATACTCACAATAACCAGCAACAAACAGCTGTCAAGATCAAACTAGTGATGACAACCCTGTGAATAGAAAGAGTCAACACACATTGATACAAACCATATCAGCTATTATCACAAACACACAAGCTTGCACACACACACACACACACACACACACACATACTATAACCTGCTTAATATGAACGGTATCTTTGATATACAGTAGCTACTACTGTGACAACTGCATCGCGAGCGGGCCAATAGCAGGGATGAGAGAGAGGTTATCGACGCGTCTAGGCTACTTTCCAGGGCCTACTGTTTCCATCCTGTTCATTCATTACAATCCGAGATATAGGAACATATCCTTACAATGCAAAATATTAGTATATAAAAAAAAGATTTCATATAATAAGCAAATATAAATAATTACCAGATGACCAATGTACACTATTTTTCGCTTCTGTTATGCGTTTGTATGGATAACGGTAAGGTAGGATACCTACCCTCGGTTTGGTCCTTTGGGCACGAAAAAGGGTGCTACGATACCAACGAGCGCCCATAAGGTGGTGAAACAGATCATCGGCAGCGCGAAAGAGCCCATCGTTACACCGAATAGATCACCGGGTGACAGATAAATAAATATCAAATTGTGTCCTTAGCTAGAACAACAGCATCAACGGTCGGATGCGTTCCTTCTCAATAACCCCCTTGCAGTTTACTCCCGCCTTCTCCCATTAAAACGCCTCTGATTGTCCGGGAGCGTTATGATTGCAGTCTTTGATTGGTTTAGATTGTGTGTCCGTCAGCATTAGGAAACCAGTGACTGGCTAGTGGAATGCGTATGGGCCTAGTTTGACAGCAGATCGGAAGTGGAATGTAACAGTAACAAATTGTTGACACAATGTAACAATGGTGCCGAGTTAAAAGTAAGTATAGTTTGTATCACACTTTTTCCTGAAATGAATACATTGGTCACTGTAATGGCCTTGGTTATAGCTAATTATAAACTGGGTGGTACTAGCCCTGAATGTTGATTGACTGACAGCCATGGCATATTAGACCATATACCACGGGTATGACAAAACATTTATTTTTACTGCTCTAATTACATTGGTAACCACTTTATGATAGCAATAAGGCACCTCTGGGGTTTGTGGTATATGGCCAATATTCCACGGCTAAGGGCTGTGTCCAGGCACTCCGTGTTGCGTCGTGCATAAGAACAGCCCATAGCCGTGGTTTATTGGCCATATACCACACCTCCTCGGGCCTTATTGCTCAAATATAAGATACTTAATCCGTAGGTTATTTTCAATGTGTTTCCACATTTAATAACATAAATGCCAAGTAACAAACGACATGCGACTGAACGCTAAGTAGCCATGTTCCCAACTGCTGTCATGCTGTAGCGCATGCACACAAGTAAACAGTAAGAATGAACCCATTCATCACAGACACGGATGTAGTTTTGGACTGTAGGATATTTACATATTTTCTTATACACTGAGTATGCCAAACATTACGAACATTTGTTTACCAAAGGATAACACCTGAAAGCATTACATAGGCCTAATGAAAACACTTATTTCCATAGTGGTCTTCGATGGTAGCCTGGGTACCAGTCTTTTTAGCTAACATCCTTGTCACTGTTGTCATTTGGGAAAAATGACATGGTACACCATGCTACCTCAATAGTAAAAACAAATGACAAGTTCTTCTACAATGAGTCACCTGAGGTTTTAATAAACAGGCCTATAGATTGAAATGGACAGGATTTAGCTTAGCTAACTTTATCATGAACTGTGACCTCGTCACGTATGGCTTACTGTCCAAAGTAACTGCCAAAATAATGGAAACACTTGAGAAAATGAGGGATACAAAGTACACTGAACTAAAATATGAAAGCAAAATGTAAAGTGTTGGTCCAATGTTTCATGAGCTGAAATAAAAGATCCCAGAAATATTCCATACACAAATAAAGCTTATTTCTCTCAAATGTGCACAAATTGGTTTACATCCCTGTTAGTGAGCATTTCTCATTTTCCAAGATAATCTATCCACATGACAGGTGTGGCATATCAAGAAGCTGATTAAACAGCATTATAATTACACAGGTGCACCTTGTGCTGGGGACCATAAAAGCCCACTCTAAAATGTGCAGTTTTGTCACACAACACAATGCCACAGATGTCTCAAGTTTTGAGGGAGCGTGCAATTTGCATGCTGACTGCAGGAATGTCCACCAGAGCTGTTGCCAGAGAATGTAATGTTAATTTCTCTACCATAAGACCTCTAATGTCTTTTAGAGAATTTGGCAGAACGTCTAACCGGCCTCACAACCGCAGACCATGTGTAACCATGCCAGCCCAGGACCTCCACATCCGGCTTCTTCAACTGCGGGATCGTCTGAGACCAGCCAACCGGACAGATGATGAAATTGAGGAGTAGTTCTGTCTGTAATAAAACACTTTTGTGGGGAAACAATCATTCTGATTGGCTGGGCCTGGCTTCCCAGTGGGTGGGGCTATGCCCTCCCGGGCCCAGCCATGGCTGTGCCCTGCCCAGTCATGTGAAATCCATAGATTAGGGCCTAATTAATTTATTTCAATTGACTGATTTCCTTATATGAACTGTAACTCAGTAAAAACGTTGAGATTTTTGCATGTTGCGTTTATATTTTTGTTCAGTATATATTGAAAGCAGGTGCTTCCACACAGGTGTGGTTCCTGAGTTAATTAATCCATTAACATCCCATCATGCTTAGGGCCATGTATAAAAATGCTGGGCAGGCCATTATTTTGGCAACCATGGCTATGCCCCCATAGGATGACAATGCCCCCATCCACAGGGCACAAGTGGTCACTGAATGGTTTGATGAGCTTGAAAACTATGTAAACCGTACACCATGGCTGTCTCAGTCACCAGATCTCAACCCAATTGAACACTTATGGGAGATTCTGGAGCGGCGACTGAGACAGCGTTTTCCACCAGTGTCTTGCTCTCTGTCTTGCTCTCTCTCTCTCTCTCTCTCTCTCTCTCTCTCTCTCTCTCTCTCTCTCTCTCTCTCTCTCTCTCTCTCAATTCAATTCAATTTAAGGGGCTTTATTGGCATGGGAAACATATATTTACATTGCCAAAGCAAGTGAATTAGATAATAAACAATGTGAAATAAAAAATAAACAGTAAACATTACACTCACAAACGTTCCAAAATAATAAAGACATTTCAAATGTCATAGGGGCCCCAAAATTTGGGCCCAGCGTCGTGCAGGGTAGGGGAGGAATGGCCAGCAGGGATGTAGCTCAGTTGATAGAGCATGGCGTTGCAACGCCAGGGTTTGTGGGTTCGATTCCCACGGGGGGCCAGTTAAAAAAATATGTATTCACTACTGTAAGTCGCTCTGGATAAGAGCGTCTGCTAAATGACTAAAATGTAATGTAAATGTAATGATGTGCACAGGGGGGGTGTGTTCAATAGGGCGATATGGGCGACGCAATGCCAAAGGGGAAAAAAGGGAAAGGGATTTTTTTTTCTAATAAATTTAATCACGGCAACAGTAGTTTATCAGTTTTTGTAATCTAGACGTCTGTTTCTGCCACAGTGCCACTAAATGTCCAATCAGGCTAAAGTCGTGCTTCAAATGGCCCCCCCCCATTTTGGGGCGATTTCAGTCAGGTTGAAATCCCCCAGAAGTCTGTCATAGACTCCCATGTAAAATCTATTTTTTTCAAATATCAGAGCTTTCAATACAATCTCTATGGGTTTCTGAGGGCTTGCACTTACGCGCTTTCGTCATCTAACTATAAACCATGAACGTAACTAAGAAAAGAGCGGGTAGCAGCGTCATCAATTCACTACTTCTATCAAAATGGCTAGGCTTCAGTGAAACTCGTTGTGTCTTTAAAAGAAGTTCCCTTTTTGTCGGCGAACAAATGAAGATAATTGGCAACGAAACAATTAGGACCTCCCAGACCAAATTTAATAATTCACAGGTTTCTACTAAAGGGGGAAGTCCTACACCCCCAGGATTTTTCCAAAAAATTGGTACGAACGAAAAACCTGGCTAGCAGGCTGCGATGTAGCTAATGCAGTCTTCTGCTACCCCCCCCGCTTACTCTTTCACCCTGAAGGCGGCACGGCAGACAGCACCGCTGGACAGCGACTGGTGTGTAACGGACAGCAAAACCCTCTTTCAGGAAAGATTAAGAAACAATGCTTCAGACCCACATGATAGCTGTTGAGATTGTCTGCTTTGGGGAGAGTTTAACATTCCCACTCAACTGATGAGGGATACAGGCCCAGCTGTCCGCCGCCACAAAAGATGAGGGTTTGTGTTGATAAACACAAGTTTTACTGGAGAACTGAAACTGACAAAGGCTGCAAGATAGGGCCCCTTTTTTCCATTGTTATTGGGATAGGAACAGAACTTATAACCAGCTCCTGACCTAAATAGATCTTAGCACAACATTTTACTCAACATATCATATTCCATATTCACTATAACAAATTTTTACTACGACATTAGCCAGACCGCCACATCCTCAGCCGGCTAATCCAGTGTGTGAAGTTTTGCGGGGTGGGTTTTAGTTAGCTTTGCGAGGCAAAGATGAAACTGAGGGCCCACCAACCCTGGTAAGCCAACACTTTTTAGATCAGTCAATAAATGCTTCTGGTATTGACTTATATGCTGCCCCTGTCTTCATGTTGTTGCTGGACATATCTTTTTTAAAATGTGTGTGCAAATAGTTAAAGTACATAAGGGAAAATAAATAAACATAAATATAGGTTGTATTTACAATGGTGTGTGTTCTTCACTGGTTGCCCTTTTCTTGTGGCAACAGGTCACTAATCTTGCTGCTGTGATTTTGCTGTGATCTTGCTGCTGCTGGGAGTTAATCAAAATTGGATTTGTTTTTGAATTTCTGTCAGAGCAGATGGTTGGGGGACCGGAATTGGACACAACTAAGCCCAAAAAGGGATTGTATTTGAAAATAACAATAATTTCATACCTTGATTACATTGAGACACGATTGTGAGACACAGAGTAGGTGAATGGATGATCTCGCATATGTGGTTCCCACAAGGAAGCATGGAGGAGGAGGTGTGATGGTGTGGGGGTGCTTTGCTGGTGACACTGTCTGTGATTTATTTAGAATTCAAGGCACATTTAACCAGCATGGCTACCACAGCATTCTGCAGAGATACGCCATCCCATCTGGTTTGCTCTTAGTGGGACTATAATTTGTTTTTCAACAGGACAATGACCCAACACACCTCCAGGCTGTGTAACAGCTATTTGACCAAGAATGAGAGTGATGGAGTGCTGCATCAGATGACCTGGCCTCCACAATCCCCTGACCTCAACCCAATTGAGATGGTTTGGGATGAGTTGGACCGAAGAGTGAAGGAAAAGCAGCCAACAAGTGCTCAACATATTTCATATTTCATGTCTTAAAGTAATGATGGACTGTAATTTCTCTTTGCTTATCTGAGCTGTTCTTGCCATAATATGGACTTGGTCTTTTACCAAATAGGGCTATCTTCTGTATACCACCCCTAGCTTGTCACAACACAACTGATTGGCTCAAACGCATTAAGAAGGAAAGAAATTCCGCAAATTAACTTTTAACAAGGCACACCTGTTAATTTAAATGCATTCCAGGTGACTACCTCATGAAGCTGGATGAGAGAATACCAAGCATGTGCAAAGCTGTCATCAAGGCAAAGGGTGGCTACTTTGAAGAATCTCAAATATAAAATATATTTTGATTTGTTTAACACTGTTTTGGTTACTACATGATTCCATATGTGTTATTTCATAGTTTTGATGTCTTCACTATTATTCTACAATGGAGAAAATAGTAAAAATAAAGAAAAACCCTGGAATGAGTCCAAGCTTTTGACTGGTACTGTATATATATATTTGTTTTGGAGTACAGAGCCAAAACAACCAAAAATGTTTCACTGTCCCAAAACGTTTGGAGCTCACTGTATATATACATATATATTTTTTGTTGCAAAAAACTTTGGGGGCCAAAGAAAAGTCACCTGTTGCCGAGTTTTGATTGAGACTTTCAGAGCAAGTGCCTTTGTCAGACTAAAGGCTACAGGACAAACGAGGGAACAGCACACACCAGCCCAGCCCTGAGACAGCTCACACCAGCCCAGCCCTGAGACAGCACACACCAGCCCAGCCCTGAGACAGCTCACACCAGCCCAGCCCTGAGACAGCACACACCAGCCCAGCCCTGAGACAGCACACACCAGCCCAGCCCTGAGACAGCTCACACCAGCCCAGCCCTGAGACAGCACACACCAGCCCAGCCCTGAGACAGCACACACCAGCCCAGCTCTGAGACAGCACACACCAGCCCAGCCTGCTTTGCATGTTCATTACATTACTCTGTGGCCCTGCGGCTGCTGCAGCTCATGAGACTGTGAAGTGCTTTACATGGTTTTACAGGGTTGAACAAGAAGGAAGGAAACCTTACACTGTTACATTACTGAACTGCAGAACTGTACAGTAGAAACCTAAATTATAAAAAGGAGAAAGAAAGAGAGGGAACAACTTTAGTGTATTGCAATGGGTCCCATGGCCTTGTCAGGGAGCAAGTTTAGTGTATTGAGATGCACCCATTGCCTTGTCATTGTTGGGCCAAATATTTTTATATATGTGGTGGGGCATCACAGACAGGCCTAAATTGCCTTGCCAAAACCCATGACTGAAGACAGTAAATCAAAGCCATGCAGTCTTCGGAACGCCTCAAGGTTAGCCTCTAGAACAATAAAGTCAGATAAAGCCTATATGACTGTAGAATCCTTATATCCTCGATTGAAAATATAATATAAAATGTTTGAAAGAAAGAATCCCTGTGTCCACATAAAAGAGGTCAGGACCTTGATGACACAGAAGGCAATAAAGCACTGGGCCCGGCTCAATCCCCCGCTACGTAATCAACCCATCATCTTGTATATGGTTGTCTGCTTTCCCCCGCAGCAAGGTACTATCCAGGAGACCTTGACTTGTGTGTGCATTGTGACATTCAACACTGTTTGTGTATTGAGTGTAATGTCCTTCAAACAGGGCAGTGTTCTGTTACCCCCAAAGCCTTTTTCAGTCTGCCTGTGGAAGCCTTGTGACGCATGGCACCGCCGCCACCACTGGGGGATACAACACACACACGTTGCACACGCACACATACACACACACACACGTACACACATTCACGCACGCACACACACTTGGTTCTGTCTGTTTTGTCCAGAGAATTGTTTAATATTCAGATGTCACTGCTCCTCCCAAGTTCTTTGTGTCTGCTCTAGCTATGGAAACACAATATCACCGGTAAAACACCAGGGTCTAGCCCCATAGAAAAGCCTCTCCGCACCAGGGCTGCAATAGAAAAATGCCTGTAGAGGGTTTTGTCATATTAAAGCTCTATAGTAGCTCATGGTTATTATGTCACTGCAAGAATGTTGATGGTCATTCATTCATTCTAGAATCAACACTTTTGTCTATGGGGTTTTACATTCGTCATCTCTCTCTCTCTCTCTCTCTCTCTCTCTCTCTCTCTCTCTCTCTCTCTCTCTCTCTCTCTCTCTCTCTCTCTCTCTCTCTCTCTCTCTCTCTTTCTCTCTCTCTCAATTCAATTCAATTTAAGAGGCTTTATTGGCATGGGAAACATATATTTACATTGCCAAAGCAAGTGAAATAGATAATAAACAAAATGAAATAAACAATAATAAATTAACAGTAAACATTACACTCACAAAAGGTCCAAAAGAATAAAGACATTTACTGGTTGCCCTTTTCTTGTGGCAACAGGTCACAAATCAATTCAATTTCAATTCAATTTCAATTTCAATTTAAGGGCTTTATTGGCATGGGAAACGTGTGTTAACATTGCCAAAGCAAGTGAAGTAGATAGTAAACAAAAGTGAAATAAACAATAAATATTAACAGTAAACATTACACTCAGAAGTTTCAAAAGAATAAAGACATTTCAAATGTCATATTATGTATATATACAGTGTTGTAACAATGTGCAAATAGTTAAAGTACAAATGGGAAAATAAATAAACATAAATATGGGTTGTATTTACAATGGTGTTTGTTCTTCACTGGTTGCCCTTTTCTTGTGGCAACAGGTCACAAATCTTGCAGCTGTGATGGCACACTGTGGTTTTTCACCCAGTAGATAAGGGAGTTTATCAAAATTGGGTTTGTTTTCAAATTCTTTGTGGATCGCTGTAATCTGAGGGAAATATGTGTCTCTAATATGGTCATACATTTGGCAGGAGGTTAGGAAGTGCAGCTCAGTTTCCTCCTCATTTTGTGGGCAGTGTGCACATAGCCTGTCTTCTCTTGAGAGCCAGGTCTGCCTACGGCGGCCTTTCTCAATAGCAAGGCTATGCTCACTGAGTCTGTACATAGTTAAAGCTTTCCTTAAGTTTGGGTCAGTCACAGTGGTCAGGTATTCTGCCACTGTGTACTCTCTGTTTAGGGCCAAATAGCATTCTAGTTTGGTCTGTTTATATGTTTGTTCTTTCCAATGTGTCAAGTAATTCTCTTTTTGTTTTCTCATGATCTCAAATCTCTCTCTCTCTTTCTCTCTCTCACTCCGTCTCCCGACCTACTTCTCCTTCGCTCATTCTTTCTCTTTGACAGTGAAGTATTGCCACCTAGTGGTTTAAGACGTACTTTACTGGTCTTACTTTAGACTTCAGGCTGTAACTTTACCCGGGTAGTTTACCGGACACAGATCATATCTGTACTAGAATAAACTCGTATAATAATACAGTATATTCTAGCGTTCAGCTTTTTCACTACATGTCCTTTAGGTAAGTAGGAACTGAAGTTTCAATATCCTGAAACATATCAAAACATTTTTAATTTCAGAGCTGCCCTGATAGTTTTAATTAAATCCGCATCGCAATCCGCTGTTAATTTTACATTTCAGCTTTCATTTATTCAACTTCAGATGATATCTGAGTTTCATTATTGCTTTGGCAATAGAGTGGCGGTGGCAGGAAGAAACATGCAGACATACAGGAAACGTTGCGCTCAAGCTAGTCTCGCGTAGCCATACCTCGGTCAAGCTATACGAGCTATACACACTTTGTATGCGCCACTACACTTATGAATACGGTATCAGGTTGAAGTCGGATTTGGACGAAAGAGCGCCCGTAAAGCCTAGTGTAGTGGCGCATTCATTCTGTCGGTCGGATAGCTTGATCTTTTGATAGAGTCAGATGTAGCTCGACGGCATTCAGGAAACGGCGCAAATAAAGGCAACTTGAACAAACATTGAAGATCCATTCACCCAGCGTTTAAACTGTGGGGTAACCGCTGTCAGTACTGTATGGTCATTTTATCCAGTTTTAAAGTTATATACTTTCAGTGTTTTGTATATTTTCTATTCGAGTTGATAATGCTGGATGGTCGAACTGATGAAGTTCACAAGAGACATTTGCCGACTACTGGGTATTGGAGGCGGTAAGTAAAAGTAACTGCGCCGCCACTGTAAAGTTACCAAATATGTCTCTTATGTCAAACACGCGACGAGTTTAATCTGACAACAGCTGTGGAGTGTTTATCGATTTATCGCTGGCGGGTCGGCTCGACTAAAAACAAGTTACACAAGTTAAAATGCTCCTATGCTATGTGATAGCCTATTGTGATCACAAAAAAGCGTGATATTTAAAAGAAAAAAAAGTCAGTCATGCACGTTCCTATAAAATGTTGCCTTATATTTAAAGCGGCAATACGAAATTGAAACTAACAAATCTGAGGGATGGGGTTGGAAAAATGTAACCGCTCTCAAATTCATAGTTCGAGCTGTGGATGTAAGGACTGACCATCCATGATATCAAAATTATAGTTTTAACCATGTGTTGAGTCTGTATAGTGTTTGTTTACATATACTTTAATTACAAACATCGGAGAAAAACAAGTTTATATTTTGGGTTCTGATTGGGTACGACAGTTGAACTAAGCTCATTAGGCATTTATAAATTACATTCTTCAAGGACCAATGGGTACACATCATCAATTTAACTGCAGATTGCCCCTTTTTTAAACAAGGTGTATTAGCGATCTTTCTGTTTGCTCTGTCTCTCTCTCGCTCACATAATCAGTATTGTGGAGCTCAGTTGGTAGAACACGGCGTTTGCAACGCAAGGGTTGTGGGTTCGATTCCCACGGGGGGCCAGTATGAAAATGTATGCACTCACTAAAAAACTGTAAGTCGCTCTGGATAAGAGCGTCTGCTAAATGACTAAAATGTTAAATCCTTTGTGTAGGCTTGTCTGTCTCTATCTGCATATGGCTACACGCCACACTGGAATCTGAGACTTTGTTTCCATTTTGCTTACAAGACATGGTGCAGTGCCCGTAGCTCAGGGGACACAGTCCTCTTGGCTCAGGGGTTGTGTGTCTTTGTGGAACAGATCTGGTCCTTTGTAGCTCAGATGGTGGTGCCTGTAATTCCAAAGTAGTGGTTTCAATTCCCAGGACACCAACCATACGTAAAATGTATGCACGCATGACTAAGTCGCTTTGGATAAAAGCGTTTGCTAAATGTAATATATTGTTACATTAACTCTGGAATGAAACTCTACCCTAAAGTAGGAGAACAATTTGATGACTAATTCCAATAGAACGCAGTCACCAGTAATTCCCAGACTCTTGTTTAAATGGAAAGGCCTTCTATTCCTTAGGTCCTGGTTGAGTCTTTTGTCTCAAATGGGTGTTGTGGTGCGGAATGTATGCCACTTCTTCTATAAGCCAAGGCCACAGAGGACCGTGTAGCTAGGCCTAGGCTATTACGCTCTCTAACTGAATCAAATCAAATCAAATCAAATTTTATTGGTCACATGCGCCGAATACAACAGGTGCAGACATTACAGTGAAATGCTTACTTACAGCCCTTAACCAACAGTGCATTTATTTTAAACAAAAAAGTAAGAATAAAACAACAACAAAAAAGTGTTGAGAAAAAAAGAGCAGAAGTAAAATAAAGTGACAGTAGGGAGGCTATATATACAGTAAAATAAAGTGACAGTAGGGAGGGTATATATACAGGGGGGTACCGTTGCATAGTCAATGTGCGGGGGCACCGGCTAGTTGAGGTAATATGTACATGTGGGTAGAGTTAAAGTGACTATGCATAAATACTTAACAGAGTAGCAGCAGCGTAAAAAGGATGGGGTGGGGGGGCAGTGCAAATAGTCCGGGTAGCCATGATTAGCTGTTCAGGAGTCTTATGGCTTGGGGGTAGAAGCTGTTGAGAAGTCTTTTGGACCTAGACTTGGCACTCCGGTACCGCTTGCCGTGCGGTAGCAGAGAGAACAGTCTATGACTAGGGTGGCTGGAGTCTTTGACAATTTTGAGGGCCTTCCTCTGACACCGCCTGGTATAGAGGTCCTGGATGGCAGGGAGCTTTGCCCCAGTGATGTACTGGGCCGTACGCACTACCCTCTGTAGTGCCTTGCGGTCAGAGGCCAAGCAGTTGCCATACCAGGCGGTGATGCAGCCAGTCAGGATGCTCTCGATGGTGCAGCTGTATAATTTTTTGAGGATCTGAGGACCCATGCCAAATCTTTTTAGTCCCCTGAGGGGGAATAGGCTTTGTCGTGCCCTCTTCACGACTGTCTTGGTGTGTTTGGACCATGATAGTTCGTTGGTGATGTGGACACCAAGGAACTTGAAGCTCTCAACCTGTTCCACTACAGCCCCGTCGATGAGAATGGGGGCGTGCTCAGTCCTCTTTTTTTTCCTGTAGTCCACAATCATCTCCTTTGTCTTGGTCACGTTGAGGGAGAGGTTGTTGTCCTGGCACCACACGGCCAGATCTCTAACCTCCTCCCTATAGGCTGTCTCATCGTTGTCGGTGATCAGGCCTACCACTGTTGTGTCGTCGGCAAACTTAATGATGGTGTTGGAGTCGTGCCTGGCCATGCAGTCATGGGTGAACAGAGAGTACAGGAGGGGACTGAGCACGCACCCCTGAGGGGCCCCCGTGTTGAGGATCAGTGTGGCAGATGTGTTGTTACCTACCCTTACCACCTGGGGGCGGCCCGTCAGGAAGTCCAGGATCCAGTTGCAGAGGGAGGTGTTTAGTCCCAGGATCCTTAGCTTAGTGATGAGCTTAGAGGGCACTATGGTGTTGAATGCTGAGCTGTAGTCAATGAATAGCATTCTCACGTAGGTGTTCCTCTTGTCCAGGTGGGAAAGGGCAGTGTGGAGTGCGATAGAGATTGCATCATCTGTGGATCTGTTGGGGCGGTATGCAAATTGGAGTGGGTCTAGGGTTTCTGGGATTATGCTGTTGATGTGAGCCATGACCAGTCTTTCAAAGCACTTCATGGCTACAGACGTCAGTGCTACGGGTCGGTAGTCATTTAGGCAGGTTATCTTAGAGTTCTTGGGCACGGGGACTATGGTGGTCTGCTTGAAACATGTTGGTATTACAGACTCAGTCAGGGACATGTTGAAAATGTCAGTGAAGACACTTGCCAGTTGGTCACCACATGCTCGGAGTACACGTCCTGGTAATACGTCTGGCCCTGCGGCCTTGTGAATGTTTACCTGCTTAAAAGTCTTACTCACATCGGCTACGGAGAGCGTGATCACATAGTCGTCCGGAACAGCTGGTGCTCTCATGCATGCTTCAGTGTTGCTTGCCTCGAAGCGAGCATAGAAGTGGTTTAGCTCGTCTGGTAGGCTTGTGTCACTGGGCAGCTCGCGGCTGTGCTTCCCTTTGTAGTCTGTAATAGTTTTCAAGCCCTGCCACATCCGACGAGCGTCAGAGCCAGTGTAGTATGATTCAATCTTAGACCTGTATTGACTCTTTGCCTGTTTGATGGTTCGTCGGAGGTCATAGCGGGATTTCTTATAAGCGTCCGGGTTAGAGTCCCGTTCCTTGAAAGCGGCAGCTCTACCCTTTAGCTCAGTGCGGATGTTTCCTGTAATCCATGGCTTCTGGTTGGGGTATGTACGTACGGTCACTGTGGGGACGACATCATCGATGCACTTATTGATGAAGCCAGTGACTGATGTGGTATACTCCTCAATGCTGTCTGAAGAATCCCGGAACATGTTCCAGTCTGTGCTAGCAAAACAGTCCTGTAGCTTAGCATCTGCGTCATCTGACCACTTTTTTATTAGCCGAATCACTGGTGCTTCCTGCTTCAGTTTTTGCTTATAAGCAGGAATCAGGAGGATAGAGTTATGGTCAGATTTGCCAAATGGAGGGCGAGGGAGAGCTTTGTATGCGTCTCTGTGTGTGGAGTAAAGGTGGTCTAGAGTTTTTTTCCCCTCTGGTTGCACATTTAACATGCTGGTAGAAATGAGGTAGAACGGATTTAAGTTTCCCTGCATTAAAGTCCCCGGCTACTAGGAGCGCTGCATCTGGATGAGCGTTTTCCTGTTGATTAATGGCCTTGTACAACTCATTCAGTGCAATCTTAATGCCAGCATTGGTTTGTGGTGGTAAATAGACAGCTATGAAAAATATAGATGAAAAGTCTCTTGGTAAATAGTGTGGTCTACAGCTTATCATAAGATACTCTACCTCAGGCGAGCAAAACCTCGAGACTTCCTTAGTATTTGATTTTGTGCACCAGCTGTTGTTTACAAATATACACAGACCGCCGCCCCTTGTCTTACCAGAGTCAGACGTTCTGTCCTGCCGATGTAGCGTATAGCCTGCTAGCTGAATGTTGTCATTGTTGTCGTTCAGCCACGACTCCGTGAAACATAAGATATTACAGTTTTTAATGTCCCGTTGGTAGGATAACCGTAATCTTAAATCGTCAATTTTATTCTCAAAAGATTGAACGTTGGCTAATAGGATTGATGGGAGAGGCAGTTTACTCGTTCGCCGTCGGATCCTTACAAGGCACCCGGATCTGCGTCCACGATATCTCCGTCTCTTCCTCACGCGAATGACGGGGATCTGGGCCTTGTTGGGTGTCTGTAGAATATCCTTCGCGAACGCCTCGTTGAAGAAATTTGCTCAAGATTTGCTCAAGATACACTCTACTAGACTAACTATAATACATTAAATGTGGCATTTAGCAGAGGCTGTTATCCAAAGCAACTTAGTCATGCGTGCGTACATTTTACATATGCCTGTCCCCAGCGGGAATCGAACTTGCAATCATTGCGCCATGCTCTTAACGAAATGTCAATACACACTTCTGTGAAACACATAATGAACCCTTGTGGATATAGACACCTGTAATGTTACGCACTTCCACAGTAGGCTAACAACATGTATGTAAACAGTAATAATCCACAGGCTAATTGTCACCCCCGATCAACAAATTGCTTGAGAGAGAGAGAGAGATGGCTGATCTACGAAACTAAGATATACATAACATTACTCTCTTCCACAGTAAATCTAAACTAGTTAAATGTCATTCCCAGGCTATTTTCAGCATCTTTCCTTCCGTCAGCTGGAGGTGGTGCAACAGCAGCCGAGCAGAGAGCAGAGTCAGTGTACAATTCTGACATGTCATGATGATGTCACCAGTCTACCAGATTGTTCTTGTTGTGGTATTCAAATGAGAGATACCTGATCGCTGTCATCACATGTTATCACACTGAAGAAGCAGTGTAGGTTTGACGATAGAATCTGGGGCTGGATGCATTCCAAATGGCTCCCTATACAGTGTAGTACCCTTAGGCCTTTGTCAAAAGTATTGCACTCTCTGGTCGAAAGTAGTGCACTATATAGGGAATAGGGTGCCATTTGAGACGCACATGAATGAAGTCTTTTACTTTCAGTTTGATTGTCCTCTGATTTTTAGCTGCCGAGAAATCCTCTTTCATGACGACTCACTCATGTTTGATCAGAACCAGAAGGATGTCTTTGAACTGTGATATGATGAGTTTCTCTGGTATAAGGAATTCAGGATGCAAGAATACAACTAAACTGATACAAGGTATTTAATAATACGGTACCGGATTCAACATAACAAGATACACGTGAGTTGCCTCTTGCTATCCGAATGATAGACCAAGAGATCTCTCCGTTTATATACTTCAGGGTAAACAAGTTCTAACCAACAGTTGCCAACCATCAGTGGAGGACACTCCCAACCCCGATGGTATCAGCTTGCACCCCAGTCAGGACATTCTATCTATCACTCATTCTAATATTAACACCACTGGCTTCCCCCAGACTTCTTGGCACCCAGACTTTCTGGCACCCACAGTGCCATAGATAAATGGAATGACCCCATTCCCAAATCCTGTGTAACATGTCATATCAAACTGTGATAAGAGAATAGAGTAGAGTAGTAGAGTGAATGGATTAGAGTAGAACTTAATTGATCCATTATACACCAATTTGTGAGCCGCTCTGGATAAGAGCGTCTGCTAAATGACGTAAATGTGCCCTTGAGCAAGGCACTTAACCCTAATTGCTCCTGTAAGTCGCTCTGGATAAGAGCGTCTGCTAAATGACTAAAATGTAAATGTAATGTAAATGTACAAGGACAAGTGAAACATGTCTTCTTGCTGATACAGACAGTACCCACCCCACCCGTCTGTATCATTGTGATGACGGTGATAGTGGTGGTGGTGGTATGGAGATGTGTTGTGTTCTTTGTGGTTGAATGTGTGGGTGCTAACTACTAACTAACTGTTCCTCTTGATTTTACTCTCTTCTGTCTTCTTCTCTGGTCTGTAAGCCCAAGGCATTATGGGGGAGGGGGGATGGGTACTTTGTCTCTGAGTGGCAGGAAACCACAGGCATGCAGCCACCACCCCGTTTACTTAGAGAGAGAGAGAGAGAGAGAGAGAAGCAGAACAACAAAGAATTTGAAAACAAATCCAACATTGATAACTCCCATATCTGTTAGGTGAAATACCGCAGTGTGAAATCACAGCAGCAAGATTTGTGGCCCATTGTCATGAGAAAAGGGCAACCAGTGGAGCACAAACAACATTGTAAATACCACCAATATTTATCTGTTTATTTATCTTACCCCACTATTCATACAACAACTATTTGTACATTGCTAAAACACTAGCTTATAATATAACACTTGAAATTTGTATTTTTTTAAAACCTTTTTGAGTGCAACATTTACTGTTGATTTCTAATCATTTTTTGTTGATGTTGTTAAATTAGTTTCTTCTCACTTTTGTTTATTTCACTTGCTTTGGCAATGTAAACATACAGTATGTTTCCCATTCCAATAAAGCCCCATTGATTTAAATTAAGAGAGAGGGAGAGGGAAGCAGAGAGAGAGAGATGTGCAGAGGGAGAGGCAGAGAGCATGGCAGAGAGAGAGAGGGAGACAGAGAGAGAGGGAGGCAGAGAGAGAGGGAGACAGAGAGAGAAGAGCGAGAGGGGGGATAATACCTTTCCCAGCATTTTTCTGTTCCATATCAAAGTAGTATAAGACAAACAGCTTCTCTGCTGGCCTTGGGAAACTGATATACCACAGGTGGTTTTCATATCGCACCAGAAAGAAGTGTGTTTTTTCTAACAATGTTGCTGCTTGTTTCTTAGCAGTGTTTCAGTCATCATTTCTATCTAACGTAGGCTCAGTAAAATTGGATGAAAAAAATACACAAAATGAACTAAACCTTCTAGTTTCTAAAAGTTTCCCCAGTTTTGTGACTACTGAACATGACCCAGGGAGGAGCAGTTGTGTGTTTAAGGGGAGTGAGCCATTGTTGACCGTGGTAATCCCACATTCCAGAACGTTCAGATAGAAATGTATTGTGTAGAACAGATATGATTGTCTATCTAACATGTAGAATAGGGCATGCTCTATATTATTCATTGCATTTCTATCTGCAATGTTCTGAATGTTTCACCTTACTGAACACAGACCAGATGTAAGCCAGGCAGTCAGTCAGTCAGAATTGCTGACAACAGCATGCAGGTTTAGCTTGTAAGAAGCAAACATACTGGTTGGATTAGACCCTTTTCCTGTGCTAACTTTGTGACTTTTATTATTTCCTTATGAAGATGGAGAATATCTAATTTCACACATGGTTTAACCCTTGTTTGAGGCTGTTTTCAGTATATTTGTCATGGTTGGAGTTGAGTGGGTCTGTCTCAAATGACGTCCCATTCCCTTTATAGTGCACTACTTTTGCCCAGGGCCGATACGGCTTCCGCATGCTTCGGTTTGGCTGGCGCCTAGCCGAACTTTGCTAGGTGAACCGAGCGAGTGTGCTCGCATACTCCCTTAAAAGAGCTTTGCTTGAAAAACGAGAAAGAAACAGCAATAGTACTGTTTGTCCATCTTGAGAAGTCCATCATTTCCTCAAAATAGTCAGAATTAATCTAAGATAACTCAAGAAATCTGTCATCAATTTTGACGTTTTTGCTGAGGAGATCTTAGTCGTGCAATTTTACATCTGAAGATGTTTGGTGCAGTATTGTTCAAGGGAAAGGGGATTCCTAGTCAGTTGCACAACTGAATACATTTAACTGAAATGTGTGTTCCGTATTTAACCCAAACCATATGAGTCAGATGCGGGGGGCTGCCTTAATCGACGTCATCGGCACCCGGGGAGCAGTTGTTGTTGTGGGTTAACTGCCTTGCTCAAGGGGAGAATGGCAGATTATTCCACCTTTCCGGCTCGGGATTTGAACCAGCGACCCTTCAGTTACTGGCCCAACGCTCTTAACCGCTAGGAAATGAGTCGTCTATCGTTGAATCACAACAAACACTTAATTGAAGAATCCCTACTGTTGATCAATGACCGACGAAGGGGTGTTGACTTCGGCAACCGAAATTCGGCTTGCCTCAAGAAATGTTGTGTACCCAAACAGCTGCAAAAACCCCCAAAACTAAACAAACAAAACTTCACAACATGTTGTCATAATATGTGCAGGAACCGTTATGGATGAAAGGCATACAGATGCCTTTACATAACATAACATAGCATAACATAGCATAACATAGCATAGCATAGCATAGCATAGCATAACATCCTATTACTTATAGGCCTGTTGGGTCCCAGAGGTCACACACGCATGGACACATATACACACACACACACAGGCACACACACACGTACACAGGCACACGCTATTGTAAGCAGCGTCCCTGTATGCAAGATGGAATCTGCCAGGCCCAGTGCCGATAGGTCTAGGCTGCATCTCAAATGGCACCCTTTTCCCTATGTAGTGCACTACTTTTGACACTATGGGCCCTGGTTAAAAGTAGTGCACTACGTAGAGATTGGGAATAGGGGGCCATTTGGGACGCAGCCATAGAGCGTAAGGCACAGGAGGTCTATTCTCCAGTATCAGTCATGTTCCATTAGAGAGTCTGCTGTCCAGATGTCAGGTGGTTGTACCACTCCCACCTGTAGACACACACACACACACACACACACACACACCTCTCAGGGTCAGGTGAGGGAAGCACCCAGGTGGCAGACAGACAGTGGGTGTTTAAGGGGAAGGTTCTGATCTGTCTGTGTTGCCCTCAACAGGCTACAGTCGGTCTGGATTGAACCTTTTGGTTAAAGGTGTGTCCCAAGTGACACCCTATTCCTTATATAGTGCACACATTTTGACCATGACTCAAAATAGTGAACTATATAATATAGGGTGCCATTTGGGACGCGGTCTGAGAGAGGGGGAAGAGAGTCATTTCATCATGGTAGGACAACGATACACTTCCTGTCTGGATCCACTGGACCAATACGTTTCCACCCGAAGAAGGAGGGAGAATCTCCAGCAGCATGTGTACTGTGCTGTGTTCTGTCTTCTCCTCCTTCTTCTCTTTCCTTCCTCCTCTTTCTCCTCTTTTCAGTCCCCGTCTATGAGACCAACCTGTAGGGGAGAGTGGGGCATGTTGAGACCAACCTGTAGGGGAGAGTGGGGCATGTTGAGACCAACCTGTAGGGGAGAGTGGGGCATGTTGAGACATTTTTCTTTACATTTAGCATCCCTACGTCAAGGGAAATGTATAGTATTCTTTCTAACCACGATATCTACATATATTTCAGTATGTTGTGTATCCCTGGAAATAATCAGAATCCATGTAAACATGGATGGGATATATCTGGCTGCTGCCTCTCTTCTTCCTCTTCCTCTTCCTCTTCCTCTTCCTCTTCCTCCTCCTCCTCCTCCTCCTCCTCCAAAGTCTCTAACTTTCTCAATGAGACCAACCTGTATAAATAATGTTACAAAAGTAACACTAAACAAACAACCAAGTGTTTGCTTTGGTTCATTTGTGTTCACTCTCAGGTTGTGTGTGTTTCTAGATGGGCCAGGTGAGCAGGAGGAGACGGAGGGAGGAGGAGGAGGAAGAGGTCCAGCCGCGGGTGGAGAGGTCCTGAGTGGGGAGGAGGAGTTGAGTGAGGAGGAGAAGATCAGAAGGAGAGCAGAGAGACGCAGGGCTAAGAGGAAGGTGAGTAGAACACACACCTGTACCACATCATAATCAACCTGGTAACGCTTCACATTAAGTTGCTCTTATACCTGTGTAACCTGTAATAACACTGTAATTACTACGGTAACAACATTGTTGCTACATAGTCATTTAGAAATTGCTGTGTAATTAATGTTAATGAATTAATTGAGCAATGGAGTTGGTTTTCGGTATTGCACCAGAGGAATAAGGAACCATCTATTTGTTTATCTCTGTCATACCTGGTCCACCTGTCACACTCCTGTCCTCCTTACCCTCCCTCAACACACCTTTACCATTCTCTCTTTACAGAGACAGAAAGAACGAAAGAAACTGGAGAAGGAGGAGAAGAGCGGGGATGCTGAGCAGGAGGAGGGAGGAGCAGCGTCTGAGTCTGAGAGTGAAAGTGAGGAGGAGAAGAGGGAGGGAGAGAGGGTAGGAACTCCTGCCAAGACCACGCCTCCTCTCACTGTGTCTGGGAACAAGAGCAACCACCAGCCCCCTGTCAGGACCCCAGAGGAGGTAGGAGAGAGGAGAGGGAGAGAGGGAGAGAGGGAGGGAGGGAGGGAGAGAGGGAGAGAGGGAGGGAGGGAGAGAGGGAGGGAGGGAGGGAGGGAAGGAGGTAGGAGAGAGGGAGGGAAGGAGATAGGAGGGAGGGAGGGAGGGAGGGAGGGAGGAGAGGGAGGGAGGGTCTATATGATTCTATGGGCCCTGGTCTAAAGCAGTACATTATAGAGGGAGTAGGGTGCCATTCAGGCCCTGGTCTAAAGTAGTGCACTATAAGGGTGCCAATTATATTCCCTACAGTCCCATTAATGTGATTATTATACCTTCTCCTTCTCTAGGAGCCGGAGTGGGATGTCTGCAGTGCGTTTGTGGCCAACGCTGCCAGTCACATCAGACACAAAGCCAGGACCAGAGCAGGCCACGCCTCTAGAGAGAACAAGGAGAACGAGGCTGGAACCAGCGAGGTGGGCTGGACACACACACGCACGTTCATACACACACGCGCACACCCACACCCACACCCAGAGGCAGTGTTAACTGACTTGTCTCATTTCAGGTGGAGAGCTCAGACCCTCTGAAGAGGAAGGGAGCCTCACTAACAGGTAACATTAACACAATTGTCTCAGAATGATTATTTATATTCACTGAAATGACCCCAGTTTAACACTGTATGTGTGTGTTCTCCTCCAGAGAAGGGTATTCAGCTGTTTAAGCAGGGCCAGTACTCTCAGGCTGTGGACATGTTCTCTGAGGCTATCCACTGTGACCCCAAAGACCACAGGTACATTTTTACATTTTAGTCATTTAGCAGATGCTCTTATCCAGAGCGACTTACAGTTAGTGAGTGCATACATTTTTTCCATACTGGCCCCCCGTGGGAAACGAACCCACAACCCTAGCGTTGCAAGCGCCATGCTCTACCAACTGAGCTACACGGGGCTCAGCACCTTAAAGCTTGACCTCTGACCCAAACACCACATATCACACTACTATGCTCTCTGACCTGAAATTAGATCTCTGTCAACTTATGTTTTCATGTGTCCTCTCTCTCTCTCTCTCTCTCTCTCTCTCTCTCTCTCTCTCTCTCTCTCTCTCTCTCAGGTTCTTTGGGAATCGTTCGTACTGCTACTGGTGTCTGGAGTTTTACCCCTCTGCACTATCAGATGCTCAGAAGTCCATCCAGCTCGCTCCTGACTGGCCAAAGGGATACTTCCGCAAGGGGAGTGCACTGATGGGGTTGAAGGTCAGTGTCTGAGCTCTCTACTGTCAACGTGGACATTGCTGTGTGTGTCTGTCTGTCTGTCTGTAAAATCTGACTCTCTCCATCTCCCCGTCTTCTCTCTCCAGCGGTATGGTGAGGCAGAGAGGGCCATGCAGCAGGTGTTGAAGCTGGATCAGGACTGTGAGGAGGCCTCTACTGAGCTCTTCAACTGCAAGGTCCTGCAGCTCATGGTGAGGGGAGACAGGGGTCAGGGTTCAGGCTCTAGTCTTGTGTTATTGGATGACTCAATGTGTCCAAAGCTTTGTTGATTGGTGAACTTGTCTGCTTCTTTGTCTTTTCAGGTTTTTTTTCTAAGATCTGCTCTATCAGTTTATCAATTCACCTCTCTCTCTCTCTCTCTCTCTCTCTCTCTCTCTCTCTCTCTCTCTCTCTCTCACCCCCCTCCCTCCCTCCCTCTCTCCCTCCCTCCCGTAGGATCTGGGTTTTGAGGAGGGGCAGAGTGTGTTGCTGCTGGAGAAGTTTACCACGGTGCAGGCTGCTCTCGGCCCCCCTGAGGCTGCCAGAGGTATAGGGAAAAGGTGCACTACCAGACCCCACCACAGGGGGCATAGTATAGACAGGATGCACTACCAGACTCCACCACAGGGGGCATAGCCATTGCATTTAGAGGAGTTTGATTTTTGATTTAACTAAAATAATACAACAATATAGAAATACATACTGTACGTCTAACATTGATTTATTGTGAGGTTTAGCTACAATGTTTCATAGTGAAGTGAACCTTTTCCTCTTCCTTCTCCAGTGGTGGACCTCTCCTCCCCCCAGGACTCTACTGGGTGAGTATGTTTAACTCTGGGTATCATACCTGGGTTGTTAGTGCGACTCTAGACCATGGTATCCCACTGAGCTAAAGTCTAGGCATTACCGAATTCTGATGTGCACTTTGAAGATGTTAGAATAACTGTCCACATTTACTTTTCCTCAGCCCAGAAGGCGAGTAACGAACAGCAAAATCACTAGCCTATGTCAATCTACTATCCCCCATAGTAGAACAGTTTAACTATTCTATTGGTCAGCTTGTCGAGAAAGAAATAGCCTATTCCAAATAGACTCTGGGACAGTTGTGGGAAGATAGATCCCAAATTCATACATCAAGTAAAAATAATGGTTCTGAACGATTGGAAAATTATTTTGGTTCCAAATCCTGATTAAAACGTTCAGGTTTCAAACAATTAAGTATATGTTTTCAAAATGCATACTGCCTCCAGTGACGCGCTGATGAAGCCGGCCTTCCGTTGCCTCAGCCTTTGCTGTTTGAGATGCTGTAGTAGCAGCTCTCACGCTGTCCGACAGGTTTTCAGCTCAAAGGCTCTGTGTCTGTATGCTGTACGCTTGTGATAAATATAATGCATTACGAATATACTGTACACACGTGCCAATTTAATACCACTAAATTATGCAAATTAACCTTTAGACCAATAAGAATGACCGGTCAAATGTATTTAGATCGACTGGTATTTCCACCAATCAAGAGGCTAAAAAACATGATTTCACAATGGGATTTTTTCTTCTTACATTTTAACATTTTAGTAATTTAGCAGACGCTCTTATCAGAGCGGCTTACAGTTAGTGAGTGCATACATTTTTTTTTTCTTCCCATACTGGCCCCCCTTCTTCTCCCGGACAATTGGCCAGCAGTAATTTTCTATTGTTTTATCGACCAAAAGCCGGCTATTACCGGCTATTACCGGTTATTACCGGCTATTACCGGCTAAGGGAAACCCTGACCTATTCCCTATATTGTGCACTTAATTCGACCAGAGTCCTGGTCCTGGTCAAAAGTAATGAACTACAGTTGTAGTCGGAAGTTTACATACACCTTAGCCAAATACATTTAAACTCAGTTTTTCACAATTCCTGACATTTAATCCTAGTAAAAATTCCTTGTTTTAGGTCAGTTAGGATCACCACTTTATTTTAAGAATGTGAAATGTCAGAATAATAGTAGAGAGAATGATTTATTTAAGCTTTTATTTCTTTCATCACATTCCTAGTGGGTCAGAAGTTTATATACACTCAATCAGTATTTGGTAGCATTGCCTTTAAATTGTTTAACTTGGATCAAACGTTTCGGGTAGCCTTCCACAAGCTTCCCACAATAAGTTGAGTGAATTTTGGCCCATTCCTTCTGACAGAGCTGGTGTAACTGAGTCAGGTTTGTAGGCCCCCTTGCTCGCACACGCTTTTTCAGTTCTGCCCACACATTTTCTATAGGATTGAGGTCAGGGCTTTGTGATGGCCACTCCAATACCTTGACTTTGTTGTCCTCAAGCCATTTTGCAACAACTTCCGAAGTATGCTTGGGGTCATTGTCTATTTGGAAGACCCATTTGCGACCAAGCTTTAACTTCCTGACGGATGTCTTGAGATGTTGCTTCAATATATCCACCTAATTTTCCTTCCTAATGAAGCCATCTATTTAGTGAAGTGCACCAGTCCCTCCTGCAGCAAAGCACCCCCACAGCATGATGCTGCCACCCCCGTGCTTCACGGTTGGGATGGTGTTCTTCGGCTTGCAAGCATCCCCCTTTTTCCGACAAACATAACGATGGTCATAATGGCCAAACAGTTCTATTTTTGTTTAATCAGACCAGAGGACATTTCTCCAAAAAGTACAATCTTTGTCCCCATGTGCAGTTGCAAGCTGTAGTCTGGCTTTTTATTGGGGTTTTGGAGCAGTGGCCTCTTCCTTGCTGAGCAGCCTTTCAGGTTATGTCGATATAGGACTTGTTTTACTGTGGATATACATACTTTTGTACCTGATTCCTCCAGCATCTTCACAAGGTCCTTTGCTGTTGTTCTGGGATTGATTTGCACTTTTCGCACCAAAGTACGTTCATCTCTAGGAGACAGAACGCGTCTCCTTCCTGAGCGGTATGATGGCTGCGTGGTCCCATGGTGTTTATACTTGCGTACTATTGTTTGTACAGATGAACGTGATGCCTTCAGGCATTTGGAAATTGCTCCCAAGGATGAACCAGACTTGTGGAGGTCTACAATTATTTTTCTGAGGTCTTGGCTGATTTCTTTTGATTTTCCCATGATGTCAAGCAAAGAGGCACTGAGTTTGAAGGTAGGCCTTGAAATACATCCACAGGTACACCTCCAATTGACTCAAATGATGTCAATTAGCCTATCAGAAGCTTCTAAAGCCATGACATCATTTTCTGAAAATGTCCAAGCTGTTTTAAGGCACAGTCAACTTAGTGTATGTAAACTTCTGACCCACTGGAATTGTGATAAAGTGAATTATAAGAGAAATAATCTGTCTGTAAACAATTGTTGGAAAAATTACTTGTGTCATGCACAAAGTAGATGTCCTAACCGACTTGCCAAAACTAAAATTTGTTAACAAGAAATGTGTGGAGTGGTTAAAAAACGAGTTTTAATGACTCCAACCTAATATAGGGAATAGGGTGCCATTTAGGTTGCATCCATAATGTTGTGGTGTTATAATGTTGCTATAATGGATGTGTTTAGGTTGCTTCCATAATGTTGTGGTGTTATAATGTTGCTATAATGGATGTGTTTAGGTTGCATCCATAATGTTGTGGTGTTCTAATGTTGCTATAATGGATGTGTTTAGGTTGCATCCATAATGTTGTGGTGTTATAATGTTGCTATAATGGATGTGTTTAGGTTGCATCCATAATGTTGTGGTGTTATAATGTTGCTATAATGGATGTGTTTAGGTTGCATCCATAATGTTGTGTTGTTATAATGTTGCTATAATGGATGTGTTTAGGTTGCATCCATAATGTTGTGGTGTTCTAATGTTGCTATAATGGATGTGTTTAGGTTGCATCCATAATGTTGTGGTGTTATAATGTTGCTATAATGGATGTGTTTAGGTTGCATCCATAATGTTGTGGTGTTATAATGTTGCTATAATGGATGTGTTTAGGTTGCATCCATAATGTTGTGGTGTTAATTAATTAAATTAATTTAATTAATTATATGTGTTTTAAGGTTGCATCCATAATGTTGTGGTGTTATAATGTTGCTATAATGGATGTGTTTAGGTTGCATCCATAATGTTGTGGTGTTATAATGTTGCTAATGTTTTTCACCATAGTCCCCTACCTCCTCTCCTTTCGTCCTCAGGTCCCCCTGTCCCTCTCTCTGGGTGGGGAACGTTACCGTGGACCTCACTGAGAAACACATATGGGACCTCTTCAAAACGTACAACCACCATGCCCCATTCCTATCAGTTTTAGTTCTGTATCTGCATCTCTATATTTATATACAGTACCAGTCAAAAGTTTGGACACACCTACGCATTCAAGGGTTTTTCTTTATTTTTTAACTATTTTCTACATTGTAGAATAATAGTGAAGACATCAAAACTATGAAATAACACATATAGAATCATGTAGTAACCAAAAACGTGTTAAACAAATCAAAATATATTTTAGATTCTTCAACGTAGCCACCCTTTGCCTTGATGACAGGTTTGCACACTCTTGGCATTCTCTCAACCAGCTTCATGAGGAATGCTTTTCCAACAGTCTTGAGTTCCCACATATGCTGAGCACTTGTTGGCTGCTTTTCCTTCACTCTGCGGTCCAACTCATCCCAAACCATCTCAATTGGGTTGAGGTTGGGTGATTGTGGAGGCGAGGTAATCTGATGGAGCACTCCATCACTCTCCTTCTTGGTCAAATAGCCCTTACACAGCCTGGAGGTGTGTTGGGTCATTGTCCTGTTGAAAAACAAATGATAGTCCCACTAAGCGCAATCCAGATGGGATGGCGTATCGCTGCAGAAAGCTGTGGTAGCCATGCTGGTTAAGTGTGCCTTGAATTCTAAATAAATCACTGACAGTGTCACCAGCAAAGCAACCCCACACCATCACACCTCCTTCTCCATGCTTCACGGTGGGAACCACACATGCAGAGATAATCCGTTCACCTACTCTGCGTCATGGCGGTTGGAACCAAAAATCTCAAACTGGAACTCATCAGACCAAAGGACAGATTTCCACCGGTCTAATGTCCATTGCTCGTGTTTCTTGGCCCAAGCAAGTCTCTTCTTCGTACTGGTGTCCTTTAGTAGTGGTTTCTTTGCAGCAATTCGACCGTGAATTCGACCGTCTCCTCTGAACAGTTGATGTTGAGATGTGTTTTTTACTTGAACTCTGTGAAGCATTTATTTGGGCTGCAATTTCTGAGGCTGGTAACTCTAATGAACTTATCCTCTGCAGCAGATGTAACTCTGGGTCTTCCTTTCCTGTGGCGGTCCTTATGAGAGCCAGTTTCATCATAGCGCTTGATGGTTTTTGCGACTGCACTTGAATAAACGTTTGAAGTTCTTGAAATGTTCCGCATTGACTGACCTTCATGTCTTAAAGTAATGATGGACTGTCGTGTCTCTTTGCTTATTTGAGCTGTTCTTGCCATAATATGGACTTGGTCTTTTACCAAATAGTCTTAATAATCTTCTGTATACCACCCCTACCTTGTCACAACACAACTGATTGGCTCAAACGCATTAAGAAGGAAATCAATTCCACAAATTAACTTTTTAAGAAGGCACACCGGTTAATTGAAATGCATTCCAGGTGACTACCTCATGAAGCTGGTTGAGAGAATGACAAGAGTGTGCAAAGGTGTCATCAAAGGGTGGCTACTTTGAGGAATCTCAAATATAACATATATTTTGATTTGTTCAACACTTTTTTGATTACTACATGATTCCATATGTGTTATTTCATAGTTTTGATGTCTTCACTATTATTCTACAGTGTAGAAAATTGTAAAAATAAAGAGTAGGTGTGTCCAAACTTTTGACTGGTACTGTATATCTATGTCCATATCCACTGCTTAGGCTTCTCTTGCTGTGAGTTTCTTTGTTCTTGTGTGGTGTGATAATCATCAAGAAACATAACATTAATGGTCACTCAAAATGGCTGCCGGTCCACCATTCTAATACTATGACATTTATCTCTGTTTGCTGAGTTGGAATGGGAATCATTATTATTTTACATTCTAATTCTATGTTCTGTACTGTAGGTGTGGGGAGATAGAGAGTATCAGAGTTCTACATGAGAGATTCTGTGCCTTCGTCAACTTCAAGAATGCCAACATGGCCGCTCTCGCCTTGGAGAGGCTCCAGGTGAGTGATGGGATGAAACATAATGCTGTCAAAATGCCTTCAACTATGTGAGATGTGCTTTCAATTCCTTAACTTGAACTTTAGGAGTTTGTACTTTTGGGACTATGCTTTTGGTTCCATTGTACTTTTAAGACACTTTTTATTCAACCTTTATTTAACCAGGCAAGTCAATTAAGAATAAATAGTTATTAACAATGACAGCGAGGCTAAAGGCTCCTGTGGGACAATCAAATAAAATGGAAGGCTATTTAAAACAGGGCTGAAAAAAAACAATCTAATTAACATGATAATAAAAATCCCCATGAAAATCTGTCAGTTTAAGCTAGAGATATCAATCCACTGCATCCGCCGATGTAACACTTCCGCATGTGTGGTGTGGCGCAGTAGTCTAAGGCACTGCATCGCAGTGCTAGCTGTGCCACTAGAGATCCTGTTTCGAATCCAGGCTCTGTCGTAGCCGGCCGCGACTGGGAGACCCATGGGGCGGCGCGCAATTGGCCCAGCGTCGTCCAGGGTAGGGGAGGGAATGGCCTGCAGGGATGTAGCTCAGTTGATAGAGCATGGCGTTTGCAATGCCAGGGTTGTGGGTTCGATTCCCACAGGGGGTATGAAAAAATTAAATAATGTATGCACTAACTGTAAGTCGCTCTGGATAAGAGCGTCTGCTAAATGACTAAAATGTCAATGTAAAGGTGGCAGAGCTAGAGCGGTGTTTGTCAGACCATGAGACATCCCGAAAATCGGTCTTCTCACAAAAACGTCTGTATGACTAAACGTACAACACAGACCGACGACACTGGCAACAACACAAGTACAACAGCAAACAAACAGTGTGTGTGTGTGTGTGCAGGCTTGTGTGTGTGTGCAGGCTTGTGTGTAGTGTAAAACAACAGGCTTCCTTACACAAGGCAATGTAAACTAGTGACATGGGGTGACAACTAGAAACAGATACATGTCTCAACAACCTGTTAATCTATTTGTCCTTTGAACTCCTCCAGGGACATCAAGTCCTGGAGTTTTAGGTTGGCTTGGAGAGAATTCCAAGAACAGAGGGCTGAGAAATTTTGGGGACTGTTTGCATAAAACAAGATTGAGATCTGATCTTGTATGTGTTCTCATTTTGAGCTAGAATAGAGGATAGATAAAATGGCAGTTTTCCTCAAATGGCCTTCTGAATAAGAATGTACCAGTGTTTGATCCTGCGTGTTGCTACTGATGTCCACCTGACAGCACTGTAGAGATCACAATGGTGAGTTAGACGTCTCTGCATGATACAAAGAGTCAAGAGCCTTCAGTGTAGAGCTTGAGGCTTGCTCATAAATAGTATCACCATTGTCCAACACAGACAGAAAAGTACAACAATTCAACTCCTTTCTGGCGGCAAAGGGGAAAAAAAAGTTGTTATTGCTTCCATTGTACTTTTGGGACAATGCTATTAGTCCCTTTGTGTGTATTTGGACTGTGCCTGCTGTTTGTCCTCCTGTCCAGGGGGTGGAGCTGGAGAGCACCAGGCTGGTGATCAGGTACCCAGACCACTGGATGCAGAGAACCCCTCCCTCTCCTCAGAGGACCAACCCTAGAGGCCTCAACACCTCCTCAGCCTCCCAGTACGCCTCCACAGGGTAAGGACATCTGTCTGTCTGTCAAAACATAAAGTATGATTTATAAACATATACAACATTTATAATGGGTAATTATGAGTTATTCTAAAGTGTCACCATCTCATATCAACTTTGGAAATGTACAAAATGACAGACAAATTGCAGACGGTGGGGGCAGGAGCACAGGCATTCAGGTGCTTGTGTTTTCATAAGGTTTGTCTCTATCTCCCCCCCCCCCCCCCCCCCCTTCCCAGGCCCAGGAGGATGGCTCCCATCAATGGTGATGAGTGTTTCTTCTGGAGGACCACCGGCTGTCTCTATGGTGACAAGTGTCACTTCAAACACAAGCCTGACCAGAGAGGAAGAGACAGGAAACCATGGCAACCCTGACAACCCTGACCACCACGCAGTGACTGGATATGAGAGAGGGAGGAGAATGATGAAGATTGAAGAAGAGGATGAGGGACCGTGTCCCTACTTTAAAAGGGAACAGGAGGATTGGGGGGGGGGGATCACAGACAGTACACTGGACATATAGTATGAGTTTGTGAATTGTCAATCAAGGTGATTGAGGAGTGCACCTCTGATTTCCTTCCCCCTCTGCCTCGCTGCGAAACATGGAAATGACATCATCATTAGAACCTTGAACGGATCTTTTCCCAGGCAACCGCCTCTATGATGACCATGTTGAAGACACTAAGGGGGCTGACATCTGTTGTTATCATGTGATTTACTGTGTGTGTGTGTATGTATGGTCATGTGACTGGACATGTGACCTGCATGTGTGACCCCTTGTGATGTCACTGTGAGACACACTGCCAGCCTGATGCCATAGGGGGCCTAGTAATTGCCCCTACAGGGGATAAATAAATAACACTTTTTAATTGAATATGGGGCATGTTCCAGGCATGACTACACAGCAGTCACCTGCCTGCTCTCACAACACCTGGATAGGTGTTTGTTTAAGATATCAGCTAACCCAATCATGATATAGCAATCTGATGCCCGACTCCACAGTCTGGCACGCAAACATTAGTCAGCCTGGAACGCCACCAGGGTCCATGGGGTGTTCTAACATCCACACTAGAGCACCTTAAATGAAACAAGTAGTGTGCTACTGTGGATATTGGAACGAGGCCCATATCTTCAGTTCAGTGAATTTATACATATACACTGAGTATACCAAACATTAAGAACACCTTCCTAATATTGAGTTGCACCGCCCCCTTTTGCCCTCAGAACAGCCTCAATTTGTCAGGGTCATGGACTCTACAAGGTGTCAAAAGCGTTCCACGGGGATGCTGGCCCATGTTGACTCCAATGCTTCCCACAGTTGTGTCAAGTTGGCTGGATGTCCTTTGGGTGGTGGACCATTCTTGATACACACGGGAAACTGTTGAGCGTGAAAAACCCAGCTGCGTTGCAGTTCTTGACACAAACCGGTGCGCCTGGCACCTACTACCATACCCCGTTCAAAGGCACTTAAATATTTTGTCTTGCCCATTCATCCTCTGAATGACACACATACACAATCCACAAATGCTTAAAAATCCTTCTTTAACCTGTCTCCTACCCTTCATCTACACTGATTGAAGTGGATTTAACAAGTGACATCAATAAGGGATCATAGCTTTCACCTGAATTCACCTGGTCAGTCTATGTCATGGAAAGGTGTTCCTAATGTTTTGTACATTCAGTGTATGTTCAATGGACTAATACATGTATGTTCAGTGGACTAATACAATTCAATTTGACTAAAGTGACAATATGAGGAGTACAGAATGACTGTTTGAGAGCATCAATGTAAAATTACAACTGTCTGTATCCCCTCAGCATGCACGGTGGGGGAGCTGGGTGTACAAATGACTTTCTGTTTTATTATGTCAATCACAGTTGTATTAATTAATAATAAAATACAGTTTTATCAAATCAGATGTAGTGTCATTATTAAATGTAATTTAATCTGTATCTTTATCCGCTGTGACGTATATTTACGTTTCACTCTGATTGGATTGTCTGAATTCCCGAGTCGAGTGACAATTAAGGAAAAAAAAGACATTGATGAAAGACATTTTGGGAAAATGTGAATCCCTCGCCCCTTGTAAAGACATAGACCGTATCTAGGAAAAAGATTTAGGCTTTGCCTGTTCCTCTCTGCCCCTGGCCCCTGGCCCTGGCCCCCGGCCCCTGGCCCCAGCCCTTTCTGTCTGCGTCCCGATTCTCCACCCTTCCCGACGTGTGCACTTGCATACTTTCTCATTGGATTCAGCTAAACAAAAATGGAAACTCCAATGTTCACACCAATCCCATACGTTTAAATCCATGACGTGAAGTGTGAACTTGGGAAAGGGTGGAGAGACATCTCAGTGACCTTATTACCAGTTTGATATTGATCCAAATGGATGAGGACATGACTGGGACATACTGTATGAAGACAGGAGGATGCAGTAATGTTGAGTTGCCAGTAGGAGGAGCTCTAGTCTAGAACCTTCAGTAACACTGATGCAGATGATGAGGTGATGGGAATTGGTCACATTTTGCAAGGCAAGACATTTTAAGAAACCATGTACATTCCATAGTACAGTCAACACGTTGTTTTGGTTCTGTGTTTAAAGAAAAGACTCCATTGAAAATGGATTTAGCCTCTTTTAATAAATGTAGGCCCACTCCTCAAATGAAGAAATACCACTAGCTATGCAGTCTATTGCACATTTTCTATTGAAATACAGTACATCCCATTTCCGTCGTGTGTCAGTCAACCACTGAAATCACACTTAAAGGTATTTCTTGTTTTTATGTCAGTAAGTTGACTCACTGTACAAGACCTCTTCCCTTCACTTCATTATGTAAGTACGCTTGACAAGATCTTGAAATACATATATTTTTGTTGTTGTTGTTGTTGTTGTCATAAATCATATACTTGAGGGTATGTACTGAATATTTTTACATTTTGTTTTATTTAGACCTGTGTTTTGGTTGTTACATTCACAAAGTGTCTCAGTGTAGGAGTGCTGATGTAGGATCAGGTCCCTAGTCAATATAATGATGACCTAAAAGGCAAAACTGATGCTAGATCAGCACTCCTGCTCTACTCCAAGACACTTTGTGAATACATCAATGTATCAGGTGTAGTTATTCACCATATAGAGTGAGTTGTTGTTGGGAGATGCAACAATGGCCGTGAGAACAGCAGGAAATGTGTTGGTGGTCTTTATCTGGTCTTTGGCAGGTATGGTCTCATTTATAATTTGATCTGTTTATCAATCTACAGACATTTCTAAAAGGTTAAGAATCATAATTTTATTCTGATGTGTTCTGTTAGTCATCTCCACTTCACTTTATATAGTTATCTTTCACACTTTACAATGGCAACAAAGTGTGGACAAACCCTACTTTCAGTGTGGACAAACCCTACTTTCAGTGTGAGCCAATAGGCTTCTTTTTGTGATGCTTGACGCGCTGCAAGTCCCGCCTCTCCCATCTCCTCATTGGTTTTTAGGAGCACATACCCATGTGTGTGATTGAACGATGAACTGCGGTGCACACTCCAGTCCAGTTGGTGGTGGTAATGCACCTTAAAGTTTGTTGCCGTCCGCAATATAAAGTTAAAAGAAGAAGAAGAAGCCTGAAGGAGGAAAGATTACTAGAAACGAACTCGGTTTACCCTATTTTCTGTGGATTCATTGTCGGAGTAGAGGACCTTGTGCATTTCAGGTAAAATAACAACCCAATGTTTATATCCCAGGACAAATTAGCTAGCAACAGCAAGCTAGCTAGCTAAATTGCCATAAATGTTTAATGCTTTTCGACCTGTCCCCAAATTAATATAGTTGGTTCAGAGTTCGTTTTGATATTTCAACCTGCATGTCCTGGTCGCGTCTGGTGTGGGTGGACAAATCAACATGCGCGCGATGGAGCACGCGGACGCACGTAGGCTCCCGGTCTAGTCAGCATGTAAGTGTATGTTGTGTAGTAAACTGTTAGTAGCCCATGTACCTCACCATAATAATTTGGTCCCTTTCCTAATATTGGGGATTTATTATTCTCCTAAACTGATGGGATGACTAACTTAGAAAGAATGCAGTCTTGACTGGGCTAATGTAGGCTGTGACACCTGGCAAGGCTGTGATTGATGTGAAGAGCTGCTTTAGGGGGTAAAATTAGATACTGGTTCTTTGTGATCTATGAGTCTTCCTTTGACTAGGAATGATGTCTAAGGGAGCTGGCTCTTCTCACTATGATAGGTTGTTATGATAATCTTGTGCCTGGCTGAAGTGTGTAACAAATGGCGCCGAAGAGATGAGAACAACCCCTGAATCAACGGATTGGCTGAGATAGTGTCACACCCTGGCTCTGGGACTCATTATGTTGAGCCAGGGTGTGTTCATTCTATGTGTTTATTTCTATGTTGGTAGTTCTGTTGTGTCTATTTCTAGGTTGTTGTATTTCTTTGTTTGAGTGACTCCCAATCAGAGGTAACGAGTGTCAGCTGTTGGCTCGTTTGTCTCTGATTGGGAGCCATATTTAAACTGTCTGTGTTCACCTTGTGTTTGTGGGTTTTTGTTCCTTATGCGGTCAGTGTAACCGTGGACTTCACGAGTCGTGTTTTGTTTGTAATTTAGATACTTTAATATAATAAAGTCATGTTTATTTCACACGCTGCGCCTTGGTCTACTCTCCTTTACGACGATCGTGACAGATAGTTTAAACCACGCTCAAATCTTTACTCTAATTGGCCAGCAGAGAAGTGGGAAACTTCCTCTGTCAGAGTATTTGGGTATTGTTTCTGGAACAATGTTTTAGTTCTCTGGAGTGTCCTGCGAGACATCTCAGAGAGTCCGTATATACGAAACATCATATTTACCATTGAAGGTTTTTGCATTAATTAAAATAACTAGTATACCTTAGAAGTCGTGTTGACACAGATTGGAGGGACGCCATGTGCGACTGACGTGTTTTCCGTTTGCTCCCGTGGTATTTTTTAAAGTTTATGTGAATTTTGCAGCAAAAACCGTATTTATTTTCATATATTATTTTGGTGATCCCTTCCCGTAAAAACCAAGACTACTTTACTTCCAAATATCAGCATGTCGACGAAACATAAGGCCAAAAGCATGACTTTGAGAAAACCCGGCCTACAAGACACACTCTCATCACCGCCCTCCCCTGAGCCTGACGACCCGGGGACTGATTCTCTACCCGGGGGGGCGGCTTGGCCTGGCGGCGCTGAAGTGAACATTCTCGAGGCCATCAAACTACTACGCTCTGAGATAGTTGAAATGAAAACGGAGGTGGTTGCTACGATTGAGGCCCGAATAAAGGAGGTTTCTGATACTTTAAAAGCAGATCTAACCATCCTGCCGAACGAGACAGTGCCGGCAATCGCATCACTCAAAACAACAATGGAGTCGCACACTACAACGATTGCAGCACTGGAGACCTTCGCTACAAATGTCTCCGACTTAACTACATCCCTGGAGGCTGACGTGAAACGCCTAGCTGCGGACTTGAAAAAGGTGAAGGAGAGCTGTGTAAGTTTGGAGGGATTCTCTCGCCGCAATAACCTGAGACTTGTATCAGTCCCAGAGTCAGCGGAAATGCCTCGGATTTCGTTTCTGGGCTGCTGAAGGATGTTCTAGCCTTGGATGAAAAGCCCCTGATTGATCGTGCCCACCGGTCGCTGCGCCCAAAGCCCCGGGATGGGGAGAGGCCCCGTGACATAATTCTTCGAGTGCACTTTTTCCATGAGAAGATGGAGATTCTCCGACGAGCCCGCAATACCACTCTGAGCTTTCAAGGACAGAACTTCTCCATCTACCAGGACTACTCCCCCACTGTTTCCAGGCAGCGCGCAGCTTTCGGACAGGCCAAACGACTACTTCGGGACCATCCAGGTGTGAAGTACGGACTGCGATTCCCGGCCCGTTTATGGCTATCTCATGATGGTAAAGACTACACATTTGAATCTCCGGATGAGGCTCTCTCTCACATTCAACGTCACATCAAGAAGTCTTGAACTTGCTCATAGTTCAGCAACTGTTGCTAGCGAACGGTGGATAGTAAGTAACCCACCTGTGGTACAACTATGTTTAGCTACAACATGCTAATTTTGTATAGTTTGGGGGTTGGCGTACCCATTCAGGCTTATTTGATGTGATCTAATGTTTTGATCATCTAGTGTGCTTGCCTT